TGAAGATCATAAGCGCAAGGTAGATACTAACCGCTTTGTTTCTGAAATTCACTAATCTGGAGAGATTTAATGTTGTTGGATTCTCCAAATGTTGAAACAAGGCAAATCTCAGTTGTAAATGCTGTATTTCGCTACTCATTGAACATGCACTGATTATCTGGAATAAATTTAAAACATTGCAGGTACTACAGCAAGCAAAGAAAGCACCAGATGCGTGAAGTCAACACAAAACAACACAAAAAAACAAACAAGAAAAATTAATAAATTTGAACTACTTTCTTTTCTTGTTATGATGACTGGTTCTTTGATTCTTGTCCTGTAGAAGTTAATAGGTAGTACCAATGCTGTTTTGTACGATCTCAACAAATTTTCACACTCTCTCTAGGGCTATTTTTACACGGGAAGAGTTTGCTTCTATCAAGTATCTTGCAAACCATGCCAGTGAAGCCAAGACCTCTGCGATCGGTCCGGAATCAGTTCGAACACCCCAATGATTCCTTGCAATGATTAATGCTCTTATTCTCTTACATGACATGTTTTCTTTGAAATATTAAATGTGAAACCTAGACGAGTGCTGTAAGTTCATCTTTAATTCTGTCCGACTCCGTCCGTTGTTTTGAAAATTTTTGATCACTGGGGCGATGTTTTGATTTGTTTGTTGATAAACACAAGCGCGCCTTCTCATTGGTTAAAAAGTGGCGCGTGACCAGTTGGCCCTGTCCTTAAATTTAGGGATATTCCGGACTGGTAATATGTGTATTCAAGGTACATGGGCTGATGCACTTATCATTCAAGCAGTTGCAGATATGCTACTGTTTACCCAGTTCAGGAAAGAAATACTTCCTCTACAATTATTATAGGTCATATTGATGAATGCTACTATGTATCAACCACTGCCTTACAATCAAGTGCCTCCATTTCAATGTGCAATGAATTAACAAATGATACTCAGTCATCAATAAATAAGCATTTTATTATGTCTATATATAACACTGGATGGCATTTTTTACAGTGCAAGACAACAATCCATGACCGCAAAGATCTATTTCAAAAATGTCTTATGTCTGTTATCATTTCAAATTCACAGTGTTTTCGCAAAAAATAGATAAATGTGATTAATAAATCTCAATGATAAACCTGATGATAACGTACTTGAGAAAATCTGAAATTGTGATAATTCTGTAACAAACTTCTTTGCAAACTTTGTCATTACCATTCAACCCAAAACTGTCAGTGATTTTTGCTTTTTCACTCAAACTTAAAAACAAATGAAAACCTTATACAGATCACACTTATTGACATCACAGTGTTACTAAAAACACTACTATAACACAGACCGTTAGCTGTAATAACACTGAACAAACTTCCAACAACATCCTCCTTTCTCATGCATTTTGTTGCTTTTCTTCTGCATGAGTAAATTCAGACTAAGTATTAGCCTCCACAGAGGAGGGAGGAGGGGTGCGAGAGGTAAACTATATCTATGCAATCCCGTGTCCCACTGGGCCCCGGTAAGTTCCACGTAGTGGTTCTAGTTTAACATTAATTTCCTTTTTATTTTTTTAACGAATTTTTAATGTTGATTTTAAAGATCATATCATGTACAGCCACTGTTTAATGTTATCCAACTAATGCCCGGAATTGAGTGCAAAGAAAAGTAACCGTGGTCATTCGTCCGTGGGGGATTGAATTATAAAATTGGTTTTTCCAACTGAGAGGATAAAGCCAAGTTATCATAAATGAATAGCTCACGTTTCGCGCGCCTGAAACCTTTGTCAGAGTGAATCCGCCCTGAGGGTTTTCTCTGACGAGAGATCACACTAGAGCCGAAACATCAGTTTCTCAATCTTTTCTCGTTTATTGTAGTAAAACTACTTTATTAAGTCAGTTGATTAAATTTCTGTCAGTTAATCATGTTAATTGTCGGTCCTTGGGATGTTCATGTTCAAACTAATTTCCATCTGGATTAGTAGGTGATGGAAAATGCGGTGGACACTCGGTGCAGGTTTTCATGTAGAAATCTTTAGGCATGGTGTAGTGACAGTCGTTGGCTGTGGAGTCCGTGCATCTCGGGGGAGGACGAGTCGGGCACGTCCATGGTGGAAAACTTTTCGCTTGCGCAATATCTTGGGGATCTTTCATCCACGCAACCACTTGGTAGCCCGTCAAAACCCAGACATCACCCAAATCTTGGGCATACTTGAGAAATTTCTTGGCGGCGTTCATGTGGTCACCCGAAGGGCCCCAATAGAAATACGACGGGTGCATATGCATTCCGAACGGAGCTCGGTTTGTATCGTAGTGGTAGTGGAAGTTTCTCACCAGAATATCATACCACACCGTTTCATTGCCGTTAGGATCGCATGCGTCCATCATAGAACCACAAGTAGTGTGGTCTTCGTTCATGAGATTGACGTTTGGAATCTCCCAGAGGCCGGGGTAGGACATTTTTGGGCATGGTTGTTGACTGGTAGGGCAAACCTGAGTTGACTTGTAATCGAGGGTGTAGGGGTACATAGGGCCAAGCCCATCAAACCTAATATTAGCCGGCCAGGACAGGTCGTAAGTAAATTTGCTGATGTATAGAGCCTTGAACATATTCTCGGTAAACATAAGGAATGGTGCTCGAAATCCTCTAATGGCTCCATAAGGGATATTCCCAAATCTATCAAAGAAAAGAAAAAAAAGAACGTTTAAATTAGCAAAGGCTATTAAAGGCACCTGCTTCATCAAGAAAGAAAAGATAAAGTATAAAGAGAAAAGGGACTTATAACAACTAACTGTAATTGTTCTGAGATAATTGCAACTGGCTCGCAATTAAAACAAAACGACGGGGTAAAGTATTCTTGTGTGTTTTTCTTTTTCTTTTTCTTTTTTTACTGTTTTGTATTAAATGATTTCCACTCAAGAAGGCCGCACCCAAAATTTTAAATTTGGACAAAATTAAAATAATGTGTGAGAATAGAACTGTACCAAAGTTTCACAGTAAAAGTATAAAACAGCACCTCTTAATACAGACACCTCGTTATTACGAACAGTTTGCTTGGTCCTTTCGTTTGAGTTGGTGTCCGCACACATCAGCAGAAAATCCGGGAACACTTATTCCAATACGAAGTATCCAGCCTCTCCTCGCTCCTCGCCCCGCTCCTTTCCTCGGGCGTTTTGCAAGAAAGACTTCTGAGCCTCAGTGAAGCGTGAAGAATTTGGGGAACCGGGCGGCACACCCCTTCCAAGAATTCCCAGGAGTACCCCCCCGGGAAGTTTGTATCTCTTCGGTCATCCTACTGTATAAGAGTGAAGAAACATTTTTGACTAGGGCTTCAGTATTATTTTCCCGAAAATTTAGGTGCAATTTAAAGAGTTACGAAAGTAAGAATTCAGTGTGATTCCTCTCTCCAAAGCATTTTCGAATCCGACAATTTTAGGTTTCCTTTTTCGACGAAAAATAGCTCAACCTGGCTGAGTGATATACGAGAAATAATACTCCTGGGCAATTTATTAGATAAGATTCGAAAATTGTACAGCTATAGAAAATTCCAGGCAATTTTACAGATTTCACAGAAAACAGTCGTAGTAACACCACCATGAGTCAGACACAGTTTTATTACAACAGCTCGTAATCATTCCCTTACCGATGCAAAATCTCTTTCTGGCCATCTATTTCATTCTTCCATGTGGTGTAATCGGCTTGTTCCCAGTATGTTGTTGGCTCCTGATGCGTGACAGTGTGGTCCGCTATCTCATAGCCTCTGGAATACGCACTTTCCACCAGGAAGTAATCCGTATAGTTGTGAGATATAAACAGCGTTCCCACGGCAGGGCAGCCATTGGGATTACTCACGCCGTCAAAAAGCTCGTTATAGAGATCATAGTATTGCTTTTCTAGATCATCGTCGAATGTAACCATGATGATTTGAGGAGTTTCCTCACGAGTCAGCCCCCCAGGAGGCTTACGATCATCGCTGCAGCGACAGTTCGGCGGAAGACACTTTGCAGGATCACAGGGTTCAGCGGGATGAAACTGCGCTCGAACGCAGGAAATGAAGAAAATGAATCCCAAACAGGAAAACCAAGGATCCATAATCTTTATAAAAAGCAATGAACTACAGCAGCAACTATAGCAAGCTTCTGACTTCTCCAATTGCAAGTTCTCGGAATCTTTATCTTCACTCTGATTGTTACTTCCGGCGCACCGTTCAAAGTCCTGGACCACGCGATTTTTGAGTTTACCGTCTGTGGGATGTGAGCTTGCTCGTGGGAAATAAACTTGGAACCAGTGTGTCAAAAGAAAAATTTCCCACTGATATCCAGGGGCAGTTCCTGTTATAAATACGCGCAAGAACGTAGCCCCAGATTTTTTGCATCAAGTCACGTGAAGATCAAGGGTCACGCATTCCCAACATCCGATGTGTCTTAGTCATGTGATCGAATCCTTCGTGGAATCGTCGAACAGGATGTGCTGTTCTGCTACGTTTTCCTGTGAATTCTGCTCACTTTGATTTGTTTACAGTGGCAAAGGTATGTCAACTCCATACATTTTCGTTTTCTTCAAAAATTCGTTATCTACAGGTTGGAATTGCTTATGGATCATGTCTTTATTAATGAGCTTATCAGTTATGGGGATTTTGTGCCATGCTGTACAACTGGATACAATATCCATGCCCCGTGAAATTGTCATAACTGTTTTTAGTGGTGTCACGTCAGGATTTTATGTATAGTTATCGCAGCTGAAAAAGTCGATAGTTCTGTGCGGCTTAAGAGAGTAGTATTTTACAGAGCATGGGAGTATATTAGCGGAAATGCCGTGTTTACTCAAGTGAAAAAACGGACTTAAAATAGTTTAACTAATTACAAAATATTGCTTTCCCCGCACTTGCTCAGACGAACTATCTTTTGTCTATTGAAAGACTTTGATCCCTTCTAATATCCCCCATGATTTTTCCTATGCGAACCGCAAATTTTTTTGCACAATTTTTATACGGTCTTAAAAGTTTATGTTTTGGCCTGTTTTTTTAGAAAACCCCTTTTCGTTCGATTCTGTCGTTTAGTCATTTCAATAATACGGCCAGGGAGCTATAAGACTCTACAAGATGGTTCTGTATTCGGCGGGTCGCCAGTCAAGACGAGTGTTTATAAAACTAGAGTGATTTTACTTCAACAGTGAAACAGATAGTAACAACTAGTACAAAATTGAGCTACAAATAAGCAAAGGAAGACAATTGAATTAGTCCAGTATGGTGCGTAGTATATATTCTACTACATTGTACCTATTTCACGGGTTAAGTAAAATCACTCTATGACGTAAGACATATAAGTGTAAGACAGACCTAAGAAACCTATTTTCAGTGTAAGTTTTTAAGTCAGTAAGGGATATTTTTAGTGGCGTGGTGGCTAGTTGGCTTGTCAGTTGAGCTTTATAGTGTCTTAATTAATAGGGAGAAAGGTGAGTATTTTAGTGGCTCGGTAGCTTAGTGGATCATCAGTCAAGGTTAGAAGGAGATTAAGGTATTGATGTTTTACTGGGTCGGTTCAAGACTCATCAGTGACTGGCGAGCTGCAGAGACACCCCAACGAATATACAGCTTGTATACTAGCCTGCGTAGCAGGCGCTTGGAAGTAGTGGGCACAAGAAAAAACGGGCGCGCGAGAAGGAGACACGCGAGGGGAGAGGAAGCGCCTGCACGGAAGGCCCCCGAAAATCGTTTCCCGCCCCTCTCTAATTACTTGGCAGCCGTTGCGTGATCTGTCAAAAATTTTGACAGAAAACGACTGACCTCGCACAAACAAAGCAAGCCGCCAAAAAGCGTTGTACATTTTATCTTCGGTCTAAATATATCTGTTTAATATAAAGATCAGCTGGGTTATCTGATTATAGAGCGATGGAGCAATAAACTGATGGTTAACACACAGCTTTAAATCGTTTTTTAACATGGGCACAATAAATGGGAAATAACAAAGTCAAAACTGGGTATCTTTTAAAGAATGCATGCTGTGTATTATAAAAACCAAAAATATTGTTCTGGTCAGACACCAACGATCACAGCGTACGTGGAAAATGACCATATTGCTTTTACTGCGCTAACTGGCAGCCGTTTTTGGAGCAGACATATCTTACTAAGCGGACCTAAACCTCAGAACACAAACTGTACCGACATGCATGTTTTCTACTGCAGTAATGAGACATAAACAACAGACCTCAGGTCGCCTCCAAACGGCGAATAATACAACAGTAAAATGTTTTTTTCAAATTCATGCCCCTGGTAAGTGTTTCATTTCATCAATCATGTCCAAGTTTTGATGGTATATGGTCCATCAACAGCACAAGCCGCTAAGTTCTCCTGAGCAAAGAATATTTCCTCTGATCTTCATTGCAACGTTTCGACAAATCTTTTGTCTCTCGCCACTTCTGTTGATGCATATCCGATGTCAATTCTTTCCATCGTGAATACCCTTTGAACACTCCAACTTTTCTTTGAGATTACAGCCACATATAAGTACCATTAAACCAGATTGAAGTGACCTCCGAGACCTGAACTTCGATTGTATACAACTTAGTGGTTTCAGGACCCAGTGGTGTAATGCAAGATCTTCACTACGTTGTCCATGTACTATTGATTGACAGTTTTCTCGCCCCGCGCGGTTAATTTTTCCCTCGGGAGCCTCTCGACCAATTGGAAATATCCGCACTCACAGAGTGCGAGTTGAAACGATTTTCGGGGGCCTTCCGTGCAGGCGCTCCCTCACCCCTTGCGTGTCTCCCTCGCGCGCGCCCGTTCTCTCTTTCACCCGCTACTTCCAAGCGCCTGCTACGCAGGCTACTTGTATACCAAGGGAATTGGCCCTGTATTCTGTAGTTATGCCAAGGCTAGTTCATTATTAGTTTTGCATTAATGAGTCCTTCCATCTGACATCATCAAAATTATTAATTCTCACATTGTAGTAGCTTATTCTGCAAAGCTACTGATGCTCTTGCTGAACGGTTGGAATTTCAAAGCACTATTTGATCAATTTATTTCCAATCCATTGGCCATGATGTCAGAGTGATCTTCATCTTTGTAAAAGTTCAATCACATAGCTCTCTGCTCTGATTAAAAGAGCTTAACATATTCACATTCCAATGCTAACACTCACTTCTGCTCTTTTGCACTGTTTTCCTCATAATTAACGGCAAGCTTAATTTACCCCTCTCTTTAGAAGTGTAGGTTTGGAAATTGGATGCTCATGTATTTTGGATTTTGCCCTTTTATAGTCAGAAAACCTTTTACTAATTCATGGAAAATTCTTTAATCCTTTTTCTCCTGTCCCTTCACTACTATACGTGTTCTAGCCAACAAGTGGGCTTGCCATTGAGTGGCATTCATTTGACAGGCTATATTAGAGTCATGCATACAAACATCAAGTGTCAAAGCCAATTTCAGTGTAGGTGTGACAAGGACAATTAAAGATCCTTCTCTATTGACTGAAGAATTTTCATTTCCAACCCAGAAACTACAGGAAACTGCAAAAGTGAAATTTTTTCCTTGCGGGAGGAAAAATGACAGCTGAATGGAGAGCTGAGCATGCTCAGTTGTATGGCAAGCTTGAGACATGCATGATCTGGGCTCTCATAGATTACATATATACATTGAGCGTACATTGTCTACGCTTTTATGTGTTTTGTTGAGATAGTACTGTACATGAGCTGATGTGGAGATTAAGGGGTTTTCATTTACTCCTTTTGTCTGACAAAGTTCATTGGAATTTTTGTTTTCCAGATCCCCCCAAAAAAGTATTTAAAAAAACAGGACTTTGCACTATTATGTCGGCATATATATGGATGAATTCTTTTTTCTCAAGCATAGTGGACAGTACCTTAACCAGGGCTTCTGATAGGTTGCGGAAGAAAAAGGCAAATTTTGTGGGATTTTTAGGGACAAATTCACGGAAAAATTTGCCGATTTCGTGGTTATTTTCAAGGCAAATTTCGCTAGAAATCGATCGGTTTTGCACTGATCAGACCAGCATTTTTAACATTTTCTAACAGAGGCCATCATTTGCTCTTTCAACAACAATACGTTCCAGAAATGAACCAATGGCAATTAAAGCCTTTAACATCATGGCTAGTGCCCAGAGTTTTTTGCAACATAATTTATGCCTGCATGGTAGTTTTGGGATGTTGTTTGCACGTTTCAGTGACGAAGTTCCAAGATAAATTTGCAAGTTTACGGCAAGTAAATAGCCACTATAGCTGAAATAAGTTTCAAATATGTTGTACAGACAAGTGCTTGATAAGATTTCTACCAAATTTTGCAGTATTTTTCGTGTTTTTGTGAATCTAGGGGGATTTCGCAGATTTACCTGAATTTCATGGCTCTGTGACCACGTGAAATATCAGAAGCCATGCTTAACTGAGTGCTCCTATCAGAACTAAATGAGCCTAGTTTTGATATGGAAACTGTTTCTTACTGTGCTGTAGCTGCTTTATTAGGGTCTAATAGAAAAGGGATAAAACAGATATATATATATATATATATATATATATATATATATATATATATATATATATATATACAGAATTAAACGATAGTCGTTCTTTCTTAAAATCCAGTTTGCAACAAATTGGTTCTGATTTTTTTCAAAGAAGTTATCACGCATTTACATTTATAATATTTTTATTAGTTTTATTGATTTTAAAGGAAACGAGTTACATTAAATTTTGTATTTTGTAAATACAGTTAGTGAATATTCAGGAACATCCATTCAATTGACATAAAATTTTTATTCTGGAAAAAGTGCATTAATATATTATTGAAAACATTCTGCACATGCAGGGAAGCAGAATTACTTGGCAAAAAATTTGGTGGTTTTAAAAACAATGAAGGAAATGGCACACATTGCTAGCTGGTTACAAATCAACAGCATTTGACCACATATGTATGGTAAAGCAGTTAACATAAAAAGGTCAAGAAAAAACTGGCATCAGATGTACCCTACTTGCCTCCAACTTATGACATTAGGTTTTACATAAGTTTAAACATTAATTTTTTGCTGATGCCATTGTTATGTGTGTTTTATTTGTATTTCTTTAGTTGTAAAGATGACTTCTAATCCATCCTCACCAACTGGTTATCTACACACCCTCTGTCGTCAGGGTAATATTGCTGCAATTCAATCCTACCTTAATGGAATAGAGGACAACAGCAAGTTGGAAGAGCGTGTTGGTTTCCTTGGTTACACTCCACTTCATGAGGCAACCAACCTAGGTCAAACCAAAGTTGTCAGGTTGTTACTCCTATATGGTGCAAATGCAAATGCCAAGGCCAATGGTTTTTACACGCCTCTTCATATTGCAGCATCAATGGACAATGTAGATTGTGTGGTTGAGCTTTTGAACCATAATGCTGATATAACTAGTAAAGATGAGTTTGGAAAGACAGCTTACGAAACAGCCATTATACACAAATGCAAAAAGTCAGCAAGAATTCTTAAAAGTGAAGGTTAGTAAAGTTAATATAATCTTAAATGTTACAAGCCTACAATCAGGGACACAAGTAGTTGACACAATTGTTTTAAAACAGGTGCTTTTAACAAACATTTAATTCATTTATTATTTCATTCTTTTTAAACGCTGTAAATCCCCTCACCCCCCGAATCAATGTTGTCTGAAGTAAAAAAAAGACTTGAGGGTCCAAAATTCAACATTGATTTTGGGGGGAAGGGGTTGGGGTTAAGACAGGAGAAGAGGGTAGGTATATCCACTATGCAAAAAGGGGCCATTTTATGGAAGTATGTCAACACTTTTGTTCCTCATTATCTGAATGCAAAATTGTGCTACTGCACACAAGTTGAGCCGTGCATGACACTGATTTTAACTGAAATTAAAGGAATCAATGACATAATTATGTTATTGGTGGTAGGGGTGACATTGACTTATTCACGACCGAATTATAGGGCCAATTTGAATTACTTGACGACGTAATAAAAGGGCTGCGATATCCAGAATTAACGTCGATATGGTTTACAAGCTGAAAACTGACGCTGAAACTCGCGCACATGTACAACTTTTGATGAATTTCAAGGGTATGCGTACTGAAAATATTTTTAATAAAGTGAATATTTCTCGTTCGTAACTTTATCCGATTGTTAAGGCACAAACAATCACGGGTAGGGTAAGGATTGACACATAGTGGAGATAGTCACTGGCCGGCCACGGAAATATGGAGCGTTAGTGAGGAGCGGCCGTCGGAGCGTTCAATATCGAAACTACGGAAAAGTGAAGGTAAATTCATGGCCAATTCAATAAAAAACTAAGGACAGCGTAGCAAACATTGCAAGTGTACACGAAAACAATTACTTTCAATCCCACCTCGTGACACCCTGTGTGACATGATAACGCAACGCAAATAGCGTGACATGAGCGCATATGTCTGTGTATTTGGACTGCATTTCTTAAGCGAAACCCCATGTTTCTGGCTATTGTCGGCAGAGAAAATGAAAAGAGAGCTTTGAAACGTAAACTGGTATTTGACTCTCAAAGAAAACGACAGCTCAAACTGAGGAAAACACTGCTTCCTTCGTGTTACAACGGTTAACCATGTTTCAGCAAACGAAAAGTAACATTAGTCTGTTATGACCTCTTAATGTCGATATGTATTCTTGTGGTTAATCGTTGAAACTCCTTATTTGCACCACATCGCTGGAATTTTTCTTGCCAAGAATATGTATTACGAAGCACTTTCTAGATAGCAGAATCTTCTTTTGCCTTTTGTGAGGAATTAGCGCATAAAAAAGGAAGATTTTCCAGCGCACGGCCGTCATCGATCACGTGTTATCCCGCTTTCCTTGTCATCAAGTCAACTACTGAGCCAAAGTAATTGCTGTTTTGGTGATGATACAAACTGGTGTGTCTACCTTGAAAACCATTTCTTTGGCATTCTGTGATTTACGAGCAGGGAAATGAAATAGTTGCCCATCCAACATCAATAAAAAATCATTTTCAGCCACTGAATAAATGGCAGGCGGTCATCTAAAATCATTACAACTAAAGTACATTCCTAAGGGAGCATTCATAATTTACCTAGAGGGTGGGTGTTTTGAGGGGGGGTCACTCTTTTTCCCTACTATGATTTAGGGGGTGCTGTGGAAAATTTCCAACGAAAATTAAGCACAAAATCTTTATCCCAAAGTATTTCTATAACGCTCTTACAGATTTCGCTTAAACTTTACGAACATCGAGGCTGCTATTGGAGGAATAAGCTCCCGTGAATGATTTTCGAAGAACAGTTCCCAGTGCCAAGATATACTGCTGCAATTAAAATAGGTAATAGCGTCATTTCGTTGCTATGGCAACTCCGATGCCGTTGCAACCCTGATCGTAACAAATTTTCATCTTCACGTAATACAACTGTGGTGGCAATTTTTCCAAAACATTGTTTATGGCACCGTAGTTTATGCTCAAACTTGGGAGGTATTCACCCTGAAAAACTATATCGAGCCACCTTAAGTAATGACATACACTTCGTACATGTTACTCTACGTATACTAAAAATCAGGACGAAACTTCACAAATTGTTGTTTATAAACAAACAATTTGGCCCATAGAGTAACGTCATTGCACAAAAATTCAACGGCGTCAAAAATCTAGCCGGAAAACACAGATACATGTTTCAGACAATTAGGGACAAAAGTAGTTGACACACCTGTTTAAAACGGGTGCTTTTAACAAACATTTAATTCATTTATTATTTCATTCTTTTTAAACGCCGTAAATCCCCTCACCCCCCAAATCAATGTTGTCTGAAGTAAAAAAAAGACTTGAGGGTCCAAAATTCAACATTGATTTTGGGGGGAAGGGGTTGGGGTAGACAGGGGAAGAGGATGGGTATATCCACTATGCAAGAAGGGGCCATTTTATGGAAGTGTGTCAACACTTTTGTCCCTCATTGTAGCTACATGTAACGCATAAAATGATTGTTTTAAAGAAGGGTGATAATCAGGCAGTGTGGCCAAGTGGTTAGAGCACTGGACCTGAAATTCAGAGGTCTGAGTTCAAGTCTCTCTTGCACCACTAGCTGGATTTGTACTTGGTGGTCCCAAGTTCAACTCCTTGACAGTGCTTAAATAATATTGTACGTTGTGTAATAGCCAGCTAGTTTACTCCAGTCAGTTGGGGTCCTTAAACCCTGTTAAGTTTGATTTACATTGTTAGATTATTCGTTTCAGGCATTTGCTCAGCCCCACTAGCATTAGTGCTATAAATAATGCTGAGGATATTTAACAATTATTCCTCAAGCCCGAATGGGCTCTGAGTCAATAGCCCATGAGACTGAAAGCCGAATGGGCTATTGACTCAGAGGCCATGAGGGCGAGAGGAATAATAATTATTCCAACTAGTTGGTCAAAAATGTTGAGAATAAAAAAAAATTAGCTAGTTAAAGCTAGACCTTAATCCTTTTTTGCTGCCAAAAAGCCCACACTTTTCTCTATTACTGGGCAATAACATATAGCCTGGTAGTAGCTCAACCAATCGGAACGCAGCATTGATAATAGACCACTAGTTGGATTTTACTAATAAAATTTAACAGAATTATTATTATTATTATTTATTATTATTGTTATTATTATCATAACTAAATTATTATTATTGTTATTATTATTATAAATCTGTTGATAGTGATATGTTGGAACGTCTCATCACGGAGACATGTATTCATGGGACACCTCCATTCAGGGACACCAAATTTGGTCGCAGAAAGACGTCCACATAATCTTTGTATTTATTACCTCTATTGATGGGACACCTCTATTCATGGGAAATGGACACTACTTCTGGCTCCCAAAACCCAGGTTTAACCTCCATTCAGGAGATATCTTGGTACTGAAAAAGTGACTGACCACAAAAAGGGTTGATATCTGTAAGTGTACACTAATCACAATTATGCAAGCTTTCACCAACTGAACTATCTCAATTAAGTCAATATAATGCACTTGTGTGAATTCAGCACATAATGTCGGAGAAATAAGCTAATGATGATTTTTTTGTGTGTTGTCTTTGTTGGTTAATTATTAACACACCCCAGCCCTACCTCTATTCAGGGGACACCTACATACATGTACATATTCAAGGGACAATTGCATCAGTCCCAAGGGTGTCCCCTGAATAAAGGTTCCACTGTAGTCTAACTTGACAAGGTTAAAAAAAAATAGTAATTGACAAATGTTAAACTTTTTTTTCTTTTTCTCCAGAGATCAAGAAGGCCGCCAGAGAAAATAATCCAGATCTAAAGGACATGTTAGCATCCATTTCAGATGAAACTGTTCTGCCAACGTGCTTGAGGGAAGCCTTGCTGGAAGCTTCAAGGGGTGGACACATGGATGCTATCTGTGCACTAATAATTACTGGTGGAAGACATTCTCTGCAACTCAGAGACTGCATCAGTGAAGCTGTGAAGTTTCACTGTTATGAGGCTGCTGCCCTTTTGTTGGCCTGCTATGCAGCCAAGCACGACAAGAAACTGCTTCTAAGATACTTGATGAGCGAGGAGATGAGCAGACAAGAAGAGGAACAAGTGATTAAAGAACATTGTCAACCAAATCGTGGACTATCACGTGATGTCCTGGACAAATTAAGGTAAATCTCTCTAATTGTAAAGTTGGATAAAAATTAATAATACAGTGAGTTTAATTTGTCAGTTATTCAGGGATTTGACTGTTGCTAAATTTTGACAGAAATAGTCTGTTTCGGTTGTCTGCTTAATTTTTCTAAACCTTTATTTTTTCTAAACCTTATGCCTTTATTTAGATCATTTATTGTTGACAAAGAATCCTTTAACATCGCCGTTCCCATTGGGCTGGCTTTGCAGCAAAGGAAAAACGAGGCCGCCGGAATTATTCTTCGGAATACAAACTGCAATCAACGACAGAAACAGGTCAATTGGCCGAAACTTGTCCTGGAAGAAATAGATCCTTTATGGTTAGAAAGCATAAAATGGGTGGAAAAACTGTTTCTAGCTTCCAATTTACTAGCAAGTGTTCCAAGTAATATTCACGTTTTGGACAAACTATGCTGTCTGGACTTGAGAAGAAATCAGCTCAAATCGATCCCTTCCCGTCTACTGCAGATGCCGAGTTTGCGAGATCTCAGACTCGCTGAGAACAAACTCACTGAATTGCCGAGGAACTGCAAATGGAGTCCTTCTCTCAAGTCAGTTTATTTGAGTGATAACTCATTAGAAACGCTCCCCAAAAGCATGGCAACAGCAAAGTTAACAATTCTTTACCTTGCACGGAATAATTTGTACGAGGTGCCTCAATGCATATGGAAGATAACCACTCTTCAATCGTTGGATCTGTCTGGCAATCCAAGGTTAACACAACTTCCATCTCAAATGGGAAGGCTTATAAATATTGAAATGCTCAGGCTGGACAATTTAGAACAGGTAGGTGGTGCACAGAAAATGGGAATTTATTGGAAAAGGGAATATTTAAAACTTATTTATTTTCGTGCCTTTTTTGGTTTGAAGAATATCACGTTTGTATTTCTTTGATTGAAAATTTTAGTTTGTGTGTGAAGTTTATACCGGCCAATACTCTTTATGGAAAAGGGACACCCTCGGAACAACACTGCTTTCTTGATTTGTTCTTGGTCACAAGCCAAACGAAGAGGAAAAAAATTCGCAACGAAGAAAACCCTAAGCAGCGCACGATACACGCTCAGCAAGGAATTTAATCCCACCAAACTTGGGAGCGGCGATCGAAGTGCGTGTTTCTTCGGAAACGATAGATCTTCGCACTCTCGAGTTCGGACCCGATTAATTACGAAGTCCGTCTGCTACGAGTGAGCGAGTGACTCATTTGCATATCCTAGTCCCTGCAATAACTCGTGGTACGCTCGCGCGTACCCACGAGTTAAAAACGGAAATCAATCAATAATTTATTCACTTTCTCTTCCATTGTTTTAGGTTAGGAGTAAACACAGGGCTTGAAATCATTTTGCGAATAGGGCCAGTCGAATTGTCCGGTCAAATCTATTACGTTTTATCTCTAAAAAAAGCCCCTTTCTTTTTTTTTCTTCACGAACGCCAAAGTAATGTCTAATTACGTAATATTGAAGTTCGGAGTTAGTTTTTCCATCGGAAACGTAAATGATCAGACAAAGTGTCAAGGCATCCAGGGATTTGACCGGATAAAGGCTATACTTTTAACCGGCCATTGTCCTTTGACCGGCCGTTATTTCAAGTTCTGGTTTAAAACACAATAGGTGGGCGCAGTTTTGAGCTTTATAGTGTAAGCAGAGCATTGGCCATTGTATCGACGTTATAAATTAGGATTATTTGGCCAGGTTAATGATACCGTTTTGCTACCCACTTGCTCTAGTTTTAAAAAGAGAGTTTGAGCAACTCGGATATAGTCTATTATTACGTTCACTTAAGTGTGCTTTGCGGTGTGCCGTAGAGGGGAGGTAGAAGAACGGATGATGATCATCAGTAGATTGGATGTGATATCACCTGTTTTTGTTGTACCTTGTTGTTTCGCCTTTTGCTGTTTAGACCTCAGTAGGTACCGTAACAAAACGAAAAAGCTAAGTGAATTAAATTGTGCGTATTTCTTGTCCTTTATTATGCCTAAAGATGACAGATCCTCCTGATGAGATCAAACAGAACGGAGTCAAAACCATCATGTATCTTCGAAATAGTCTGCGCTCATCCAAAGCTTATTATACTGTTAAGTTGATGTTGGTTGGAAGAGCAGAGCAGGGAAAGACAACATTGATGCATCGGCTGATGCGGGACTACACATACAACATCAATCAGTCAACAAACGGTACATGAAAATGTTTAGTGTTGCTCGTTTAGTAACTGAGAAAGTGGAGGGTGACGTGTGTTAAGTGTTTACCTACATATGTACTGTTTTCAGGTAGCCAATACGACACCTGAAGGAGAATCATGAGGTTATACCTATATTAAGGCCCAGGAATGGTTGGCCACTGGCACACCACCGGGGTTTACGTCCCGTACTGTTTTCGAACAGTGTCGGCCTTGCGGAATTTCCGCAATTTCGAAAAAAATGCCGCTTAAAATTTACGTTGCATCGTCAAACGGGGCGCAAAAACAATAGACCCAAGGATAAGTACATGTATTATTATTATTATTATTAATTTTTTTTTTTGAAATAAAGTATTCAAAACCATCACTGACAAGTCAACAACACTGATTTGACGGCCGCACTTTTTTTTGGAAAAGGGCCCCCTAAAATTACAGAAGGGGGCCCATTTGACCCTCACTGGCCAATTTCAAAAATTAACCCTGCAGTTTTGTGGGTTCTTTTGAGTCCCACAAGAACCAGATAAGTGGAAGTGCTGTGAGACGGGACTAACGGTTTTTCGTCCTTATCCGAGAAGACTGGAAGGTCTAACCGTGTTTGCAGATTTAGGGTGTGTTCCTTTCGGCGAATCCAAAAACGGATTTTTGATCCTAGATTTGCCAGATTTCGCGGTCGAAAGGAACGTGAAATCCGAAATTGGATTTGTAACCTTGGTAACCTTTCGCCAACTCGTGCAATATGCACGACAGCCTCTCAAAACATGACGAGTTTTCTACTGTTTGACAAATTATGCGATTATACCGTGCAGAATTTAGTGGTCGGCAGTTCGAATAGCGACGATGGAACATACAAAACAGACAAAGAAAGAAGCGCATTAAAATTGAAAATTATCTAAAGAATATCGGCTAGTTTGATCCAGTTCCATAGCTCGGATTTTTATGATCGAGTGGCTGTCGCGTCTACAAGCGAGCTTGTAGTTGGATAGCAGTTCATTTGTTACTTTTACTTATTTCTGATTTCAAGCAGTCTTTAGAGACAAATGGTTAGTATATGAATATTTTAATGTACCAGGAACAATCTTCTAATGTTTTCAGATGTTTTGCGGCAAATGACAGCAACGAGGAAACTCTACGGCCTCTATGGGAATACTTCAACTGGAAATACCGCTGGATCATCTGACTAGTTTCGGATCCACTGTGAATGGAACAGCGTAGATCACTAATTCGTTAATCTGGATTTGGATTCTTCGGATTTCAAATCCAATGAATCCTTTTTCAAAAAGGATTCACCAGATCAAAAATCCGGATTTGGATTTGCCGAAAGGAACGCGAAATCCGTTCTTAGATTTAAAATCCGTTTTTGGATTCACCGAAAGGAACACACCCTTAATTACGCAAGCAGCAATTTCGTCTCAGTTATTAAAAGACCGCGAGTGCTTGTCCGGCCGGGATTTGAAACGGCGACCTCCCGCCTAGCATACCGGCGCTCTCCCAACTGAACTAACCAGGCGGCTGTTCGTTAAATTTTTCTTTATTCTATGAGAATCGTAGGGAAACTTAGAAAAAAAATGTTTCACGCTTCCATTGGGTAACACTTTTGAACTCCATTCTCCGTCCATCTGATGGTTCGATTGAAGCGCCTAAAAATTGGTTCAATCGATTACTGTTTAAACATCAATTTTTGTATCCGACCTAGAATCTTAAATCACGTAACATTTTATTTTCATGTTTATGTTGGTACATTAACAGGCATTGCCATGGACGAATTTCGTTACAATCGCAGAGAATTTGGCCCGTTTTCAAACTACCCGGAGTTTAAATTCAAGATATGGGATTTTGGCGGTCAGGAGGACTTCTACACGACGCATCAGTGTTTTTTATCCACCCTGGCGCTTTATCTTTTAGTCTGGAATCTGCAAGAAGGTAAACAAACAAACAAAAAAAACCGCAGGGAGAAATTAGTAGCTTTGACCTTTTTCACACGCTGTTTCAGTTACGGGCAGATTGTTACGTAGCTTTTGGGTCTGTGGATGAAATCCTATGATGTGAATTATAAATGGCATCTCTTTACTTTTTGCGTTATGCGCTGTAGACCGCAGATACAACCGTCCCTCAGGCTACACACGGTACTTTTTGTTGTACTAGTAGGGAGCTTAAGCAACGATGACGGCGACGGCTACGGCTACGAAAACGTCACTGGAAAAGTGAATTCGCGCTGACTCAATCTTTATCGCGTTTACTTCATCTCTTTTAATTCGTCAAATGTTGGCAAATGTCTTTGGAGTTGAATTCTAAAGGATTGTATCAAAGTTCAGGGAAAGGAAAACAAGATTGTTGTTTTGTGCTCCCGTCCTCAACAAAACGTGAAATCAGGCTTTTTCACATTGTAGTCGTGCAACGACGGCAAACTGAGAAATATCATACAAAAAAGCGTGATGCACGTGTAAAGCTGTTATTTTGCCAAACTAAACCTATTGGTTTATTGCCGTTCTCCTTGCCGTCGTCGACGTCGTTGCTTTCCGTGATTTATCCCCGGGACCTACGTGAGCCTGTGTACCGAATCCTATTTATTTATTTACCCGTTTACTTATTTGTTTATATTTATTTATTTATTTGCATGTACCTATGAAAGAAAAATGTGCACTTGATTTGACTGTCGATGTATTAAGCAGGATAGTACTAATTGGGGACACTATTTTCATGTCTCCAGCTGGAGACGAGACCGCCATTTTATATGGTCATCCGAGCCACGCGAAGGTCTAGCCGCTTGCAGGACAAAGACAGTACCTTCGTTTCTCAGTTAGGGTTGGTTTCCTCTGTCGCGTAATTTTTACGTGCGTACTTGCGTAAAACTTAGGTTTGTAAATAATATAGAGGCAATGTATGAAAGGTCGCACGTAAGCGTAAAAGTAGAACCTCGCTCATCTTCACGTTTAATTTCAACACTTTATATCTTGCCCTCTATTTTATTTATGTGATTAAAATTTGCGTGCGCTAACGTGCGTAACCAAAAACGCGTCAGTGGAAATCAACCTTTACTTTAAGACCCGGAGTATTAGTCCGGCCCCGGGAATCGAACCCACGACTTCCCGCTCTGCAGTCAAGCGCTCTACCGACTGAGCTAACACCGCTGTCGTGAATGGATGAAACAGTCTCACATTACTGTTAGTATTATGCTGTATACACAGGATTCCCTGCACTCTTTTCCTTAGACCGCAAGCAGACGTCCTTTTTTCCTCAGAGCCACGCGAGGCGAGAGAAAAAGTAAAGTTGTGCAAATTACTGGTTTGCCCTCCTTCTTCGCGGCTTCGCCGCTCGCCCCCATTCGTGGGAGTAGTAAAAAATTATTTTTAACTCTTACACACAGTTCCAGTGATGATTACATGTAAGGGGTCTAACCTTATGAGTCTATTGCAGAAATCCTATGTTGTGACCATTTAAATGAAACCGATTTGCTAGTAGCCACACACGGTACTGTTTGTTTTCGCCTTTTCTCTGAACAAAAAAGTATCACAGGGTTGTTTATTTAAGGCCCTTTTGGCTCTATAATGCCTTCTTTTCATTACTGTGGCGCATACTTCAGGAATATCTTAGTTTTTAAGGCTCTCAACAATCTCGCACCAAATTACGTAAGAACTACGTTAACAATGTCTGATGACATTCATAATGCGGGCATGAAAATGAGAAGACTTGCCCAAAATTAGTATTTAATGTAGGTACTAAACATTTTTCAGTTATGCCTGAGGTCTTAAGAATGTTATAAAGCTTTTGGCCTTGTTTCGTGCGTTTTCCCTAAAAAAGTCGAAAATGGATTTTAACTCGGTTTTAACAACGTTATATATCTGCAATGTTAAGGCTAAAAAATGTTTAAAATATTCGCATGAAATTTATTGAAATTATTCTTGTTATTATTTGTTCTTCAGGGAGTATTTACATGACTGCGTGATGCAGTTAATTCGTGTGTTCATTTGCCATATAACTGCGCAATGCGATTGTTTTGTCAGTTCACTAGAGTTCTCAGTGGCTCAGTGGTTAGAGTATCTTGCTAGAGTCTGGAAGGCTGTGAGTTCATTTCCCATCTGGAACTCAGATTCTTTTTCTGAGTTCTTCTCTCCTCACATATTTTTCTATTTATTTATTTCTTCGTCCGAATATTGAATTACTGGCCCATCGCTTTTTTCGAAGCTGGACTACGGATAGCAGTTAAAATTCAAATCGCTGGTTATAGACCTTACATCTGCGCCCACTCTCCGCATAGAAAAGTAAAAAGTACAGTGTATATTGTTCTTAACGCTGCAAACACTTTTTTATTTTGCTCTGTGCAGGCGACACTGGAATCGAGATGCTAAAAAGTTGGTTAGACACCATTTCAGCGACAGCGTCCAACATAAGCCTCATCATCGTGGGCACTCACTTGGACGAAGTTCGTAAAAACAGGGAAGCTGGATATGAAAAGCGCATGCACGACCTGGTGAAAGAGCTGACCAATAAGTACGCAGGCCAAATGAATGTGGTGGACATTAAAGAAGTTAGTTGCGCGTTGGATAATAAAGAAGGTATACAAAAGAGACCATTATAAGTAAACAGCAAGTTCTCTTCTGTGTGTCCTTAATTGTTTCTACCGACGAAGAAGGGTTAATTAAATTAAAGTTAGCTTTAATATGTTAATTCCAATTTGTAAATCGTTCAGACGTGCTAATATATTAATAAAGTTGTAAAGTTGTAAGAAGTAAGAATACCACTGCGGCTTTTCTGCGATATCCGTTTGAGCGTGGAATTCAATTGACAGTTCATCGTTATTTACTCAGTATGCATTTTCCAATAGAGCTTACCAGCACAAACCACTACAGAAACTGTACGCTGTCCATAGTGGAAGTATTTTTTTTAAATTTTATTAATAATAATTAACACTAAATGACTTTCGAGAGAAACGAACTCAACTGTGAAGTGAGTTGTTATATTGCTGGAAATTTTGAAGCTGAAAAATTTCCGAACCTCACTGTAACGGCGGTCGTCGGTCAATATTCGTGGGTAACAGTGCACTGTTAACCTGTTACCCGTCAGCGATTTTGCAATAGAGACCTAAAGATCGAGGTTTGGTCATTTTACTGCAAACTACAAACTGCGTTTTGCGGTTAACGGTTTCACGTTATCGGTCTGCCTATATGTGGAACTTAGATTCGCGGGTAGTAGCTCGCGGCTACCATGTTTGTTTTCATTCATTCACTTCTATTTTAGCCGAGAAATTGTCTTCAAAATTACGTTTTTTGAAATAGAATTCGATTACTAATAAGCAAAAGAGTTCTAAAAAGTCGTATTTCTTCTCAAACGTGGGATTGTGATGTCTTAGGGTGCAAAAAAACCTTGCGGTAAATCACTTACCTCTGGAACGTGGTCGAGCCGCACAAACGTAAACCTCAAACTGCAAACCTGACGGCAAGGCCCTGGTCACGTGAATTATTGACGTTCGCGGTTCGCGGGAAATGCTGAAAACCCTTAATCTTAAGCTCTCTATTGTTGCCCGAATACCCGCTCAGGGATTTTGGCGGGAAACACTGTCATTCTTAGATGTCATGTGACCTCGAAGTAACCAGTGAGAGTGAGGGCGCGCGCTGTTTGAAAAAAATTTCGAGCGACATAACCATTGTCGTTGGTGAGCGCTTTGCTAGAAACGTAACGTAAAGTATTTCTCTACAAGGAACACGCCAAGTAAGAGTTAACTCTTGACCTACTTTCATAAGTACATACGTGCCTAACTTCCCTCCGTTGATATGAAAGATCCGTTTTCGCTCTCATGGCTTCCCACGTGCCTTTTTTCTCTTTTCCTTTTCCCTTCAAGTGCCTACCATGCAGGCTAAAAACAGTAGGCTGGGTTTCCGGCGCTAGCCGCTAGCTAAAACCAATGGCTACTCGTAAGTGCAAAGGTGATTTAACACGAGACGATTTGCAGCAACGATTTTTAGAGCAGCACAGCTTTGCAAGTTTTAATGCAGGTTCAAACCTTTAAGGATAAAAAGCAACTCCATTAAAACATGACGTTTAGCGAATGCAAAAGCGTAGACGGAGGAAGCGGCTGGTGTAGCCACCTCCATCTAGGCATTGCCGAACACAGGTACTCTGTAATTGACAAACACGTCAAAGAAACAAGACGCTATGGGAGCGTGCACTTCGGCGTCGTGGTTTTGGATTAATTGTGAATGCAGAGAAATAGTAAGAAATGATATTTTTCCGGTTACTCCGTAGCATACCCTTCCATACAAATAACCCGTACTTTTCTCTTTTTGTGTAACAGACGTCGTAACTTCTTTACCGGAAGTCTCCCACTGCTAGGTGCGTGACCGCGTGGCTGTAACCCACTTCGGTTTAAATTTCTGTCATAAATAAATTGCGCGCGACAACATCTCAGTTCCACTTCCCTTATTTCCTCTACAACAACACTTTCCTTATGTACAGTTAACTCCAGACCTTCTCCAGCAACATAACTAACATCAGTACACTACCTTTCAAAACTCCACACCGAGGATAATTCAAGTTCAACATCGCAACATAAGCTAGAAATATGTATCTCGTAATAACGCTCGCGAAATTCTGGTGTAATTTTTTACGGTAGACCCACTCAAGTTAAGCCCTGTCGGGCGGAGTTAGGAACTGGATGGGTAACCCACCGCGAATGATCGTCGTGAAGGTCCCTACGTTTTTCTTTCTTTTCTTCTTTTTTGCATATTGTGTGGTGTGATTTTTAAAAGTGTATTGAAAAGCATCTTTAGCACTATTTCGGCCGCTGGATTTAGAAAAACAAAACAAACAAACACGGCTGTACAGAACTGAAACTTTGATCTATCGGCGGGGAAGTTGACCGGCAAACTAATAAATTTGTGTTTTCCACGGTGTAAAACGAATTCTAAGCTAGATTTCAGGGGAAAAAGGCAAGGTTTCGACGGTAAAAAGCCAAACTGAAACGTACTTTGGAGAAACACATCGCACGACATAAGCAAACTCCTCTGCAAAGTGAAACGCACTGAAAATTGCTCTTGTATCTCGATTTTCGCTCGTATTTTGAAGCTACTAGCCCAAATTGCTTCAATGTTTTCTGTAAAATACTTTTGCAGTCAATATTTCTAGCCAGAATAATAATTAAGAATAAGAATAAATCAAAGAACTCGAAGATATCTCGAACTAATGCCGAAGCAACTTCGGGACATCCGAATGCTACTTTGAAACATTCCTGAGTGTCGCGAATCCTTTATTTCGCGCTCCGCCGAAATAAAAACACCAACGAGAGCCAACTAATCTCTGAACACATTTTAAGATCCGTAAGAGGAAAACTTGCGTGGCTCATTTATGACATGTCGTTAATTAAGGAAAAGAGACCAACCTTAAACCGGCACTCAAAACCGATTCCATTCCCTCAAAACTTTTCACTTGATTATTTCATTCTTTTGCTCTTCAAATTTAATGTTGTGTCTCACACCGTCGTTTCCTATATATATCGTTTCATTTGCATTTTATGATGATGACATGTGGTCGCCGAAACGTCATCTTTTGATAGCGTTGCTTTTTGTCCTTGAATGTTTCACAGAATCTGTCGTTATCACAAGGTTCAAACCTTGCAACGCAAAACTCGCATCGATCTTCTTGACAGTTTTGACGTTGTAAGCTTTTGAACCCTCTTTAAACACTTGCATCGCTTTTCTTGACAGTTTTGACTTTATCTTCGTCGTCTCTTGTATTAGTTTCGGTTTCAGTTTATTGTTTTGTCATAAAAATCATACAAAACAAGAAGTTCTACATATTTAAAAGCTAATGGCAAGGAAGCCCAAGGGAAACCACTGGGCATATAAGGAATAGCCGGACTGCGTCAGTTAATTATTACAACAAGATATGAAACACAATTTAGCAAGTCCTTTAGTTCTGTTTGCGGTCATTAGAGTGTACTGTGTATAGATTGCATGTAACGTAACGTTTTCCTTGTGTTTTCCTCAAAAAGGGATTGATGATCTTCGGCTCACTATCTATGATGCCGCAGCAGCCCTCAAAAAGACCAGCCTGGGTCAGGTATCGGTGATGGGTGAGATGATCCCACACAGCTTCCTTTTGGTAGAATCAGCCATTCATGCCAAGCGGCAAGAACTGCACGACTTAAGAAAGCTGCCAATCATGCACAAATCAGAATATGAGGCTCTGGTTCTGGACATCATAAAGAATGACCCACAGGATATTGAAGATACTAACGACCTGAGGGAGGTTACTCAGTTCATGCACGAGAGGGGTAAGCATTGGCCAGGTTCTGCTCCCAGTGAACAGGGAGCTGGAACGACTTATCACCGCAAAGGCTCTAGGGATTGTTTAGAGGGACCGCTTAAACATGGCGGACGGCAGCAAGCCACCTGTTAAAAGACGCTGTCACTGTTATTGTGAATAAAGGAGACATACCTGTTGCATTAGGGTCTCAAGGAATTCTGTAATGGCGAAGATTAGTTGTATTTCTAAAACTATTATTGCAGTTTGGAACAGTGATAGTGCGCTATTTCTTTTGAACGTACATGCTGTCAGTCCCTCCAAATGTTCCCAAGAAGCTTTGTTGTCGCACATCGTATTTAGTTCTTCAATCGTTGAGAACATGACGAATTCGTTTTGCATTTGCGAGTTCATCTTACAGAATATCACGTGACGCAGGGGTAACAGGGTTGCACTCTAGTTGCGATAATGAGTAGTAAAGCCGCTCGTATAGGACTGTTTTCTAGACTGAATTGATTATTCAAATGAGAATAGAGAGTTAAAGATACCACCACGGCGACAGCGGTGAAAACATTTAAAAAGTAGTTTCGCGTAAATTATTCTAACTCTCTTAATTGTCAAATGTAGACGAACTCTCCTGGAGTTGAATTCGTAAGAACTATATCCAAGTTCAGAAAGTGAAAGAATATTTCGTCTTCGCTTGTTTACGTCCTCCATAAAACACTGAGTGTGTTCTTTCTATGTGGGCTTTTGTTAATTATCCCATAATACACAGACTTAACTTATAACCAGCCCCTTCCGGTTTGAAATTAGGCAATGGTAAGCTAATTAAAATGGTCTACTGCTAATTAAACCACCCATCTCATTGTAATTAAGGGCTTTACTACTGTTACAGGCATCCTGTTACACTATAACGACCCCAACCAAGACCTTCAAGATCTTTATTTCATCGATCCCAAGTGGCTTTGTGAATTGATGGCGAGAGTTGTGACGTTGCCGGAAGTAAATCCGTACATACACAACGGTGTCTTAAACCTCGACGATCTTCCACAGATTTTACGAGGGGAGCTGTTTGCTCAGCACAACTCACCTCAGTTCATCCGCCTTTTAAATCGATTCCAGGTCGCATGCTCCTTGGGCGACAACCGCGTTTTGATTCCTTCTAAACTGCCGGCCAAGAAACCGGATGAGGCCACGAATGCCGACTTGCCTTTCATAACGCTGAAGCGATTGCACTCTCTGCCTTGCATACCTCATGGATTCTGGAGTCGCCTTATCTCGCGCTTGTTGTCTTATATGAAAGACATGCTGTCAGGTGGAGAGACCTTCACCAGGAGTGAATACTCCAGTCCGTTCCAGCTTGATCCTTTCTGCTGTCGATGCCCTCTGGTGCTGGAAAACTTAACCTCAGGCGGCCATATGGATAGTGAACAGAACCTTCATGGCGCAAGAGATTCCTCGATTGGAGGATCGTTCGAGAATCTTTATGATTCTTCTGGGGAAATTCAAGGTGTTCGATTTTTTGGAACCCAGCGGCGTGGGACCTTCATCAACGGCAGGTTCTTCGGCGTTTCCGATGGGGAAGGTCAAAGCTCTCGCAGTGATTCGGGGTATGAATACAGTTCCGAGGAGGAAGACGAATCTCACGGAAGACCTCGCCAGGTGCTAAATATGACTTTTCCTCTCACTCGTTCAAATGATAACCGTCGGAGAAACAGACAAATATTTAAACATGGTACCGATCCAGGTGTCTGGCGAGATGACGAGAGTGTCAGTGGTCCCGAGAATGCCACACCTAAGAGCGACACAGGTATTCCGATCTTAAGACAGAATTTCCGCCTGGAGGTGGAGTCGAGTCCTGATAAATCGGCGTCAAGCCTCGATGAAGCGTCCTGTGCAGCGGCATCTGTTGAATATGGAACCCCACAAATTGCCCTTGAACCTTCGATACCTACAAATGAGCTTGAAGAAATAAAACAGACAGAAATTGATAGCTGTGAAAATCTATCTTTTGAGAGAAAAATAGTCATTAAGGCAGATAAGGCAATCGTCCAAGATAAGATCATCAATGAAAAGCCGTTAATGAGCTCCGATCGTAAAGAGCCCAGTGAAAGAAACATGACGGGCTTGTCCCCGTATTGTAGTAGTGGCGAGGAAAGTGCGCCTTACCATTCTGCGGTTTCCAGAACGAGCACGCCAGATACATTTCCAAGTGATTTAACCGATGGACAATCGATGAATCTTTCAAAAAGTCTCGCTGAAGACCCCAAGAGTGAATCTTCCTTGGAGGGCTTCAGTGCCAAGGGAATCTCGTGGCTCTCATATCCCGTGACGGAAACGGAAACTAAGGGGACACAAATTTCTGGTTCACTAGAGAAACTGCCACCTCTTCACACCAGTGAAGGCCCGGAATGCAGCGAAGGAGATAGGGTAAACGCGGATATAGAAGATGGAGAAGCAGGTAACTAAGGAATAAGTTACATCGCCTTCCACTGCTTGGTGGCGAGGGTATAAACTTAAAGCGAACGACTAAGAGGGTAATGTAAATCGTATCTGTCAATTCTTTAGAAAGGATAGGGAAGGAATTAACTAGTTAATCGCTTGTCTGAAATTCCAGCTCTGTGGGATTTTACCCATAGGCTGTGAAGGACTGACTAACTAACCCATCAAGAGATGACCGTCCATTTTATCGGCTCGAATTCCTCAAAGCTATAGACTTTTTCTAGGTATTTGGTGCTGGCGAAACCAGACCGAACAGTTCGTGCATAATCGCTACATGATAAACTTGTTAGTTGGGTGAAAAGTATTTTTGTTGTTGTTGTTGTTGTTGTTTTTGCTCTGCCGGAATTCTATTTTCACTGAGGTGCTGAGGGGAAAGTAACGCTTAAGAGCGCTTATCAATTAAAACATTGAGGTGTTCTTTGTTTGTTTGTTAGTTTGTTCGCTCATCTCAACATTGCTTACATGAGTGTAAAATCTTCAGTTCTTTTGGGTTTTCTGTCAAAGTACCACCGAAGGGAATAAACTTACCGATTTAGAAGTGACACCTACTAGAGAATAAGGCTGGTGAAAATTTTTCCTGGCAGCGTGTGTAATAAATATCAACTGAAGGTAATGTAGATGGGCTGAAAATATCACTGACCAAGGGATAGAGGATAAGGGGGTGCATGATTTATACGACACCTCTTCTAGGTCTTCTAGCGGTGTTGTTGATATTTACGGCTTTCGAGTTGTTAAAATAAATTGATGGTTAACTTATAACTATTACTTCCCTCTGATCGCTCATATTTTCTGGCAGGTGTAAGCGACCCCCCTGACTCTACGATCTGCGATAATCAAGAGTCGCTTCCTACCCCTGGCACAAGCTTACAGTTTACAGAACATCCTTCTGAAGTGTTTAAAGATACCACACTTGAGACGCCACTTACAAGTACACCATCGAAAGCCCCGAGACCTTGTCCTGAGAGAAGCTCTAGAGAAGATACTAATCAAGGCAGACCACGTCTTGGAACACCTCATCGTCCTGCCTGCCCTTTCATCGAGGATTTTCCCTTCGAAAAATTGCCTCAGCTTCCCACGGATGTTGCCAAGCTGATCGACAATGGATTCCTTCATTGCTGGAAGTCCGGAGTTTGTTTGAGTCATCCGCGCTTGTTCCTCTTGCTGCACTGTGTTCCTGACACGGCAAATGATCGACAGGTCATTGTCACAGAGGTGAGTCCCTGCCCTCAAGGCCGCAGGGTGCTCAGCTATGTGGTAGATCATATTGATACTCTGATTCGTGAGTGGTACCAAGAACTCTCCACCACAGACGGTTTTCAACCCAGGGTAAGACAGTTGATACCTTGCGTGGTGTGCGAGCGGCTTGGTCTCGAGCCCTACAAATTCACATTTGTTCAATGCCAGCAGCAGAGTTCCAAATCCGACACAATTTCATGCCCCAAACATCCTCGACTGGAGGTCAATCTACACAAAGTAGCGCCTGATATCATGTTACACGACGTAGATGCTGATTTGCTGTTGTCACATGATGAGATCACTTATGAAGACACTGACTCTAGTAGGCTGGGAACTGGTGGATTTGGGAAGGTATTGTGAATTATTAGAAACCTCTAGATTCGACGCTAACACCCTTCGTTTAATGACGACAGCTCTTACGTATTCCCGCTAAAATGACGCCGCTTCACGCGTGAGCACTGCTTGGTATTGAGAAAATCTCGTACTCGTAGTCGTTCTTGTCTTATATTCTTAAAATCTCTATTATAAACGTTATCTTACTAGTTTTAAGTCGTTGTGAACAATTTTTAGGTTGCTTATGAGGCTGGATCAGAGTGATGTCGAATTGCACTTTGAGTTTTGGACTCGCGTCTTTTTTCATTGGCTATTACAAAGTTGCGCCGGGCTGTAGTGGGTCAAAATTTTTCTCAAAAACATCTCATACTGCATGTCAACACGTAGTCGTAAATGAGCCCAAAAATGACCAAGATGCTAAAGTAACGTTGAATTTGAAAACGTGACCTTCAGAAATCGATTTGGAGCTAGAGACTAGAAGGATCAATTTAGGTCTCTGGGAAACTGCCCACCTACCCCTCCCTTAACCCAACATTTTGCCCCAGGTGAGACGCAAATGTTAACTTTGAGTTAGGGGAGGGGTAGGTGGGAAGTTTCTCAGAAACCTAAATCGATCCGACTAGAATGAAACTGAGCCTTCTTAATCCTTTCACTGAGTGCAAGTTAACCATAAACATTGCTGCAGTTACCGTATCCTTCTACATATCCTTTGAAACATAAACACAGTAAAACCCCGTTAATACGGACACTGAGGGGACAATAGAAAGTGTCCTTATTAACGGGGTGTCCGAATTAAGCGGGTTGAATTAAGAAAAAATGGAAGGGCTTTATTCCCCAGGGACAAAGCAAACTGTCCGTAATAACGAGGTGTCCTTAAAGCGGGGTTTGACTGTACATAGGTATTGCATTGCTGACAATGTTGCACTCCGTGTTACTGTATCAGGTTGTTCGTGGACAGTGCAGAGGGCAAGATGTAGCCATCAAGTTTTATATTCAGAGCGATGAGTCAGAGCCCCTCAGGCATTATCGTGAAGTGCGTAAGGAGTTGAACGTTCTGCGTCGTGTTCGCCAACACCCATTCCTGATCAGCGTTATTGGTGTTTCCCTGCGTCCTCTGTGTCTGGTGCTGGAACTTGCTGAGCGTGGTGCGCTTACTGATATTATTGTCAAACAGAAGTCTGTAGACCGGATTGTGCTTTTCCGCATCGCCTATCAAGTAGCAGACGCCTTGAGATTTCTGCACGATTTGGGTATAATTTATCGGGACTTAAAACCTGAAAATGTCCTTGTTTGGTCACTGGACGAGCGTGATGAACTGCACGTTAAGCTCATCGACTTTGGCACCGCTAACTTTGCGACCATGACAGGTCTTATTTCGTACGCAGGCACACCCGGTATTCGTGCCCCGGAGATGTTGGAATGCGCTAACAAGGAAGAGTATACCTTTCAAGTAGATGTTTACTCATACGCGATCCTTCTGTATCAGCTCGTTACACGACTAGTTCCCTTTGAAGAATACGATTCTGAACCGAAGATCAACGCGGCTGTCATCGGGGGAGAGCGTCCAAGGTGGCAGCAGGTCCGCGTGACTATGTTCGGTCTTCCGACACTCACCGAACTGATGCTTCGGTGTTGGTCGGGTAAACCGACCAGGCGACCGAAGAGTGCTGAGATAGTAGAGCAAGTCCGTCAACCAGCATTCCAGTGTTTACTCGCTAAACAGCCCATTCCCACTGAAAGCCTGTCAGTCAGGCATGCGTGCCTCGTCCCAGATTCCCATGATCTGTGGCTCGCGTGTGATGGTCGCACCGCTAACAAAATTTTCATTTACAATAGTCGGACACTCGACATGAAATTTTCCTTCTGTATTGACACTTACCAAGAAGAGAAGTACGTCTTGCAAATTCAGTGCATGCATTTCATGGCACATCACATGTTGATCGCACTCCGCGGTGAGTTGGACTTAGTCAACATCTACTCCACCTCAAGCGCATCGCGCTACAAGTGCGTGGCATCCTTTACCTTTAAAGAAATGGTCACCTGTATCGCGTCAAACGATCAGTTTATCTTTTTTGGATTCATGGACGGACAAGTTCGCTACATCCTGAAAACAGATGTAAAGAAAAATGAAAGACGACGTGTTTTTCGCAGCTTTCCTGTGGAGCGCCACCGGATTCTTTCAATGGCTGTTGCCGAAGATAAACTCTGGGTGGCAACCAGCAGATATATCTTCCGTTTCTTCACTAAACCGGGTGAGATGGAAGCGTTTGACATAGACGCCATGTGGTATGCTGGTCCAGTTGGCATGGAAAACAATCCGCAGACTCAGGTCTCCCTTTTGAGGGTTGCTTTTGATGGACAAAGCGTTGTGTCTGTTTGTAGGTAGGTACCTATCTGCTTGCAGGGCGTCGCAGAGTAGATGAGCTCAATTTGAATACGTTAATTTTTATTGTGAAAGGTTTGAACTCAGACGTCAGTTCAGAAGTAGGTTGAGCACGATCTTCCAGGAAAACGTAGCGCTGAATAGGACTGTTGTTGACAGTGACTGACGTTTCGACAACCTGTGCGGTAGTCATATTCAGAGGAAACTGAGTTTTGTCACGTCAGTTGATGGTATTACTCTGTTTATTGACCTGACTGGTCAATTAAGTCGCGATGTTGTTGGTCGTCTGTTCAGTCAGTCGGGTGCAAAGGTTTCTGCCGGTTTCACCAATGTAACTGGTCTGGCAGTCACAGCAGTTGATCTCTTATTGCTCCCTGTCTGTCCACCGGTTTGTCTTCGTCCTTAACATTTGTAAGAAGCCGTCGCAAAGTTGTTATCGGTTTGTGTGCAACACTTTTATTGTAGGTGCCTCTCAGGTACGGTATGGTCGCTGTCGTAACAGGGTCAGAGTTAACGTTGGCCTGAGTGTTGTACTCGGCGTTACTGTGAGTGTTTCGTCTAACAGAGTCCGTGTTGTAGTTGTTTCTACCAGAAACGTTGTTTAGGTACTCTTCTCGTAGACTGTCAGGCGATTCGTTAACTAGTTGCGCTCGACTCGTCTAAGTCCGTATAGTTGTAATCTTATGAGAGGTCGGGTTGTACGACGACTGGTCCAGTAATCTGTCGGTATGTGTCGGTTTCCTGTAAATTTACGTTCGTAGTCTGTTCTCGCGAGTGCGGATCAAGTAGTTTAGAAAAGGTATTTTACCGTTTTCCTTGATATCATTCGTAAACTTTATGTCTGCGTTCTGTCTGTTAAGGTGTTCGTGAAAATCTTCGATGTCGTCCTTGTGTACAGCGATAAAGGTGTCGTCAACGTAGCGTAACCAAGGAGATATAGTTCGCGTGTAAGTAGCTAGGGCTTGCTCCTCGATGTTTTGCATCACAATTTCTGCTACAACAACAGAAACTGGAGAGCCCATAGCTGTACCGTGTAACTGTACCGTTTGCCGTTGTACTGAAGGTACGTCGACGTTAGGCAGAGGTTGAGTAGGTCCATATTGTCGTGTGTATGCAGTGGTAGTTTAATAGTGGAGTTCGTAATAGCGTTCTCAGTGCATTCTAGAACCAGTTGAAGTGATTCAGTGATTTCACGTCAAAGACACTTGTTTGTGGTCGTCAGGTATCTGTATTGCCTTAATGGCACCAATAAAGTTCTTAGTAAACTGTAGTTTATATCTAGATTCGTCAGTCAAAGGTTTCAGTACGTTAGTTAAGTATTTAGACAGTTCGTAAGTCGGGGACCCACAGAAAAAGACTGTGGGCCGCATATTTACGTTGCGTTTGTGTACTTTTGGTAGTCCATACAGCTTGGGTGGCTGCGGGACACTACACAGTCTGTTGTAGCGTCAGTGGATAATCAGATAATCATTGGATCGTCAGAGTAATACCTTCAGCTGACGTGATACAACTCACTTCACTCTGAAGATGACTACCGCACAGGTTGTCGAAACGGCAGTCACCGTCAACAACAGTCCTATTCAGGACTACATAGGCTCAAGTTTATTTTTGTCTGAGCCGATCTAAGCATACTCCAAGCCCTCGTCCCTTAGGATTGCACTATCTATGTTGCGTAACGTAAACGTTTTTAGCGGATTTTTCTGGGGGCTTGCACGACAAACGTAAAATCCTCTGGACCCTGTGTCCTTCAACTTGGGTACGTGATTTAGTTCTTGTGCCTTTGATCACAAGCCTACCATCCACTGCATGTGTGATGTTTTATTTATTTTTCATTCAAAATATATCTCCCGTTCTGATTAACTCAAATTCCCTGGCATATTCTTCATAACCAGCTCGCGATAACCAAATTTGAAAGACGTTTGCGATATCCGGTAAAATGACGTCAATGGTACAGGCTCCTACCGACAGAACAAGGGACAAAAACCAAGAAGTCCTTGGGGCGAGGTTGTGTTAGCTCAGTTGTTTTGATACAGTTGGAAAAAATGGCGAAAAATTCTACACGGAAGAGATTGCCGAGCTTCTGCCTAAGAGAGGAAGGGTGGTGCTTTTTATTTTTATTGTCGTCTAATCATTTTACCTCCCTTTTTTATGCAGGTCTGTTCTTAGTAAATGGGATGTCTGCAGCATACAAAAACACTTCAGTGTCGACTGTGCTCCCATTATACACAGCCTTCCCGGCAGGTCAACTGACACGATGGTCGTGGAAAGCACTGATGCCTTTGCCTGTATCACATGCGTGGAGCCCACGCGCGACGCCGTTTGGGTGGGGACCTCGAGCGGTCACATCTTGATTTTCGATTCGGATACGGGGCATCTTCTCACGTGGTTCCATACTTTTGATGAAACGCGTAGCCTTACCCTCATGCACGGCCCAGGCCCATGTGGCACTGAGCAGAATTACGTCATCAGCACGGGCAAAGGGCTTAGACCTGAGGGATTAGGGACACGTAGTGTGTGTGTGTTGTCTGCGGAACGAGTACGAGAGCCCCCCGTGGAGATTGCTGCGAGGAAAATTTCCGAGCCGAAACAAAAGATAGGAAAACAGAACCAACGAAGCCCGACTCCTCCATGTGTCGATGAGCCCGATGCTGCAGAGGCAGACCGGTGCCTTCCCCCGAGGTGCGTGATGATTTTGTGGGAATCTGTGTCCAAGAGCTGTTTTTCCAGAATCGAGGCCAAAAGTAGTCGGCAGCGTTTTCCGATTGTTGCTAACAATAATGTCTCCGAAGACCAGGCCTCGAAAGATAGCGAAGAAGAGATTCGTCAAACGTAATCCGTAAAACGGTAACCTGAGATCAACTTGTATTTGTGACCACGTCGCACTAGTTTACGACCCGAGTACTAATTCTCTAAATCTCAATGGGCTCGGCTATTAAAATATTTTTTGGAGAAGAAATCATTGAGGTGAACAAACCGACGAACTGGGGTCTGTATCCAATTTTTGCAGATCACCAAAAGAGCGTTTTTTCTTTAACATAAAATTTCTTAATAAACTATTGTAGTGGCCTTATGCCTAGCAAAATTTGTGTAATAATAGGTGGTTTTGTATGAGAAAGTTTATTGAACGCTATCGAAGTTCAGTTATAACGCAGTGTCAGAAACGTGCCGTATTTCCTATATTTTACATACAAATGTGTTAGAATAGATATAGCAAGGTATATTTCATGATGTAAAACGTAGTGTTACAGAGCCTGTAGCATCTTGGTTGTTTTTATTGAGCGCTAAAAAGGCCAGTTTTACATTTCTTATATCAGTCGGTCTTACGTTTATGTTTACGTTGTGAAAAGCTCTAAACTTGCCTTCAAATAAGTAACAAACCAATTTGTTTGTTGAGAAGGGCCCTCAGTAAAGTTTAAAAATACAAACGTAGGTAAATAGAGATTAAACAAAATGCTGCTGCGTTGTTTAAAATGAGAGAGTCTGGGTACAAGTGTGATGAACATCACACAGATTCGTCCCAACCGAGCTTGTGCATTCCTATGTGCAACCTTCTGCCGAAGGCTTAGCCAGATACCAAAATTTTCCAGTTACGGCACTTTAGGTAGAACCTCTCAAGAGAGACCGCGACCGTTTTAGAGCGGTTGATGGTAACATTTTTTCGTTTTATTGTAGCTGAGGTTATGCGCGCGCGACGTTTCCTCCTTTGCTGTACAAATTGGAAACCTATCGATGCGAATGAAATTTGGTTATGACATTAGGGAACGTACGACCATCCGTACAGACTCTCGAGGATTGGGAAGGGAGACTCTTCAAGGCAGAGGAAAGGAGTCCCAGACATGCACCGCGTTTCGGTCTTGGCTTAAAATTAACCAGTATAAAGGCAATCAGTGTAACTTCCCCAGCAAAAATCTAGAACTTTCTTGTGTTTCACTTACGACAAAAAATTTTTTGCTTGGTTACGCTTTTGGTCACTCTCCAGGACCAGTCTAGTCTCAGACTGGTCAAAATTTTGACAGGTGTTTGCATGCTTAACAACGTATGCAGCATTTTGAATAGACCTCTTCACGATACCTGCGATTTTTGCACGCGCTAACAATTAACTTTTGTAAACAAAATGTCTGTTTTCTCACCATACTTTTTATCTCGTAAATGAGAAGTTTTACTCTTACGAACAAAACCAATACTTTCAATATATATATATATATATGATCCTGATAATTAGAAGCTCAACACCATACTTTAAAAAAGTAATTCCCTATGAAAATTAAATATATTTATAGCAGCATATATTTTGTTTCCTTGCACACATTCCACAATATGTCGCACATAAAATAGTTACATTATTCTAAGCACATGCTAGCAAAGAAATTTATCTTCTATACATGAATTTTATTTCACATCAGCGAAAACTCTGAGTATTAATTTTTAAAAGCAGAACTCGGTAAAATGATGTAAGCTCAATGTTACATGATGGATGTAAGAGCTGTTCTCTCTGTCCACCTCACTTATCTTAGATTCTTGATTGTAATGCGTTATGTATAGTTTTAATATTAATTTTTTACTTTTATATTGTTGCCGTAATTCCAATTGTAGATTGTGTATGGGGTTTATCCTAAGCTATAAGGCTCCGACACATTAATAAAGTCTTCTATCTATCTCTCTGTCTGTTTGTTATCTGTCTGTCTGTCTGTCTGTCTATCTATCTATCTATTTGAGGCTATTAATCCCTGTAAGGTTCAGTGAGCTTTACCTCAAAAACCCTAAATTCCTCTGAGATGGGCAACTCTAATCTAACTCCAAAACTGGAGAGTGTTTGATAAAGATCAAAGCATTTTCTCTTTGCCGATCATTTTATGAATTCTCATAACCATTTCTCTTTACAATGTATTCATATTGTTGGGAGAAAATTGATGTTAGTCACTATTGAGTGTTGAAGGGTTAAGAGGCATTTTGTTTAACAAACTTGCACAGTATAAACATTTTAGTGAAAAATTGAAACTGCTGTTAAACAAAAATTCAAGACCATATCTTGACATAAATAAATCTGCAGTTATTAACAAAGTCATACATAATCGTCTTCAAATTGAAGACGGTTTTGCACGATACCTAGCATACACACGCAAAAACAGAGCAACAAAGACAACAATGACCCCCAAAAGAGCTTGAGCGGACAATGGGTGATTATAAATAATGCACGACAGCATGATACTCAACATCATTCTAATGGTCATGATGATGGTAAACACAACTGGCCCAAAAGACTGTATGGTGAAAAAAATAAAAAGCTGCCCTGTCACTGAAGTCAGTGACAGTATTGTGGCATGGTAGGCAAACTCAGGGTGGCTCATCATAAACCCAACAGCTGCTAAAAAATTTCCACCCTCAATCATTGACCATACTGTGAAGAGACAAGAGAACAGGTTTGCGCCAAACATCATTTGGATGGTTGACATCTTGTATACTGAGAACAGTTCCGTTTGCCAGTTGGAAGTGAAACTATCAAATGCCATGTATCCTAGAAGTATTATAGCTCCTGAAAAAGTGGTAGCAGCAGATGTTCGCTTCCCTGATGGCTCTGCCGCCAAGAGAAAGAGACTCACGCCTGCAGAGAGTAGAACAGCAACAACATATTCGTGGTAGGGGTAGGATTTGTTGGACACTATCTTGCCCATGATCATTACTGGAATGATCTTGGATGCTTTACAAAGAACTTGGGTTGGAAAGCTGAAGTACTTAAGGGCCTCATATTGACACCAGCCGCTCAAAATATTTGAAAAGGACGAATAGGAATACTTGTAAAGGGGTGCAGTGTGGCGTGGCTGGTGCGTGAACAAAATACAAACTGATGCTACAACTAAAGCAAGTGAACGATTTACAAATATTAGGAACTGAGAGTTTGTAAATTTCACTAATTTGACTGAGCCATCAGGAAGGTGCTCTTCATAAGTTCGTGTCACTATTCGCTCCTGTAGGACAGCCCAGGTGAGGTATGACAATTGCAAACCCCCTGCACAAAACAGAAGCTTGATAATTGGTTGAGAAAAACTTGGTGGAGGACAGCTTTCATCCTTTGAAGGACTTTCTTTGATGCCACCATCTTCTGCTTGAACGTCTGCAGATTCTATATGAGGAGCACCAAAAACGCACAGCTGAATTGAGCGGAACAAGCAGCTAGTTCCTAAAATAAGCGAAAAGAAATAGACAGTATTTTCAGGACATGATAAAATACAGTGCAAATTTAACCTCATGTTATGTACATGCCTTGGTCTTAAATAATAAAGTGAACATGCCTTGTCCAGTTTAAGAAAATTTTAATATAAGTGCATTGTCCAACAAAACGTTACAAACTAGATATCTTTGTCATAACAATCGTAATTATTATAGGAAGCAAGTGAAATACTTGAACAAGAAATTCACAACCTCAAAAGATGGACCAAGGAAAGCATTGTGTCAACCAGAGCTTGATCTCCCATGCATGATTAAGATATATCTCCCAAGTTATCCCCACCCCTAACCTGAATTGGCGGGGGAGGTGGGGGGTAGCTTTGACGCAAGTACTTGACTGTCTTGACTGTCAACATGATCTGTGTAAAGGCGTTTTTTAACGGAAACTCGGAGGTACATTGATCGCGGCTGCCATCTTGAAAAGAAAAGGAAAAGACTAAGGGAGGAGGACGTTAAAAGGGGCAGGGGCGGGGAGGCCTCTTCCTTCAAATCAGTTTTTGACTCGTCCCAACTCTCTGGCAGTATTAATGTCCAAGATGGCGGGACAACGTCATTCCCGAAAACAAATCATCGCGCCAAAATATGCCTTATTTACTTGTGGCCTTTAACTTACTGAAACTCCCTGCGAGTCAGAGAAAAGAATGACAGTAAGCGATCTCTCTCGTTTCCTGTGCTACTTTTTTCGTTGAAATAACTATATAGCTAAACCTTTTAAAAATAAATTTATGTTCAAAAAAGAAATGAAAATAAAGCAAGATGAAGGAATGATCGCTGACATATCGAGCTACTACTGCAACAAGGTTCATTAGCAGCACCTACAAAAATCCTTCGTCTTAAATTAAATAAAGAAGAAATTATAAACGAAAAGAAAATAAAAACTCTTTAAACAAAAACATACATGCACAACGTCAGGGTGTACACTATACACGTAGCACGAACAGGGCAAACATCTTACCACTTCGTTCATTAAAGTTTGAGTTCTTGAGCATACTGATGATACAAGCCGAGGGGACGATAATTGTTGCATAGCCAAGTAGGTTCCACATCAGGTTCTCTATCCAGCTATCATTATCCACCTCGACATTTTGTCCCGAACTCGGGTCCTTCTGATTCTCCGTGTCCCCTAGCGCTTCGTCTCCTTTCACGTGAGCTCCGTATATCGTTAGAGCGAGTAGCAGTACGGCTATCAGGTGAACAGATATAGACTTAAACATATTGTAGTCAGGAAGCAAAGACCGAAAAATGCTAGTTTCGTTCAACCATGACGCAACAGAAAAGTCAGACGCTTGATTCTCGAAGACAAAGACTTCCCGATCAACGCTTTAACAATTAGTTCATGCGTGAGCGTGCGTATGTCGAGAAAAATATGAAACAGCAAACTGATCCTTACGGCAAGGCGATGAAGAAGTAAACAAAAGAATTTGTATGTGGAGAAAGCGGAAGTTTGGGCAGCACGAAAGTGCGCCTCGATCGAGCAACTCTAACCTCTTAAGTGCTCTCCAAACTTCCCGCGTGCTCAATATCTTGGCATACGCACAGCTGAAGCATGAACTTATTGTTTTATAACATTATCGAAGCGTTCAATGCAGCAGTTAACTCATAATTATAACATAGCGCGCGTGCTTGCCCTATATAAGTCCTATTAAGCCGCTATGAACAAAATCTTTATTTACACACGCCTGTACGTAAATAAAGATTTTTTTCATGATCGGGGGCACCCAACGTCAGTTTTCGGAAAATATCTGTTCGGAAGACGATATGAGAGCTAGAATTTTCGGAACATTTGTTGTAAAATTTCTTGCTTGCCTGCCTCTCCTAGGATTTTCGAGCATCTGAAACATGGTATAATTGCCCATTTAAAACGGATTTTTGCCCGAAATTTTCGACAGCATTTTTTGTGGCTGAAATTTTCGAAAAGGTACCTTAAGCTTTTAATCCCTATAATTTTCGGATCACTAGACTTTCTGCTAGGAAATCCGAACAAATGAAAAAATTTTAGGGGATACAAATATACCTATATCTACAGTTTAAATACTAAAATACGTTTAGCAATGCTATGTTTAAGTGATCTTGAACTATATTCTTGTTGGGTGCTCCTGCATGATGACGTGTTCAGCTGTGTTTTTCGTCTCTTTTCCTAAGTACCCAAAAATCGACAGCAATGATGAAAAACTTTCCAGTTTTTCTTGAAATTTAGCTTTGTTCTAGCCACTCAAACCAACAGCAAAAGCAGTGAAGATGTTTCGCCAATAATAGTATAATAGAGCCTGAACCACAAATTGGTCTGACCAGCCAATATTCGTAAATGAATGTAAGTTTAAAGAAGGATGACAGTCGTCTTCGCTGACAAACATGTTTTCTGGATTTCGCCGAGCAAAACGTCACAACAAAACGTAAGTTACACTCTTTTCAGCAAATCCAAACCATACTCCACCACTTCTTACGAACATGTGAGTATTTTAACTTTAGGTGAACTTTAAGACTCTTTTACCATTGTTTCTGCTTAATTAGTTTCCATTGATCTTTAACGAATAAAGAAGCAAATATTCTTTCTCAGTTTTACAGAATGAATGTTCATTCCAACTAGACGATTGTGGCGTGTTTGTGATCAGCCAATAGAAGCGTTCATTTCTGCCTCTAACCCAGACGTCTCTCTTTCTCTCTCTCCCTCTCTCTCTCTCTCTCTCTCAATGAAAATGTGCGTGCAAAGGAAGGCGGGAAGGAGACAACGGGCGAGACGGCGTTTCGCCAGTCGTCTGTACCCTTCCCATGGTCCCTTGCGGCTCCTCACCAGTCGCTTGCGAAAAACTAAGCGCCTGAGGAGGAGGCTGCGCTTGTTATTTGCCGCGCGTTACGAGAATTTTGCAGTTAAACAAAGAGCACGCATTTTTGTCAGCTATGTTATAAAAGCATTTGCTCATACTATTAGCTGTGCGTATTTAGAGTTATGGATGCAGTTGAGAAGTTTGGAGAGCACTCAAGAAGCTAGAGTTGCCATCGGCTGCGCCTCGAGCTACTCTTAGGCATCTTTTGTGTTCTGCAAACTTCCCGCCTGCATCCATAACTCAATATACGCATGGCTAAGCGTGAACAAATTCTTAAATTTTATTTTTGTAGGGCGAGCTCAAAGCAGTACGCGTCAATGTCTACGTGGCATTTTTTTTACCTTACAGTCATGTTTTTGTGAAAGTTTTAGCCTGAGAAAACAGCCGACATTTGGCGACGCTGCCACTGGTTTCCTCGCCAAACGACGTCTGAGAAACGAGCGCAGAAATTCCATACTGATGACGCGTCATGACCCAGGTTAAAGGCCTGGGTCTAAGGGAGTTTACCTGACAAAAATGAATTATTGGCTATAACTTTGGCACAGATGATGGCGCTGAATCAAAATTTGGCGCAAGCAAAGAACTGATGGTCCTCAACATTTTAAACTATGAATGTTGTGTCAATAAGTCACGTGATATGTAGTGTGACCAGTTTGCTAAAAATTGTAAATTATTGACCAATTAGTGGCCGGTTTAAGAAACGAAATCAAGCAATAAACATTTTTCTAATTCATATTAAATATTTGTAATGTAGACTTTACGCTTTACGCCATTGCACTTCACTTATGAGGAAAAACATCATTTTAAATGCCCAAATTTAATCTTGAATTATTTTAAAGTTTACTTTTAAACTTGGGGTACATTAATTTGAAACGTAGAAAGTTAGGTATGTTTATCCTCTTTCAGAAATGCCAATTTGTTTATCCGAACAAAGTAGAATTCGCCACCAATTCGTCAATTTCCTTCATTTCCAATTTTTGGTCACATGACATGTCACGTGACCATAATTAAACTTTAAGGCACAAGAAAACCTCAAGATTTACCTTTGGAGAAAACTTCGTTTTGTTCTAGGTCTCCTAGCGAGAGATAATTGCCAATCATTCATATGATCAGAACACACCTTTGACCCAGGCCTTAAACGCCTTCACCCAAGATGTGTGGCGTCAACTATTTCTATTGACAATGTATGGGTACGTATTGTTTGGAAAAAATTGAAGTTGGTTGCTATTGAGTGAAGGGTTAAGAGGCATTTTGTTTAACAATCTTCTACAGTACAAAATTTTACTGAAAGATTGAAACTGTGCCGTTGAAAAAATTCAACACCGTCACTTGACAGTAATCTGCAGTTATTAACAAGGTCAATTAGCATTCTTTTCTGACAACATTGCCTTGATACAAACAGTTACCCCTTGGTAAATGGTTTTGCGCTATATTTACCATACACACGCAAGGCAGTGCATCAAACACAACAATAATCCCCAAAACAGCTTGAGCAGACAATGGGTGATTATAATTAATGCACGATAGCATGATACCAGAAACCCATAAGGGGTTGAAACGTGCAACTCTCATATTTTTGCTTTGTCCTATGCTCGTGATTATTCATTTTCAAAAGTACCATATTTGGAACAAGAAGAAGAGATAACTGACCAATCAAGCTTCGTAATCAACATGACTTAATTTTACTTCAGGTTCCCGCGCCCGCTTGAAAAAAATGGCCGACAAACGGGGGAAAAACTGCCGAAAGCCGAGAAAGCTTTCAAAGTTTGAAACTAGGAATCTTACCAAAACACTGAGCAGGATATTATTGCCTTACCACCCGGGCCAAACATAACATTATGAAACCCACTGACGTCCTCGCAACTTCTTGAAGTTCTCACTTCAAAAAACGATGCCTCGTTGACCCTCTGCACGGTAAACTTATAGTGCAAGTAGGCTTTTAAAATTCGTATATTAAAAGTCTTGAATAAACAGTAAAAATATTTTCGGATAAAATTCATCAGCTGCGTATCGAAAAGTGTCCAAAACCTGAACCTGACATCTTCGCAAAAAGTGATGCGTGTAATGAATGTGAGAAGCATTTAAGCTTTTACAGCTTGGATGTTGTAGTCACGATCGTGTTTTGAGGTAATTTTATGTATGAACAAACTCAAAACAATAGACAGAGAAGCCGTTTCTTGAAAATTTTTATTCAGAATCCAAAAAGTTAATCCCTTAAAGCAATTCGGAAAACACTATCTGGATCGTGGATCCGTTCACGCAAGTGAAATCGGCTGAACACATGGCAAAATTCAACACAAAATCCATCTCAAATCGGGGCACATTTTGTAATTTTTCTTTAGCGCCGAAGAGAAAAATTTATAAAGCATCTATGAAACATTTAAAAATACATATATTCTCTTTCAAAAACGTAATTGTCTTGGCCATAGAGTGCAAAACGTACCTGAAAATTCAGCAAAAACTTCACTACCTTGGTTGCATTTCAAAACAGACCATGCGCTCCGTCGAGAAGCAAACAAGGTTAGATTCCTCGAAGGACGATTTCTTGATGAAAAGCTTCCCTTCCACCACAAAAAGAAAGCTGAGCATTCTTTTGAACCTTCTCTTTCCATTTTTTGTCTTTTAACGGTGTATCTTTATCCTTGAAATGCAGAACTCTTGTCCTAAAACATCTGCATGGTGATCGCGCGGCAGCCATTTGTTGAAAATGATGTCTGTCATTAAGGTTTCCAAATATGGTAAAAGTGAATATTCACGTTCTGATTCGTTCTATTCTGATGATACTCAACATCATTCTAATAGTGCACCTATCAATGTAAAGCCGGCGGGGGGGGAGGCAGGGCATGGGGTGGGGATTTGATTGTCTTTGTTGGCCCTGGGGTAGGGCATTTGACTGATCTTGTTCTCCCAGGGGAGGGGATATTTGAATCTTTCTTCGCCCGACGTCGAGATATTTGACTGCCGACTCGGACGTAAAAGACTGAGACCGAACATATGTTTTCCGCTCTCACGCTTCACGCATGCGCCGTACGGTTTGAAAAGATCAGGAAATCATGGGGGCCAATGAGAACAAGCGAAGGCTGAGTGGATTTCACTGTTTTGTCTTCAAATTTCGTTTGTTTTAGCGTGTTTTTGATCAATTGAACCTCTTAAAATACTGTGGTATCAAAGTAAACGGAAGTAAAGAGAAACCAAGTCGATTTTTGCAAGTACAGCTGATTAGTGTATGGCTTATTCGCTACATTCACGGTAAACTGATAAAACTGGCTTTCTTTGTACCCTTTACTAAGAACGGTATATTTAAACTTACAAAATGTGGACTTTCTCCTAAAGGTTTATGTATTCTACGCAGTGTAACACGGATTATGGTTAAAACGTATAATTGTAGCTGTAACAGAAACATGTATCTTTGGTGATGCAGCAACGTTTATAAAAGATTGCAGAGTTTTATTCAGAGATATTTTTATTGTGCCTTTCTTAGGTTCTGCCTTTGGATTGACAGCAATGTGCAGCCCGGGGTGGGGAAATTTGGTTGCATTTGACTGGAATGATTTGCCCGTGGGCAGGGAATTTGATTGAAAATTTTTGAAAAAAGTCAAATCCCCACCCTATGCCCTGCCTCCCCCCCCGCCGGCATTACGTTGATAGGTGCATAGTAGACATATTAAATTCTGTAAGCAGAATACTGCAATGCTGATCGTACTACGTGAAAAATAATGCTGCAAGACATCAACATGACACCGAAAGAACTCAAAACAGAAAGGAATTGTAGCCATAGACAGCTGTTTCGCCCAATTGGGGCTCGTCAGAATGGCGCAACGACGGAGAAAGCTCTGATGAAAAATATCCACGCACTCTGATTTTAAGCCCTGACCCAGAACTCTCCCATGCGTGGATATTTTTCATCAGAGCTTTCTCTGTTGTTGCGCCATGCTGACGAGCCCCAAAAAGGGCTAAACAGCTGTCTATGGCTACAATCCCGTTCTGTTTTAAGTTCTTTGGGTGCCATGTTGATGTCTTACAGAGTTATTTTTCACGTAGTACGATCAGCATTGCAGTATTCCGTACGCAGAATTTAATATGTCTACATTTATCATTTTTGCTGATCAGGTCTTTATAGATCCAACGTTCTTCGGCATATTCGTTTGCGGTCCTTTGCAGTCCTTTGTGGTTAATCAGTTTGTATCATTCTAATGGTTATGATGATGGTAAACACAACTGGCCCAAAAGACTGTATGGTGTAAAAAATAAAAAGCTGCCCTGTCGCTGAAGTCAGTGACAGTATTGTGGCATGGAGGGCAAACTCAGGGTGGCTCATCATGAACCCAACAGCTGTCAAAAAAATTCCACCCTCAATCATTGACCATACTGTGAAGAGACAAGAAAACAGGTTTGCGCCAAACATCATTTGGATGGTTGACATCTTGTATACTGTGAACAGTTCCAATTGCCAGTTGGAAGTGAAACTATCAAATGCCATGTATCCCAGAAGTATTATAGCTCCTTAAAAAGTGGTATCAGCAGATGTTCGCTTCCCTGATGGATCTGCTACCAAGAGAAACAGACTCACGCCCGCAGAGAGTAGAACAGCAACAACATATTCGTGGTAGGGGTAGGATTTGTTGGCCACTATCTTGCCCATTATCATTACTGGAATGATCTTGGATGCTCTACATTGTTGCATTATTTATAATCCCGACCCCTGAGATAAGGGGCAGCCTGGTCTCCACAATTTTTTTTTGGCCCTTCGGGCCTCAGTTTAGTGTAATAATAGGGGTGGGGGTTACAATGTGATATCCCCTGCTAATTAGCAGAACAGAACGAAACATACTCTTTTACATGTAAAGCGATATACTTTTTTGGACGAAACTGGATTTGTATTTGTGCTTTTCTAATGATGACTATGGTTTCATAAAATGATAACAATCGGTGGCTAGCTTGGTGGAAAGATTTTACGGATTTGCGTTCTTTTTCGTTTCTTCCGTGTACGTTTGAAATAGCCGTATATGACGTACTTGCTATGTGCTGTGTTACATTTCAAGTGCCATATATAGAGAGTGAAGCGTAATATGAACTGGCGGACGAGAAAAACGAAAGATGGACAGCACTTTCATTTGCCTGCGTGCAGACGTCTCCTATTTCCTTTGTTGCAACAAAGGAAATAGGAGACGTCTGCACGCAGGCAACACTTTCATGCGTCGCTTTGCAGAAATTTAGAAACAAAAAGATTATTATTTATCTCTCTGACAGCAGCAAAAGGGTAGGAATGGGTATTCGCTATTGATCCAGTGATTCACTCTCTCGTTCTCGCAGAAGAAACCGAACACTCGACAGAAACTTCTAAGAAAATCACTTTTGTGTTTATAGGACATTCGATTTCAGGGTTGCTTTGGAGGAAGACGCTGAATCCAGCAAAGGACCTCGCCGTCAGTTAACTGATTTCATTGGAGATGCGAAGGATACCCAATATTCTCAGGAAGAGCTGATAAAAAGGAAAGAGGATTTAATGGACTGGCTTTCTCGTAACAGAGTTCCTGTTAGTGAATACTCTGAAAACAGTACGTTTCTGTCTGTTATGGGAGTGTTGCTAGTGGAACCCCCTTATGGCCCTGACTGCGGTAGATGTAGCAACGAGATCGTACTGGACTGTGTTCAGAAACTTATAAAAGCAAAGCAAGGTCATGATAAGTGAGCAAGGAAATAGTTCTACAGAATTATAATATGCGCTACTGTTCAGCTGTACTGTTATGGAGTTGATGTACTCCCTCAGTTGATGGCATAGTGCCTACACTTTGATTTATGATTGTAGCCGCAAAAATCACAGAGTCCTCATTTATTTGTGAGGTGGGGAACCTAAGGGGTTTGCAAGTGCCATGAGTATGTGCCGCTCAAAAAAGATTAGAATAATGGGACTTTTGATCTTCAGGGGAGTTCATGGAATTCCATATGATATTTCCACTGCATGAAAGAATCACTTATTTTATTATATATTATATTTTATTATATGTTATAATATTATATATTTTATTATATTTCCTTAGACAAGGAACTTTGCTCCACTTTGTCTCTTATCACCCAGATGTATAAAATCGGTACCGACGACATACTGCTGGGCGATAACCCTGCAATGGACTAGCATCCCATTCAGGGGGGAGGGGAGTATCAATACTCCTAGGTGCTTCATGCTAATGAAACCTCGGCCTTGATGTATTGGCCTTGCTATTGCTCTGCCGAAGACTATGTGATATTATTCCAGAAAATATCCATACCCCTCCCACGAAGGGTTCTTCCGAATTATGGGTGTTTCAGGGGGAGTGGGTTAATAATTATTATTTTGGTGGCCTGCAAGCAAGTTCTCTTTGTGAGAATCATAAGGGGTGGCTCACTCTTCCACAAACTTTGACTTTCGTGCCTTCTAAATGGAGACCTTTCTGGCAGGCTACATATTTTTCAGGTCAGTAAAATCTAAATCTAGGTCCATGAATTATTAAGTTTAACACACTCCTTCAATAATAGTCCCATGTACTTTATTTGATCATTTCATCTGTGAGTGTTGATATTTTATAAGAGGCAAAGCATCTTCATCAGTCTGTTACTATCAATCAAACTAAAAATATGATATTCATTTTAAACTGCATAACTTGCATCTAAAGGAACCCAGTGATTAAGGTTATCATTTCACATCCAATGTTACTACATATCTCACCACTCTAATAAATATTATATAATTATAAGCTTGCAAGTTGCATAAAAGAGACAGACTACAGGTACAAGTAACTTCTATAGACAAAATTTCTGTTTTCTACCCATACTAATTATCTCGTAAATGAGAAGTTTTACTCTCAAGAGTAAAACTAAAACTTTAAATATAACTATATGATCCTGATATCATTATAAGCTCAACACCCTACTTTAAAATAAGGTAATTCCCTATGAAAATTAAATATAATTATTTATAGCAGCACAGTGGTGGATCCAGGAGAGGGGCCCAGGGGGCCTGCCCCCCCCCCCACCTTATTTTTAGACCAAACTGAGGCCCAAAGGACTGAAAAAATTTTTTGGGGGACCACCCCCCCTCCCCCCTATTTAAGGGTCTGGGGCCCGTTTCTCGAAAGTCCCGGTAACTTTACGGGCCCGAAATCAAATATTCAAATCAAAATATAAAGAATAAGAGCGCGGGTCCTGGCAAGCAAACTACTCCATTTTGTTTCATTAACTGACAGTTTTATCGTGTCAGATGCAAAACTATTGAAACCTCGATCTTTAATGTCAACGGAGATAGCTTACCAGGCCCGTTAATTATCGGGACTTTCGAGAAACGGGCCCCTGGATTGCCAACCCCCCCCGTTATCTCAAGGTCTGGATCTGGCACTGCCGCAAATTTTGTATCCTTGCACACATTACACAATATGATGCATATAAAAATACATTATTCTAAGCACATGCAAGCAAAGAAATTTATCATCTATACATGGATTTTATTTTACATCAGCAAAAACTTTGAATATCTATCTATCTATCTATCTATCTATCTGTCTCTCTGTCTATCTGTCTGTCTGTCTGTCTATCTATCAATCTATCTGAGGCTGTTAATCCCTGTATGGTGCAGTGAGCTTTATCTCAACAGCCCTAAATTCCTCTTAGATGGGCAACTCTAATCTAACTGCAAATTTCCTCAGAGATAAATGGAGAGGGTTTGATGAAAGATCAAAACATTTCCTGTAAGGTGACCATTTCATTAATTCATATTACCATTTCTCTTTACAATGTATGGGTATTGTTGGGAGAAAATTGACGCTGGTCACTATTGAGTGTTACAGGGTTAAGGCGCATTTTGTTTAACAATCCTCTACAGTACAAAATTTTACTGAAAGATTGAAACTGTACTGTTAAACAAAAATTCAACACCATATCTTGACGTAAATCTGCAGTTATTAACAAGGTCATACATTAATCGTCTTCAAAGGGGTACACCCCTCTGAAGACAGTTTTGCACTATACCTAGCATACACACGCAATAACAGTGCAACAAACACAACAATAACTCCAAAAACAGCTTGAGCAGACAATGGGTGATTATAAATAATGCATGACAACATGAAACTCAGCATCATTCTAATGGTCATGATGATGGTAAACACAATTGGCCCAAAAGACTGTATGGTGTAAAAAATAAAAAGCTGACCTGTCGCTGAAGTCAGTGACAGTATTGTGGCATGGTAGGGAAACTTTGGGTGGGTCATCATAAACCCAACTGCCGCTAAAAAATTTCCACCCGCAATCATTGACCACACTGTGAAGAGACAAGAGAACAGGTTTGCGCCAAACATCATTTGGATGGTTGACATCTTGTATACTGAGAACAGTTCCGATTGCCAGTTGGAAGTGAAACTATCAAACGCCACGTGTCCCAGAAGTAATATAGCTCCTGAAAAAGTGGTAGCAGCAGACGTTCGCTTCCCTGATGGATCTGCTGCCAGGAGAAACAGACTGACGCCCACACAGAGTAGAACAGCAACAACATATTCGTGGCAGGGGTAGGATTTGTTGGACACTATCTTGCCCATGATCATTACTGGAATGATCTTGGATGTTTTACAAAGAACTTGGGTTGGAAAGCTGACATACTTAAGGGCCTCATATTGACACCAGCTGCTCAAAGTATTTGAAAAGGATGAATAGCAATACTTGTAAAGGGGTGCAGTGTGGCGTGGCTGGTGAGTGAACAAAATACAAGCTGATGCTACGACTAAAGCAAGTGAATGATTTACAAATACTAGGAACTGAGAGTTTGTGAATTTCAATGTCGTGACTGAGCCATCAGGAAGGTGCTCTTCATAAGTTTGTGTCACTATTTGCTCTTGTAGGACACCCCAGGTGAGGTATGTCAGTTGCAAACCACCTGCGCAAAACAAGAGCTTGATGCTTGTTTGGGAAAAACTCGGTGGGGGCAAGCTTTCGTCCTTTGAGGAACTTCCTTCGATGCCACCCTCTTCGACATCTGCAGATTCTATATGAGGAGCACTAAAAACACACAGCTGAATTGAGCACAACAAGCAGCTAGTTCCTAAGAAGGCAAAAAGAAATAGGCTGTATTTTCAGGAGATGATAAAAATACAATGCAAAATCATGCAACCACACATTATGTACATGTTTTGGTCTTAAATAATAAGACACTGTCCAGTTAAAGAAACTTTTAATATATGAGCATTGTCCAACAAAACGTTACAAACTAGACAGAACGTCTAGGTTGTAACGTGTCTAGTTTGTAATGTTTCACAGTTTTAGACAGAATGTATTAACAAAGGAAGCAGAAAATCTCTGAGAGGAATTTCACAAGTCAGCAGTTAATTTATAAGTATCATAAATCTGTCAGACACATAGAAACATCTTTGTCATAACAATCGTAATTATTATAGGAAGCAAGTGAAATACTTGAGCAAGAAAGTGACAACCTCAAAAGATGAACCAAGGAAAGCATATGTCAACCACAGCATGATGTCCCATGATCATGATATATCTCCCAAGTTATCCCCACCCCTAGCCTGAATGGGGGGAGGGATGGGGGGTGTAGCCTTGACACAAATACTTGACTGTCAACATCTGTATTAAGGGACAAAATTTAAGTTGGCCTGCACGTGGTCCAAAGAATTTCATTATTTACTTGTGGCCTTTAAGTTACTGAAACTCCCTGCGAGTCAGAGAAAGGAATGACAGTAAGCGATCTCTCTCGTTTCCTGTGCTACTTTCTTTGTTGAAATAACTTTTTTTTTTGTATTTTAATGAATTTTTATTTTGTTATGTATTACATTTTTTTACACACTAACCCTTATGAACATCTAGGAAAATAAAAAAAAAAGAAAAGAAAACTAAACATATATACATCACAAACTCACACACAATTACATACTGATAAAAAAGTGAGAAAGAAACACACCCCAGTACATTCTTGTCTATTTACACGAAAAAATTAATAAAAATTAATAATAAATGAAGTAAGCGGCGAAAGGATCGTATGCTAAATATAATCAGATTTATATTTGCTCCATTTCATATTGTAGGACGTCTTATTGTTTGACTTAGCGATCATTGTCTCGATTAAGAAAACAGCTGTCTTAATTTTAGAATTAAGAACTCTAATGCAGTGAGAATATTTGTTCTGTCTGCAAGAGTATACGTATTGTTTTGCCAGTAATAAAATATGATTCACAAATATCTCGTCCTCACCATCCAATAATACCAAACAGCAGTATATCTTTGTCTGAAAGATTTGTTGAAATAACTAGGTTACTTTTTAAATAAAAATTTATGTTCAAAAATATCGAGCTACTACAGCAACACGGTTCATTAGCAACACCTACAAAAATCCTTCGTCTAAAATTAAATAAAGAAGAAACGAAAATAAAATAAAAACGTTTTTAAACAAAAACATACATGCGCAACGACAGGGTGTACACGTGACACGAAGAGAGCAAACATCTTACCACTTCGTTCATTAAAGTTTGAGTTCTTGAGCATACGGATGATTAAAGCCGAGGGGACCATAATTGTTGCATAGGCAAGTAGGCTCCACATCAGGTTCTCTATCCAGCTATCATTTCTGGTGTCCACCTCGACATTTTGTCCCGAACTCGCTTCCTTCTGATCTACTTCGGTGTCCCTTAGTGCTTCGTCTCCTTTCACGTGAGCTCCGGATATCGTTAGAGCGAGTAGCAGTACGGCTATCCGGTGAACAGGTATAGACTTAAAAATATTGTAGTCAGGGAGCAGAGACCGAAAAATGCGAGTTTCAACCATCACAACAGAAAACGTCTGACACTTGATTCTAGAAGAGAAACTTAGACCTCCTAATCAACGGTTTAACAATTAGTTCATGTTTCAGCGTGCGTATGTCGAGAAAAATATGAAACTGCAAACTGATCCTTACGGCAGAGCAGAGCGATGAAGAAGTAAACAAAAGAATTTTTGTATGTCGAGAACGCGGAAGTTTGGAGAGCACGAAAGTGCGCCTTGACCGACTCTAGCCTCCTGACTGCTCTCCACACTTACCGCGTGCTCAATCAGCCCAGTCATCAGTTGAAGCATAACACCGCTGCAAAACGTCTAGGCATGCGCCAAGTAGACCATTTCCGGTCTCTTTTTCAATCGCAGTTCGCAGTGATCAAAGAGGTCTAAGTCTCCCCCGCGCGCTCGGTTTGATTCTGTATGCAGCTTGTGGTTCAGTTGTTCTGCTTCATGCTACTAGTGTTTTTGATTATATTGTAGTTATTGAAATTGCTTTTATGGATAACCAGGGAGAGATCACTGAAACAACTAGATTCAGAAAAGGAGGGTCTGGGGGTATGCTCCCCGAGAAAATTTTAAAATTTAGGGTCTCTGAAATGCCATCTCCTGTGTTTTCTGCAGGACATTTTCAGTAAATAAAGGCGAAGGAAAATACAGTAATTAGTTGTTTATTTTACCCATCTCTAGTGTTATCGGCAAAGTACAGTATTTACGGCAAAAAAGGCAAGGAGGTTACAAGCAAAGGGCGAGATGTGTACCCTTCAGATAGGCAAACCCTTTTATAATACCATCAAAATCAATTACGTCCTTGTGCTCAAATGCAGAATTGCAAGAGAACTCAATCTCTGATCTGTAATCAGTGGTCATTTGTAAAGGAGTTTGCAGTCTCTCCGTACCGCTGAAGCTACGCTCAGCTGTACATGTTGACACAGAAGTACTGAAGTATTGCTATTCTTAGGCCCGGTTCAGACGCCTAACTTTTCATGAGCCGAACCTACTACTGAACATTGAATTAAGCACATGAAAAGTTCGGTGTCTGAATCAATGAGGAACGCCTGTTTCCATTTGAATTCGAAACGGCTCAGCCGTTCTTTTCTCCCAGCCCGGCCGGGAATTTCTCCTATGGAGCGCCTTTGGAACGGCTTTGATTCAGATGCCGAACTTTTCATGTACCGAACCTAATCCATAAATTATTTTGTAAAACAAGAAATACGTATCCCGCAACAACCCTCGCGAAACTCGGTTTGGTAGGAGACCTACGGCGAATATTGTCGTGAAGGTCCATACGTTGTTCTTTCTTTTCTTCTTCTTCTTTTTTGCGTATTGCAGGTATTGTGTGGTGTTATTTTTAAAAGTGTATTGAAAAGCATATTTAGCATTATTTCGGCCTCCGGATTTAGAAAAAAACAAAAGCGAAGCATAAATATGTTAGTGCAGTTCGCATGAAAATTATTATACTTCGGGCCGTTTTTTAGTACAGAGCTGCAACTTTGCAGACTTTGATCTATATATCGGCGGAGAAACCGGCAAACTAATAAATTTGGGTTTTCCACAGAGTAAAACGATCATAATGCCTCTAACATTCCAGTCTCCCGTTCCTCTGTTCCTCTGTCTCTTGTTGTCGGCGTGGCCTTCGCTCTGCTAAGCGACGCATGAGGACCCGCATACGACTCTCTTTTGCACACCACATGACGCCGGAGTTGTTAAGGACGCTAGGTTTTGACTGACAAGCAATAAACCTCCTACTGCGAAAAGCAATTAGTTTCTTCACCGTTTGATCCAACCATCAGCGGTCAGTATTAATATTAGATAAATTGCGTTACATTTTTTAACAAGATTAAGGCGGCATATGGCGATAGAGTAATATTAAAAGAAGAGATTACTATTTAACACATCTGCCTGAGATTTGCGTTCTCAGCTCACGAGTTATCCAGAATAATTGCGCGTAGCCTACGACTCAAGCGTTGTCTTTCTGGTCTTTGCCAGTATTAAAATGTACCGCAGTTCCATATTGTATTGAATGTATTGAAGGTCGCAGAACTCAAATAGAATCGGACGAATGTTGCTAGAAAAAAGCGTGGGTTCAAAATGTTGATTATGTGTAACCCGCAGTCCGTGAACACACAGCATACTACTCATCGTAAAGGAAAGATAGATGCCAAAGCAAATTGCAATCATTGATCTCCAAGGCTTTGTGTGTGCAGATTCAACCAATTTTTTGGCCTGAGCTTGCTAACTGCAGTTTCCGCAGTGAATCGCTTCACGCACGCGCTGGTGCGTTGTACTCGTACTTTTATGGCCTCTATCTGATGGAATCTTGTACATTCAAAGCACTATAGTTAAAAATTTAACCAAAACAAAGGACATAATAGTTGGCTTTTTCTTTATATGCAAGAAGTGTGACATTATGATTTGAACTCTGATCGAATAAAGCCAGCATTGCATTCAGTGAGATGATCGTAAAGGACGGTGTGTGCGTCTGGGTGGGTTTAGATCACATTAGGAGAAGAAGACGGTCTTCCTATGCCTTGAAAATGTTTCTGAGCCTTACGATATTACGATAAAAGTGTACGTGGTAATATTCATCGGCAGTCTGGTCGGTATTTTGATGGAGAAAAGGTTAGATCTTCTAATCCGACTGCATTTGTTTGGTGACTATTATGCATGATCTGCTGTCAATGATGTAAAACGTCTGCAAACGGGCTACACAAAAAAATTTCCGCTATTTAATGACGGATTTGCAGAAATACTATTGTTTACTCGTCCTAAATTCCTAAAGATGTCATAGTAGAGGCAGAAAACACAAAGACCAAGCGATCAAATGGATTCGGTCGAATAGTGAAATCGTCATCCCGCCAAAACGTGTCCAAAGCCCGCCAAAAATTACCAAATCTCGCCGCTGCCGCTATTTAACTCCTTATCCAGATAAGAAAATGAGCTATGTATTGCAGGAAAACGAAATCACTTGCGCACAGAAGAAAATTAAGGGTTAATATGTCTGATATGTTTTAGCTCGAGTAAGCGAGTGTTGGTGAATGCCATGGTGTTCTAAACTCCTAAGTGCGATTTTTAAAGTAACAGAAACACTAGGTGGCGCGCCCGTGATTCTGTGAGTTAGACACCACCGTGTTATCGAATCACTTGCGCACAGAAGAAAATTAATGGTTTATATGTCTGATATGTTTTAGCTCGAGTAAGCGAGTGTTATTGTAATTGCCATGGAGATCTTAACTCCTAAGTGCAATTTTTAAAGCAACAGAAACACTAGGTGGCACGCCCGTGATTCTGTGAGTTAGACACCACGGCATTATGAAATCACTTGCGCACCAAGTGGAAATTTACAGGTTAATATGTTTTAGCTCGAGTAAGCGAGTGTTATTGTAATGCCATGGTGATCTAAACTCCTCAGTGCAATTTTAAAGCAACAGAAACACCAGGTGGAACGCCCATGATTCTGTGAATCAGACACCACGGCATTATGAAATCACTTGCGTACCAAGTGGAAATTTAAAGGTTAATATGTTATAGCTTGAGTAAGCGAGTGTTATTGTAATGTTATTGTGTTCTAAACTCCTAAATGCGAGTTTTATCATCCAACAGAAACACTAGTTGGCGCGCCGGGCCCGTGATTCCGTGAGTTAGACACCAAGGTGTTATGAAATCACTTGCGCACTTAGTAACTGGAAAATTAGGGGGTATACAAGCTATGAAAGCTATATGTCTGTCTTAGAGTGTTTTGTAATAGGTGATTTTCTTGTAGGAGACAATCCGCCAGTTATATTTTTCGGCATTTATTGGTAAAAGATTTGTTTTTTCGTTACAAATAGAGCACGCGTAACAAAATTCCCATTTCCAGTACGTTTAGTACGTCCTGGAAACTGGGAAGCACAGTGCGTAACCGGTTATTCGGAAGAAGGCTTTTCTGTTTCTTTTTTCTATATATTTAGAAAAATACTGTTGCGATCCGTTCACGGAGAATCTCTGCTAATGCGGTTACATTTCGAAAACAATATTTTTGTGGTCCCGCGTTCTCCTCACGGGCGGCCTTTTCAGGGGCACCCAACGGCAATTTTCGGAAAAAATCTGTTCAAAAGACGATTTGAGATCTCTAATTTTCGGAACATTTGTTGCAAAATTTCTTGCTTGCCTGCCTCTCCTAGGATTTTTGAACATCTACAAAATGGTATAATTACCCATTTTTAACGAATTTTTACCCTAAAAAAGGCCACCTAGAATTTTCGGGAGCCTTTTCCCGGCTGAAATTTTCGAAAAGGTAAGTTTTGATCCCTATAATTTTCGGATCACTAGACTTTCAGCTAGGAAATCCGAACAGATAAAAAGTTTTAAGGGGATAAAAATATGCCTATGTCTACCGTTTAAATACTAAAACACGTTCAACAATGCTATGTTAAGTGGTTTTGAACTATATCCTCGTTGGGTGCCCTTGCCTTTTGCTTTTAATTTGGTTTGGTTTTAGTTTGATTATTTCACGTCGTAGTTACAAAGAAACGTTTCGGCGTGGCCCACACAATGCAAATAAATTTCAGTAAAGTGGCCGAGTGTTCTGAAGTTGCTCTGTTTGAAAAGACATTTTTAATTTTTACAATAAAATCGATGATGTATTCACGGAGGTTTCGGTTATCGTTAGAGGAGACAAAACCATATTTTGATTGTGTTAATTGCTCCTGTCGAAATAAAATGTCATGCGTTAGCGAAATGAACACACGATGACGTGCGAGTAATAAGTTCCAGGGATTTCTTATAGTTCCTGATCTTCGGTCCTGCACTATGTTGTCAACACTTCCTCTGTTTTATATTGCGCAATCGGTCAATTCAGATGACCGTCGTGCACGTTTCCAAGGCTTGCGGGTCATCATGTCCAGTCTCTGCTCTGTCTGCGGTTTCTTGTTGACATCTTCTCCCTTCGTTGTTCACGCTGAATTTCAAGTCGGCGTTTTCGCTCCAGAAGAATTTCCGTGGAAAATCTTCCTCTGCGGGGATTTGAAGCAACTTGTTGTGCTTGTGTGTCATTTACATGGGAAATTGTTCGTGATTCACTGATTATAAACGTTGTTTCACTGACAACTGACACTGGCGCCTTACCAAGAATGTTTGCGGATGACACCAACCTTACGTTATCTGCTAAGACGTTAACAGAGCTTAAGCTAGCTCTAACCCCTGAATTAAATAACCTTAGGTGTTGGCTGAAAGCTAACAAGCTCAGTCTAAATGTTGCTAAAACAGAGCTAATGATTATTGGATCAAGACAAAGACTATCTGCCCAATGTGTCGATGTAGAAATCAGAATTGATGACCAAATTATCAAGAGAGTCGATCATACCAAATCCTTGGGTCCTACCATAGATGCTCAACTCTCTTGGGGTAAACACGTTGAAGAGATTTGCAAGAAAGTCTCTTCAGCTATAGACGCCCTAAGACGTGTGCGGCCCTTTATATCCAAAGAAACTGCAATTCAAATTTATAACGCCTTAATTATGCCTCATTTTGATTACTGCAGCCCCGTCTGAGACTGTTTGAGTGGTTACTTGAGTGATAAGCTCCAAAAATTACAGGATCGTGCAGCCAGAGTTATTACTAAATCACCCTTTGATGCGAGCTCAAACCACCTTTTCTCCACCCTCAGCTGGGAGAGGCTATCTCTTCGACGAAAGAAACAAAAAGCCTTAATGATGTATAAAACCATGAATGACCTTGCTCCGGAACATCTACAAAGTCTTTTCTCTCAGCGTCACTCTGTTACAACTTAAGAAACTCTGAGGGAAGGCTGACCCTGTCCAAATCAAGCACCAATTATTTGAAACGAAGCTTCTCTTACAGCGGGGCCATGTTATGGAATAACTTGCCCAAAAACTTAAAAAATGCTGCATCCGTTGAGCATTTTAAGCGAAATATCAAGAAGGTAGCTGATATATCGGATTCCCACACGGCAATCATGTAAAGCAGTTGTAATTAGTTTTAGTTTTTAACTTAAGCTTAACTGATGATTTCCCGTGTATAAATAAAGATTTACATACATACATTTTACAGCTGGCTAAGACCACGAGCGATTAGCAGACTGCACGGGCGCGCGCTAGCGACGAGATTATAAAGTCGCTCCGCTCGGCGGGAATAAACAACAGAACGGGAACGTCACTTGACGACGGGAAAGCACACAGAAAGGACTAAACTGAATTTCCGGCGCCTAATTTCCGCTCAGCCATTGGTCAAGATAATTGTTTGATTTGCGCGCGCCGTCATCGACTGACGTTCCCGTTCTGTTGCCAAATCAGACTAAGGGCGCTTTCCATTTGTCAGAACTGACCGACCAGACCATTCCCTTTGTAATGAGAATTTCACTGTTGATCAAAACTATCTAGCCAGATCAGTCAAATCCTAAACAGTGTGCAGGAAGGAGATAACTTTTCAGCAAAAACCCTCGGAAAAAGCTGATTTCATAGTTAAAATGACTGGTCCGGCAATGGTCCGGCTGGCCAGTTCTGAGAAATGGAAAGCGCCCTAAGATAGTACGCGCGTTCTGATTGGTTAAAAACCTACGGTTTATTGTGCCAGTAAACTCATGGAAAACTTAAAGTAATTTTATAAAAGCAATATTAGACCACACTTTCTACGTTAATTTAAGAACTGTGAAAGGGACGCTGTTATTATAAGAATCTTAACCGACGTTTCGGCAATGCTGCCTTCTTCAGGGTATACAAGACTAAATACCGTTAAAAGTTCGTTAACATTAGCTCACGTGCCTGATGGCATACTCGCGCGCGGGCCATATGAAATAGCGCGCTACAGCGCTCGAGTAAGCAAAAAAAAGGGGGAGAGGCGGGGGTCATTCACGTGAAACTAAAGTCTTGGTTAAGGCCTCTAGGGCTTACAGTCCCATATTTGAATATCAACCTCATCTCCTGCTTCTTACGGTATTCCTGGTTGGCTAGGCCTGCCTTCAATACCGCAACCTTCATGTCCTCCAGTGTATGATTTGGTTGGTTGAAGTGGGCAGGTAGAGGAAAGTCATTCCTCCCGTTGATGATATCTCTGCGGCGTTCTCGAAAACGGTCCGCCAATCTGCGTCCAGTCTCCCCAACGTACACTATCGATGGACACTTGGTGCACGACAAACAATAAACCACGTTTTCAGTGATGCAGGAAAAATGTCCCGTGATGTAAACATGCCCTTTGGGTGTTGTAATTGTGGATGATAAATTAACATGGGGACACGTGCGGCAAACGGTCCTGTCACAAGGGAAAGTACCTGGTGATTGGTGTGGAAGGTTTCGAGGTAGGCTGTTTCTTAGTAGCAGATCCCTCAGATTCTAGGCACGCCTGAAAGCCTTCAGCGGTGGGTTATCAAAGATCTTGCTTGTCCTGCTGTCCTCGCGAAGGATCCGGAAATTCCTCGAGATTATTTTCTCGACAATTTAGTTTACTGGGGTGGAAGGTAGTGACAAAGGGTATTCTATCCTTAGCGATGTTGTTAGCAGTGTTAGCAGCGTCACTCTTCAAAATTTCAGCCCTTGATTTGGTCGATGCTCGTTCCCTTCCCCTTCTAATGAGGTCATTCGGATATCCGCGTGCTGCTAAAAAGGTCTCCATTTTTGCAGCCTCAATGTCGAAGTTAGCGTCATCACTACAGATCTTACGCAGTCTGAGAAACTGACTATAAGGTATGGATGACTTGCAACTGTAAGGATGGGATGAACTGAAGTTGAGATAAGAGTGGCTATCCGTGGCTTTGTAATATATAGAAGTGGCTATGCGATTAGCTTGAGGCTTCATGTAGATATCCAGGAGAGGAAGTTTGTCCGTTGAGACCGACCATGTATATTCAAGGTTAGGGTGAAACGAGGAAGCAAACTCGAGGAACTGACGGAGGTCCTCTTCACTACATGAAGCAGCGCCGGCCACATCATCCATGTACTGCTTGTATAAGTCTGGTTTTATACCGGTATAGCTGGAAAGGATGCGTTCCTCCTCGTGGCCAACAAAAAGACAGGCATAATTCGGCCCTAGTCGACTACCCATGGTCACTCCACCTGTTTGTTTGTAATATTCACCACTGAATTCAAAGGTGTTAAGTGTCAGTACTAGTTCAGCCATGCGTAGGAGAGTATCCGTAGGTGGTTCAAGGATCTCTCTCTTGTCAAGATAGTATTGCAGTGTGCAGAGACCTCCATCATTTGGTATAACCGTATACAGCGACTTGATGCAGTCCATAGTGAAAATTAAACGCTGTGCATCAACGTCCCTGAAACGGAAGGAGTCAAGGATGTTCAGCATGTGTGTGGTGTCTTTCACATAGCTGTCTAGGCTCCGCACAAAAGGTGCCGTTATATGATCAAGATAGAGGGCTAGAAGTTCAGTAGGGCACGAACACGCGGAAACTATAGGTCTACCGGGATTTCCAGGCTTGTGCATCTTGGGTAACAAGTAAAATTTGGAGGTACGTGGGTGTTCTACAATGAGATTAGTAGCGGATAGAGGAAGCTGGTTTTTCCCTATAGCAGTAAATAAATGACTTGACCTCTTGTTGAGAGCTTTGTGTGGCATCACTAGGAATCTTCTCGTAGAACCTATTGTTTGCCAGTTGTCTGTTGGCTTCAGCTATGTAGAGATCTGTCCTCCACACAACAAAAGCTCCTCCTTTATCAGCCTGTCTGATCACCACGTCGGTTCTATTCTTCAACTTGCGTGATGCTTGTAGTTCGTCATAGGATAAGTTGTGCCGTGTCAATCTGTGCTCGAAGTCAATTTGATTAACTTCCCTACGACATTTATCAATGTGATGATCAACGGCAGTAAATTGTCCGGGTGGTGGGGTCCATTTGCTTGATCTGGGTTTTAAGCTTTCTATAATGCCTGTTGTCCCCGTGTCCTGCTGCTGGTTAGCGTTATTGGCATCGGTGTCGGACGAGTTACTAGCGATGGTATCATTGAGCTGGTTGCCGTGTGCCCCACTGTGTGTGTCTTCAGATGTTTCGTGGAAGTGGGCTTTCAAACGTAAGCGTCTGAAAAATTTCTCATTATCTTCCTTCACTTGGAATTCGTATGTTACAGATGTTGTGGGAATAAAATTAACACCCTTAGCTAACAGAGATCTTTCATGCTCATCTAATAGAAGATCTTCTGGAATAGTAACAACTAGCTTGTCCGTATTAGTTGGGATTTGCACTGAGCCATTAACAGCTATACCAGTGTCATTGGTGTTTGGCATTGATTGATTGGCGCACAGAACACTGATCTTAGCTTCCTTTACTCCACACAACCGTTCATACAGCTGTCTATTTAGTCGATGAATCGATTGCGCAATTCGGGCATACACCTGCGCATAGGACACAGTTTTCAAAGCATTACGACAATTTGCCATCTCCACTGTTAAACTGTCATTTAAACGTTTCATGGATGATCTTGTAAACCTCATCAAACGGCAAGAACAGGAGAAAATAATGACTCTTACGTGATAGAGAGGGAGGCCGCTGGTCGTGTCAAAGCCAGGATGAAAGTTGACTTGAAACCCAGATGGGATGAGTTTCTTTCTTAAGCACTTCCTTATAAATTGAATGTGGCTCGAATATCTGGTTGTCGCAAAGGTCTTTTTTACTTTCTATGGGTTTACCTGGCGTGATAACCCACGCCGGATGTTGGGAGAACATGAGAAAAGCTTGTAAATCACTCGCCTTTGGCTCGTGATTTACAAGCTTGACAAGCTTTTCTCGTGTTCTCCCAACATCCCAAGTGGGTACTCACGTCGCTAAACCCATAACTTAAATAACGTATTTTGTATGCAGTTTGACCGAAATAAGCACTTTTCGTCTTTTAAACTTAGTTCAGCTGCAATTAAGACAGGCCTAGGTGTCTGAATCAATTTAGCCGGTCTAAATAATTTGGGTCGACCTTAATTCGAATTAGGTTTGGCTCATGAAAAGTTCGGTGTCTGAACTGGGCCTTAGTTATTGCCTTCTCACAAATTAACTAAAGCTAAACCAGTAGCAGGCAAGAATGCGAGTAAAAACAAATTCGTCTTGTCGAGCGCTCTCGACCTACAAACTTCAAACATCATTTACAGCGTTGGTGCAACCAGATAACCATGTGGTGTAAAAGTTGTAGAAAAATGTATCAGCTATCGAACAAAGTGATTTTTTTGGCCCTCTTTTTTGTTTCCGTTTTCCCTTTTTGCTTTTAGACTTGGCGCGATGGCAATGTTATGCTTACGCAATTGATTTATTTATTAGACCGGAAATAAAAAGCTGACCGGATGTTAAATTTTGTGCTCATGCCCATTGCGTTTTGCCGCGGTGAAGCATTAACTAATAGGCCAGGTCCGAGTTCCAAAAACTCTCACTTTGAAAATGAGGCCAAGTGCACAACCTTTCTTGTGAAAATGAGTTTTATTTGCGTGAGAATGAAAAATCATTTCCATATCAAAGGCTGAACACTTAACCTCGTTTTGATAAAGAGGGCCGGGGGAACTCGGAAATGGCCTATTGTATTATAACATTATCGAAGCGTTCAACGCAGCAGTTAACTTAAATTTTATTTTTATAGCGTGCGCTCAAGGCAGTAGGCGTCAATGTCTACGTGACATTTTTTTTTTTTTCACCTCACAGTTATGTTTTTGTGGAAGGTTTCCCCACCAAACAACGTCTGAGAAACGAGCTCAGAAATTCCATACTGGTGACGGGTCACCTGGGACTAAGGGGTTTACCTGATGAAAATGAATTATTGGCTATAACTTTGGCATAGATGATGGCGCTGAATCAAAATTTGGCGCCAGCAAAGAACTCACCGTCCTTAAAATTTCAAAGTATAAATATTGTGCTAATAAGTCACGTGATAAGTCACGTGACCATTTTGCCCAAAATTGTAAATTATTGACCAATTGGTGGCCGGTTTAAGAAACGAAATCAAGCAATAACATTTTTCTAATTCATATTAAATATTTCTAACACTTCGCGCTTGGAATGGCCGTCCATTGCACTTCAATAAGAAATTATTAGGGAAAACATCATTTTAAATACCCAAATTTAAACTTGAATTATTTAAAACTTTAATTTTAAACTTCGCGTACATTCATTTCAAACGTAGAAAGTTAGGTATGTTTATCCACTTTCAGAAATGCCAATTTGTTTATCAGAACAAAGTAAATTGGCCACAAATTCGCCAATTTCCTTCATTTCCAATTGTTGGTCACGTGGCATGTCACGTGACCATAATTAAACGTTAAGGCACAAGAAAACCTCAAAATTTACCTTTGGAGAAAACTTCATTTTGTTCTAGGTCTCCTAGCGAGAGATGTTGCCAATCATTCATATGATCAGAAGACACCTTTGACCCAAGCCTTAAACCCCTTCACCCACAGTGTGTGGCGTCTAACTATTTGTATTGACAATGCATGGGTATTGCTGAGAAAAAATTGAAGTTGGTTACTATTGAGGGTTAAGAGACATTTTGCTTAACAATCTTCTACAGTACAAAATTGTACTGAAAGATTAAAACTGTGCCGTTGTAAAAAAATTCAACACCATCACTTGACAGTAATCTGCAGTTATTAACAAGTTCAATCAGCATTCTTTTCTGATAACATTGCCTTGATACAAACAGTTACCCCTTTGTAGATGGTAATTTGCATGATACCTAGCATACACACGCATGGCAGTGCAACAAATACAACAAAACAGCTTGAGCAGACAATGGGTGATTATAAATAATGCACGACAGCATGATACTCAACATCATTCTAATTGTCATGATGATGGTAAACACAACTGGCCCAAAAGACTGTATGGTGTAAAAAATAAAAAGCTGACCTGTCGCTGAAGTCAGTGACAGTATTGTGGCATGGTAGGCAAACTCAGGGTGGCTCATCATAAACCCAACAGCTGTCAAAAAAATTCCACCCTCAATCATTGACCATACTGTGAAGAGACAAGAAAACAGGTTTGCTCCAAACATCATTTGGATGGTTGACATCTTGTATAATGAGAACAGTTCCGATTGCCAGTTGGAAGTGAAACTATCAAACGCCGTGTATCCCAGAAGTATTATGGCTCCTGAAAAAGTGGTAGCAGCAGATGATCGCTTCCCTGATGGATCTGCTGCCAGGATAAACAGACTGACGCCCACAGAGAGTAGAACAGCAACAACATATTCGTGGTAGGGGTAGGATTTGTTGCATTGTTTATATGATCTTGACTATTCCTTTAATGTTAAGTACAAGGATTAATTCTTGATGTCATCTATCTTGGCGTGATCACATTGAGTATACTTGCTCATCCTGTTGCTCCTAGATAAGCAAAAACGTAAACATTGAAATACCTGTCTAAAGAAACCCTAATTACCCTGTGGGGTAATAATTATTATTACAGTCCTGTTTATGACATTGTTAAACTTCAGAATAAGGCAGTTAGAGTAAATAATGATGTACCGTTATGGATAACATTACCTCACACTATCTCAATTTAGGCATCATGTCTCTTCTTCTTTGATATCTTCAATGATTTGGGACCCTCCAATCTTATAATATTACTTTTATCAGAACAATAGAGCTGCACTACTCGTAATGACTCTTCAAAACAACTATATATATCCCCTTTTACAGAACGAACATTAGAAAGTTCTCTCCCACAATTATTGTACGTTATTTTTGGAACGATCTTCCCCTTTCTATCCGCTGTAGGCCTACGAAAGAAACTATTCATGAATTCCCTCTTCAGTAATTATTTATCCCAGTACTAATGATAAAAATCAGTGGCTAGCTTGGTGGAGAGATTTCACGGATTTGGGGTCTTTTTATTTTCTTCCGTGTACCTTTGAAATAGCCGTATATGACGCACTTATTGTATGCTGTGTTACATTTCAAGTGCCATATATAGAGCGTTAAGCGTAATAAGGAATGGCGGACGAGATCGAGAAAGACAAATGGTCAGCACTTTCATGCGTCGCTTTGCAGAAATTTACAAACAAAAAGATTAGTATTTATCTCTCTGATAACAGCAAAAGGGTAGGATGGGTATTCGCTATTGATCCAGTGACTCACTCTGTCGTTCTAGAAGAAGAAACTGAACACTCGATACAAACTTCTAAGAAACTGACTTTTGTCTTAGGACATTCGATTTCACGGGTTGTTTTGGAGGAAGACGCTGAATCCAGCAAAGGGCCGCGCCGCCAGTTAACTGATTTCATTGGAGATGCGAAGGATACCCAATATTCTCAGGAAGAGCTGATGAAAAGGAAAGAAGATTTAATGGACTGGCTTTCTCGTAACAGAGTTCATGTTAGTGAATACTCTGAAAACAGTGCGTTGCTGTCTGTTATGGGAGTGTTGTTAGTGGAGCCACCTTATGGCCCTGACTGCTGTAGATGTAGCAACGAGATCGTACTGGACCGTGTTCAGAAACTTATAAAAGCAAAGCAAGATCATGATAAGTGAGCAAGGAAATAGTTCTACAGGATTATATGCGCTACTGTAGGAGTTGGTGTACTCACACACTTGATGGCATAGTGACTACACTTTGATTTATGACTGTAGCCCCCAAAATCACAGAGTCCTCATTTATTTGTAAGGTGGGGAACCTAAGGGGGTCATAAGTGCCATGAGTAGGTACCGTCCAAAAAAGATTACAATGTTGGGACTGGCTGATCTTCAGGAGAGTTCTTGGAATTCCACATGATATTTCCACTGCAGAGTATGTGCACTCTGATTGGCTGTTTTCTTGTAATGATCAGGTATTATTAACTAGGTGTCCAAGGCATGTGGTAGCCATCCTTATTGATATCCATGTTATGGACAATTGGTAGCTGTCAAAAATAGCATCCGCTGGGCAGTGTCACCTGACTGTATCGTGGGCTCAAGTGTATAACTCATTTTTAAAGTTATCTGCTGGCCAGATGTTGGTTTTATGCTGGCTCAGGTGCATAATGAAAAGGCCATAAAATAAATAGCTTATTAACCCCATCTGTTTGATCATTATAGAAAAATCTCAGACCTCGGCCTTGATGTATTGACCTCGCTATCGCTCAGTCAATTCTTTTATACATCTTGGCCTCGGTCTCAGATTTCCCTGTAATGAAATTAGTAAGTAATGAGCTAGTTTTAAAAATTCCTCTGAGGGGAGTCATATTAGAAATGACATATTTACAGACAGGGTATCAGTGACAAGGAAAAAATTGTCAAAAACAGGGTTGAAATTTCAAATCCTGGGTAATATGTACCCACCCAAGAGTCCCTCCTCTCCCTGCTCCCTGGTTGGAAACCAACATGATTTTAACCCATTCTCTGCTGCGAATTTCACTAGAAAACCCTTTTTGAAGCTAGTTGAGCCATTTTCAGGTTACTGTCTGGCTATTAAGAGCCAAAAAATTCCCTAATGCCATTTGTAGGTTAAGCAATTCATGAGCTTCTATTCCAAGTGCAAAATAATAACTTCCAAAGTTTGGGCATTCAGGGCAGAAAGCTGAGTTTTGAGACCTTTTCTTTTTGCTTTCTCTCCAGCCCCTTTTGTTTTGCTTTTCTTGCCTTGTTTTCTCTTGCTGGGCATTTAGTACATGTAGGTTCATTTCGTTGGGAAAAGTTTTTTGGGGGAAGCTTTTAGTATCATACATAAAGCATAGGATCAGATGGAAGAAAATGCAGGTGGATAGTGGAACATTGTAAGATCGTCATCAAAATTGTGGAGTCAAGTTTATATGGTATTTTGCCTTTTCTCTGTTCTCATTCTGGAATTTTTTGAAATATCTCTAATCCTCCTGTCCTAGTAAGATGACAAAGTTGTTCTTGTCTGTTAAAACTGATGATGTCACCAGTAGTACATGTATATGGGTGTTTCAGGGGGGGAGTGGGTTATTTTGGTAGGCTGCTTTCAAGTTTACTTTGTGAGAATCATTAAAGGGGTGGCTCACTCTTTCACAAACTTTGACTTTCATGCACTCTAAATGGAGAGCTTTCTGGCAGGGTATGTATTTTTCAGGTCAGTTAATTGTAAATCTAAATCTACAATCAGCGACAATTTGTTGAGACATTGTACTCAAATAGGGTAACTTAGAAGAACAAAAGAATCCGCACCCCTCCCCTGTCCCCTCCATTCAAAGTTGGGGTGTTTGTTGCTTTCTTTAGGTAGCTCCGCGAACATCGGCAATACATTGCATCGAAGGGATGGGGAAGGAAAAGCTATATTTCCTCCTTTTGAAGTTAGTAAAACGTAAAAAAGCCCAGTTTTGGGTGAAGTGTCTCAGCTCATTTTGTCGCCGATTGTAGGTCCATAAATTAAGTTTACCACACACTCCTCTAATAATATTCCTATGCAAATTATTTGATCATTTTGTCTGTAAGTGTGGATATTTTATATCAGGTAAAGTATTTTTTTTATCTACATCAGTCTTAAGCTTTTATTATTATAAATCAAACTAAAAAATATGGTTTTCATTAAACTGCATAACTTGCAGCCTAAAGGGACCCAGTGATGAAAGTTATCATTCACATCCAATACACTTACTACACTGAGTCGTTTGGTGCAATTTCAGCTTTTTCAGCTCTGTTTCGAAGTATCTTGTCCAATTTGCCAAAACACCTTCTCAGCACTGGGCACCATTGACGTCTTTTTAATTGTTTGTACTATCAATAACAGGATAAGAGGCACGCATCATCCTGCATATCTCACATCTTTAATAAGCTTGCAAGTTGCATAAAAGAGAACTACATGTACAAGTAACTTTTATAGACAAGTGTCTGTTTTCCCCCCACATTGCTTATCTTGTAAAGGAGAAGTTAGACTCTTACAAACAAAACTAAAACTTTAATTAAAATTATTTTAATTAAAGTTTTAGTTTTAATTAAAATTGATTTATTAGTTTTTAATTAAAATTATTTTAAATAAAGTTTTAGTTTTATTTGTAATTATTGATATGTATATAATATATATTATAAACTTAGGACCATACATTCCCCATGAAAATTAAATAATTATTTTTATTATTCATTGAAAATATTTCCCCAATTCTGATTTGCTAAAAGCACATGCATAATTCACTATAACCAGTTAATGATGACCAAATTTGGAAGAATTTTGTGTTTAATGAGGAAATGACATCAAAAATGCAGCCCGCTACAGGTAAATGCATCATTAACCGAGAAGATGTGGGGACGTAGTTGAGTTGTTTTGGTTGTGAAAACAAAAATGGCCAACACTTCACTCATTTCAAGAGTAAGAACCACGGCTGGAACTAGGCAAAATAATAGCTAAAAACATAGCAAAACCAGCAAGAAGACAACTCGGAGGGCAACATTTGCTATTTGGAGAATATTATTTGCGGAGCTGGGCAAACTGAAACATACACTATTGAAGATGAACTTAACACCGATGGAGGTGAGCATGTTTTAGCTGTTTTTAAACTAGAAATTACTTTGAATGAATAATAAAACAACTATTCAATTCTGCATTCATATCATATGAAGAATTATGGAGATCTTGCACGGTGCTATCCGCCTCGGCCTAACACCCTCCTCGATCTCCATAATTCTTCATAAGATACCCAGCCTCATTCATTAATTTATTGTTAAATAACAGAATACATATATTTATAGCAGCATATTTTTGCTTCCATGCAGACATGCCATAATATGTCACATCATAATAGATTATTGTAAGCACATGCTAGCAAAGAAATTTATCACCTAAAGATGCTTTTTTTATTAACCGAGGGTATTAGTCCCTGTAAGGTTCTGTGAGCTTTACCTCAAAAGCCAAAATTCCTCTGAGATGGGCAACTCCAATCTAACTACAACTCAACCCTTTAAGCCCCAATAGCCAGATTCAAATTCTTCAGCCTGATCTTCATACATACATTTCCTTAGAGATGAATGGAGAGAGTTTGATAAAAGATCAAAGCATTTTCTCTCTGGTGATCACTTTATTAATCAATCCTTATAAACAATTTCTCTCGACAATATATGGATCTCGTTGGGAGAAAATTAATATTGGTCACTATTGGGTGTTAAAGGGCTAAGAAGCATTTTGTTTAACAATCTTCTACAGTACAAAATTTTACTGAAAGATTGAAACTGTGCCGTTAAACAAAAATTCAACACCATATCTGCAGTTATTGACAAGGTCATACATTAATCAGCATTATTTACCTTCTGACAACATTGTCTTGATACAAACAGTTACCCCTTTGTAGAAGGTTTTGCACGATACCTAGCATACACACGCAAAAACAGAGCAACAAAGACAACAATAACCCCCAAAAGAGCTTGAGCGGACAATGGGTGATTATAAATAATGCACGACAGCATGATACTCAACATCATTCTAATGGTCATGATGATGGTAAACACAACTGGCCCAAAAGACTGTATGGTGTAAAAAATAAAAAGCTGCCCTGTCGCTGAAGTCAGTGACAGTATTGTCGCATGGTAGGCAAACTCAGGGTGGCTCATCATAAACCCAACTGCTGATAAAAAATTTCCACCCTCAATCATTGACCATACTGTGAAGAGGCAAGAGAACAGGTTTGCGCCAAACATCATTTGGATGGTTGACATCTTGTATACTGAGAACAGTTCTGATTGCCAGTTGGAAGTGAAACTATCAAATGCCATGTATCCCAGAAGTATTATAGCTCCTGAAAAAGTGGTAGCAGCAGATGTTCGCTTCCCTGATGGATCTGCCGCCAAGAGAAAGAGACTCACGCCTGCAGAGAGTAGAACAGCAACAACATATTCATGATAGGGGTAAGATTTGTTGGACACTATCTTGCCCATGATCATTACTGGAATGATCTTGGATGCTTTACAAAGAACTTGGGTTGGAAAGCTGACAAATTTAAGGGCCTCATATTGACACCAGCTGCTCATAATATTTGAAAAGGACGAATAGGAATACTTGTAAAGGGGTGCAGTGTGGCGTGGCTGGCGAGTGAATAATATACAAACTGATGCTACAACTAAAGCTAGTGAACGATTTACAAATACTAGGAACTGAGAGTTTGTGAATTTCACTAATTTGACTGAGCCATCTGGAAGGTGCTCTTCATAAGTCTTTGTCACTATGCGCTCTTGTAGGACACCCCAGGTGAGGTATGACAATTGCAAACCAGCTGCACAAAATAAGAGCTTGATGCTTGTTTGAGAAAAACTTGAAGGAGGTGAGCTTTCATCCTTTGAAGAACCTCCTTTGTTACCACCCGCTTCAACATCTGCAGATTCTACATGAGGAGTACCAAACACACACAGCTGAATTGAGCGGAACAAGCAGCCAGTTCCTAAGAAAGCAAAAAGAAATACAGTCAAGGGAGATAAGTATTCGTCACTTTCAAAAAAGATGCACGAAAATTTTTACTCCTGTTGTACACACTGTCAACAGGAAAACTTGATGCAGGGTGCATGTTTGGTCAATAAAGGTGGGAAAAATTAGAAAAACTAGAAACAAACAAACAAACATCTGAGCAAGAGCACGAAAAAAAAAAACTGCACAGTTCCCGAAGGAAAAGAAATAAGAGCTGTTTGTGTTTTGACACCTTGCTTATTCAGTCATTCAACATTAAGTTCAAGGTTAGGTCGCTATAACAGGGTCATATGTATTTTTTTTGTTTCGCACATGAGAATTTATTTTCAGCTCTCATGAGCCGAAAAAGGTGCTGAACTGTCCACAGAAAGAATTAATTATTACTCTGTCGCAATCTGTGCAAAACAAAGTGGTCCGACTGTCAAGAATGTTGAACATTCCAAGAACGACTCTCTTGAGCGTTCTAAGCAAGTACCGAAGGACTGGCACAGTGGAGACTTTGACAAGAAGTGGCAGGAAAAGGAGCTTTACAAATAGAGACAGAAATGCTTTAAAGCGTTTGGTTAAAAGTAACAGACGACTTACCTTACAGGACATTACTGCAAAGCTAAAGGAGTGCAAAACAAAGGCTTTCAGCCAGAAAACCATGCAAAGGGTGTTACATTCGGATGGGTATAAAAGAAGGTTAGCGAAAAAGAAAATGGTGGTTCAGGAAGCGAATCGAAAAAAGTGAGTCAAGTGGTGTAAAGAGAGAAGAGGTCGGACAGTAGACAACTACTGGAAAAAAGTAATATTTTCAGATGAAAGTCAGGTTATGCTTGGTACAAACAACTGTGTTTACATTTGGGAAAAAGACGACGAAAAGTACAACCCACATCTTATTTGTTCTCGCTCTGAACGGAAGATAAGTTTGATGATCTGGGGATGTATTTGTTATGATGGTGTTGGAACTCCGACTACAGTTGAAGGCAACATCAACTCTGCCAAGTACATTGACATCCTAGACAAGAACTTATGGACAGTAGTTGTCTGGTATTTTGAAGGAAAAGAATACTTGTTCATGGATGACAATGCACCTGTTCACAGAGCCTACACTGTAGAAAATTACAAAGATTAAAATGAAAAAAACCTCACTGGAATGGCCAGCACAATCACCAGATTTAAATATAATAGAAAATATCTGGCTCTACATGAAGAGAGAGCTACAAAAGTCTGTGGTAGATATCACTACCAAAAATGATCTTCTGCGTGAAATCCACAGCGTGTCGCGGAACATCGAATTGGATTATGTAAGAAACCTTTACCAGTCCATACCTGACCGCCTAAATAATGTAATTGAAATGAAGGGTCATCTCCCTAATTTTAAAGTTAGATTTGCCCCAAACAGTGTTCAAACTAGCGTGCATAAAAAGTAAACAAACGCCGCCATATAAAGTGACGAATACTTATGTCCCCCGACTGTAGTCTGTATTCTCAGGACATACCAAAACAATCAATCACATAAGTACACGCTTTGGCCTTAAAACATTGTCCAGTTTAAGAAACTTTTAATATTATTATAAGCATTACAAGTGTGTCCAACAAAAAGTTACAATCTAGACAGAATAATATTAAAAAAGGAAGCAGGACACCCCTGAGAGGAATTTCACAAATCAGCAGTTAATTTATAAGACATCTTAAATCTGTCACACACAAAAAACATCTGTGTCATAAAAATAATTGTTATTATTATGGGAGGCAAGTGAAAAACTTGAGCAAGAAAGTGTCTTTACCTCAAAAGATGGACCAAGGAAAGCACATGAGTCGGAGCAACCTGACACTAATCATAAAAGGGGACAAGGGAACTTAGCAGCAATCTCCAGAGATCATGATATATCTCCTAAGTAATCCCCACTCCTAACCCAAGTCCAGGATGAGGGGTTGGGGGGCGGGGGGGAAGGGTGTATACCCTTGACACAGGTACTTGACTGTCCTGACTGTCAATATCTGTAAGCGACAAGCTTTCATTTGGCCAGGTCTAAAGGAATTTTGTTTTTACTTGTGGGCTTTAACTTATTGAGAAAGGCCAATGACAGCAAGCGACCTGTGACCCTTACCTTTCCTCTGCTATTTTTTTCATCGGAATAACAAGCTTAATTTCTGAGTATAAATTTATGTTAAAAAGAGAAATGAAAATAGAGCAGGATGAAGGAATGATTGCTGGCTTATCGAGCTACTACGGCCACGGTTCATTAGCAACACGTAGAAAAACCTTCGTCTAAAATTAAATAAACAAGTCCGGAACACAACTTTTTAAAACAAGATACAATTAAGCACAGCGAATTGATGGTGGTGTGAATTAATCATGTACAGGGTGTACACGTAGCACGAACAAACATCTTACCACTTCGTTCATTAAAGTTTGAGTTCTTGAGCATACGGATGATAAAAGCCGCGGGGACGATAATTGTTGCATAGCCAAGTAGGTTCCACATCAGGTTCTCTATCCAGCTATCATTTCTGGTATCCACCTCAGCATTTTGTCCCGAACTCGCTTTCTTCAGATTCTCCGTGTCCCCTAGCGCTTCGTCTCCTTTCACGTGAGCTCCGTATATCGTTAGAGCAAGTAGCAGTACGGTTATCCGGTGAACAGATACAGACTTAAACATATTTAAGTCTCACCACTTGTTTGGAACTAATTACGTTAAAGCGTGAACAGGAACAAACAAACTTTCGAGGGATTGAGCTCCGCCAAATTGTCCCCTATGATTGAATATAAAATGTCAACTCCTTGCCTACAACATCTGGGAAACTCCTAGCAATTGACTCAAACAAAGAAAGTTTGCTTTTGAGGTTGAATATTCATAGTTGTCATTGCCACGTCGTAAACACTTCCATGACAGCGATTTGAACACAGCAAACATGAAACTCATCCCCAGGCTCTAAAGTTCTCATCAATCCCATAATCCACTGGTAGACGTCATCTTCCAAAATAAAACATGGCGGGAAGAGATTGGTGGTGGAATTTTTTTGACTGTTTATGTATAAATTTCACCGAAATTCCTGCGATTTAGTTGAGGAAAATGAGTGGATCAGGATGGCTGGAAACATTACGAAAGTTCAACGAGAGGAAGAAGGCGGAAAAGGAAGAAAGTATGGTGGTACCGTTACGGTTTTTTTTTAATTTCACACATGCAGACAGGACACCCGCTAGTCTTTACTGCTTGAAAATGCTTCGGCCGATTATTACTCATAAAAAGCAGAACATAAGGTTATACATAAAACAACCTTAAGATGTTGAAATATTTTAGGGTACTATGGACAATAATATGTAATATATGCTCACAACAGATCAATTGATCATGTTATATATGAAACAGTGATATGCATGTGAACTGCCTAGTTAGATGGATATTTTCTCCGTTTTGGAAAACATGAATTAGTTTTTTGGCTTTAGTAATGGTGCATATCTTTTAAGGATATGTTCACTCTTGGTGCCTGACCCAAACAGTGTTTACCTGATATATTTTCTTATGTAATTTAGTAAACATTTGGTCCATGTTAACTTGAATATTGTCATTTGCCATTTTGAAATGTCGACGTAGCAGGGATATTATTTTAGATGGTCTGTGTACTGCAAAGTGCAGGATGTAGACTGCGAGCAGTCCCTTAGGATGGTCACACGACTGACTGAAGAAGGACTGCTCGCAGTTCCCTCTCGGCCAATTCGCTCTCTCCAGTCCTGCCAAGCTTAGACTTGACTGACTGAAGAAGGACTGCTCACAGTCTATGCAGGATGCAAAGGAAATTCAGTTTTACAGCTTGCCCTTTGGGTGGTTTACGGTCAAGTCGCTTGAAAATCATCTCGTCCGAAGTTATGTCGCCTGAAATGCTGAGTTACAGAACTGTATAGGGCTCATAATTTTATCACACTCAACAACATCCTAGCATCCCTTTTACACTATAATCGCACTTATTTTGTCGCATCGAAGATTAAAGAATGAGATACATTACTCATTTATTGCGCTTGTTTTGTTGTTCATCAATGAAAGAGCGAGATATTCTACACATTTGTACTGCATGTTTCATCTCATCATTGCTTAAAGAATGAGATATGTTACACAATCATTCCTCTTGTTTTGCCTCATGATGGTTTAAAGAACAAGGTATATTACACACACTCCTTATTTAAGAAAAAACAACTTGTTTGTTTGTGCCCTTCAACTGATAAAATCGAGCGACATGACTCAGCATTTGGAGCGACTTACATTCAAGCCAGGTCAAACATACCCCCCAAGATTCCATTAATGAATTTATTATTTGGAAGTTGAATCCGTTGGTTGTTGTAGATTTGAGACTCATCCCCGCATTGTTGCATGTGTAATGAACCACGAGTTCACACGCGAGACAGTTATGAAATCTCTGCTAGCTGAGTTTCCCTAAATTGAAGTAAATGTCTTAGAAGCAATTTTATCCGTTCAAAGATTTTCAATCTGACCAAATACAGAGAAGTTCTCATAAAATTTTCACTACTCGTTAGACATGAGGAATGCCAATTTGAATTTGAATCTAGTGACGGGAACAACTAATGGATTCATTTTTCAAATAATGAAATCTTTAATAGAATCTCAGGGCTCAAAATAACAGCCGGTCAACGGACAATGTCCAGCCTGATCGTGGACTTGACCGGTCAAACTCTCGTCTGGCCGGTCATTTTGGATACAAACATTTTATAATATTTTCCATAAGCTGTCGCTTAATGCGTTTTGCTCAGTCTATAAAGCTGTAGTGACTTCTTTTTTCTTTGGCTTTTTTTTTGCTGCTTTACCCTAAAGGCTTTAGAGAAAAAACGAACGCTGCAATACATTTCTTGTCGTCATGTCGTAATGAAACACAACAAAGTGAAACAACAACAAACTGCTGGAGTGATGCAACGATGCAGCAGGTGTTACTGTGCTTTCTGCTTGTGCTAAAATCAGTGACCATCTTTGGGAAAAAGTACACCAACGGTAATCTGTTATCTGTTAGAAAACTAAAGGATAGCTAACAGTTTTGTCCATCTAATGTTTCACTTCTGCTTGTAAGAGGATTGTGAAAATCAACTTCAACGGAATTTGGGCAAATAGATCGCAATTCTCAACAGGTCGTCTGGCAATGTTTCTCCAGGAATAAATTTTAGCACATCAATTTTATAATAATTTCTTTATGTCAAACATGAATCTCGTTTGCGGACTCGATTCCAGAATAGTCCGATAAAAATTTAAGCCAATCCAGAGCGGACGTTGTCTATCCCTCCTTCTTGTAAACGACTTTATGCAAATTTCTGTTGACGTGAATGAGCCCTTCTGGATAAAGTGTTACGCGATGTGTTATGTGCGATGATACTCAAGGTATAACGGATATGGAAACGGGCAAAAACTGGGAAAAGGAACTCAAGATTGTGTGAACAACTGGGGCCTGATGATTAGGATTGCGTGCTCCTCTGGTTGCCTGCAGTTAACCTGTCACTGAAACTACTATTTTTCAGAACCTGATGATGTTGAACAGAATGCCCCTAGTGAGACAGAGCTTTTCACTAAATACTACAGTGAGTGGAAAGGAACAGGGAAAGGCAAAACCAAAAGTTATGATGCTATTCCAAGATTTTATTTCAAGGTAAACTAACTGTACAATTAAATGTACTTGTATGTAGTGGGAGTAATGGTGGCACAGTGGTGAGAGCACCTACCTCCACCACCAATGTGGCCCTGGTTTGCATCCTGGTGTCGACTCCATACACTGTATGTGGGTTGAGTTTGTTCTTGGTTCCGTTCTCTCCTTTGCTCCAAGAGGTTTTTCTCCGGGTTCTGCAGTCTTCCCCTCTCCTTAAAAACCAATACTTCCAAATTCCAATCTGATCTGGTACGCAGGGACGCGTTTCAACAAGTTCTTATGAGGGGTATGGACATGTACATACCTGTATGGTTTATGTCTGAAATTCAAAACCTATCATTTCACCCATTGAGCGGAATTTAGACTGTGTCCCCAATGACATTTTACTATATTTGCCCTTATCTTTGTCACTGTTGCAACTTTAACAAGTTTTTTCTTTGCCCTTCATCTGTCTTGTGTTGCTCTTTCAAGGCCTTGTTGCCTGTTGATGGTTTTCCTCATCAGGGCCTCCCAATGTATGCCATTCATGGTGTTAATGTTTTACATAATCTGACATCTTTTTCTGCGGCTTGTGAAGGCCCTTTCTTCTGAATTATAACTATGAAAATGTTTCTTATGTTCTAAAATTACTGTTATTCTGTATAATACTGGATATAGTAAATAATTATTTTAATTGTTTCTGCCCCCCATCAGAAGCCCTTGAATAAAATAATATTGCATGAGGAGACCATAAAATACATGCATCCAACTTTTGATTTAAAGAGATACAACTGTAGGGACTAGGATCTAGCATCCTGCAATTTTGTTGTGGATGGAAAAACATTGACAAAATGAGCCAGTTCAGTTGCTGATGAAGGATGTTGGAGACAGTTTATGGCTACATTACTAGCCTTGCCATATGAATTTTTTCACAAACAGGGATTTAGGTTGATGATCGTTGTTTTGCGTTATATTTATTCACGGGATTCATAGTGTTAGAACAATGTATCAGTATTACTTCCTATTTAATGGCTGCTATGTACTAGGTATTTATATAGGGCTCAAAATAACGGCCGGTCAACAGACAATGACCGGCCTGAACGTGGGCTTGACCGGTCAAACTCTCGTCTGGCCGGTCATTTTTGGATGCTTGTTGCTTAATGCATTTTGCTCTATAACGCTGTAATTTGCTGCTTTCTTTGGCTTTTTTTGCTGCTTTGCACTAAAGCCTTTAAAGAAAAGCGTTCTGCTTTGCTGTGATCAGTAATGCGACCTTCTTTGGGAAAACATACGCTAACAATCATCCATTATTTTTTAGAAAACTAAAGGATGAGTGACAGTTTTTGTCCATCAAACGTTTCACATCTACTTGTAAGAGGATTGTGAAAATCACCTTCGACGGAATTCGGGCCAATCGATCGCTCGTCCTGTAGTGTTTCTCTGGGAATAAATTTCAGCGCATCGATTAATTATAATAATTTCTTTACGTCGAACATGATCTCGTTTGCAGACTTGATTCCAGAATTGTCTGATAAAAACTAAGCTAATCGAGAACAAATGTCGCCTATCTCAGCGCTGAAAATCCTCCTTCTTGATAAGCTGTTCGCGATAAAGTGTTGCGCGATGACCCAAACGAAAGCTCTGCTGTATATTTATTGACTTCTGATGACGAATACGCTGTTTGTGGAACAAATTTCTTGCCAAATCAACTTCTTTGCTGCAAATATTTAGCAATGAAATTCTTCTTTGTGGAGGAGACTTTTGATCACGTGCCGGGTAACGAAAAGGATCAAGTTTCACTGATATGCAGATATAGGACGAACCTTGGAGACTTCTGACACCACCGTACGATGATACTGAAGGTATATATAAACGGACATAAAACGGGCGAAAATTGAGGAAAGGAACTCAACAACGAGTGAATGAATTTTTCACCAACTTGCCGGCAAAAACCTGAACGACAATGCCGTACAACGATCTACTGCCGGTGTAATTCGATATTCCATGGGCAAAAAAATAATTATAATAATTATTCATTAATTTGACCGGCCAAAATCGGGGTTTGTCTGGGCTAAAAAATATTTGGCCAGTCATCATGACCGGCGACCTGCTGTCCGTTATTTTGAGCCTTGGGTAATTTCTATGAGTTTCAGCTGTACAGTCTCCTTTTGGGAGGAGAAAAGAAAGGAGTCAATAACTTTTCCAAATTGTACCCGTACATGTTTGGTAAAAAAAAAGCACAGAGCTAAGGAGGCTGGATATTGGCCAATTTCATTGACTGAGACGAAGTTGAGGGATTAAGTTATACGCAAAAAAGAACGAGTCCAATAACCAGGCTAAAAAGAGAACTTTTTCATGCGGTAAATCCCGAGGGGCAAGATTGGCACATCTTGACCACTCAAGTAGCCAATCAGAATGCAGGATTTGCCTCATCTTGCCTGCTTGTGGATTCAGCCATATAATAATAACAACAAGAACAAGAACAAGAATTATTATTTACTCTTTGTATTTGCTTCGTTGTGCTCTTCAGCTTCCCTCTGAGGATGAGGTGTTGCTACAAAAACTGCGAGAAGAATCAAGAGCAGTTTTCCTTCAAAGGAAAAGCAGAGAACTACTTGACAATGATGAACTGCAGGTGAGAAGATCTTCTTAGCCTGTGAGTTCCAACGAACCTGGAACCACTTGCCTCCGTCAAATCACGACACGTGGTTGAACACAACTATTAAAGTTAATTTACTGTATTGTATATTTGTACTTTGAGAAACTGTTTTCTTGCATAACAACTGTCCTGAGCAAAATTCCATCTCCTCAAAATAAAACATGTGCAAATTCCCCAGGGGAATCATGTGATCTAACAATGCAATAATTATTGTCCAAAACGGTAACCGGAAATAAACGGTACTAGCTACAGATGTCAGAAGTTAGCCAGGAAATATTATTTTTATTGCTATTGTTTTGTCTGACGTGGCGCATAGTTTTGCAAGATTGTAGGGCTGTGAACACTGTACAAGTAAAAAAAGAGGAACCTAAGAGGAGGGGTGTTCTTGGCAACTTAAATATTTTAAATTGATGCAAATCTCTGAACAATCAAGTGCTACGTCTACGTGCAAGAGACCAGTTTTTAATTGTGCATACATCAGTGACACACTTTTGTACATGTATATCGTGACTGTGACGTTTTGGTCTTTTTGATGACAACTTTTGTGACAACATCTTTGATCTATAACTGGACACGAACACAGCAAAAAGAAATTAATAAAATGGTGTTATGAATAGTAATGATAATAATAATAATAATAATAATAATAATAATAATAATAATAATAATTGTCACTTGATTGTTTGAAGATTTGTTTCCATTTTGGTATTACATGTATTTTTTTAAGTTGCTAACAATACTGTACTGTCCACCTCTGTTTTGTTGTTTCATTGCTTTTCAAACAGCTTTTTAAAAAGCAGTAGTCATCTAGAGTTTGAAAAGTTAAGTATCTGTGAAGTTATGACCCCATTGTAATAACACTGTACTAAAGTAAGATTATTTTATTATTAGTGACAACATGTACCAGGGTCCGAAATTGCGCCTTCCTGGTCGCCAATGCGACTGAAAATTTAGTCCTGGCGACCAGAATTTCATAGCTGGTCGCCAGCTAGCGACTTGTAAAGCTGGGGCTGGTTGCTCGAAGCCTGGTTAGCGCTAACTGTTGGTTAAGAGGTATCAAAATGTATAGGTTTCCATGGTATTTAACGCTGGTTAGCACTAACCATGCTTCGAGCAACCCGGGCCTGGTTGATATTGTGGTCTTTAACGTTCGGAAAAACTGATTTAAGAATTGAACAAATGTCGAAGCTATTTGCCAACAGGAGTCTTGCTTTTTGTCCTGCTGATATTTTTTAATTAAAAGTGAAACGAATCTTCCTGTAATAATACCTCCACAACAGCTACGATCAATACGAGTTGAATGTTTCCAAGCCGCCATGTTGTTTTCAGCTGTAATACAGTAAGTACGTTATGTACTTTGTGGATGTGGCACAGTTGTGGCCTGGTACGGCCAACATGGCGGCTTGACTCGTGTTTATGTTTCGTGTTTCGTGGTAGTTATGGGAAGAAAATAGGGTTTTGATAATTATGATCAGTGCAGTCATGAGCAGACGGCTTTCTGTTCCTACATTCTAGGTCAGATAGCTTTACATCTCTGAAAAGCGAGTTGTGGAAAAAATAATACTTCACTCGTACACTTACGGTTGCTTTCTGGTATCGGGAGCGGAAGTAGTGCAATTTTTTGAGTATAAAAACGTCCATACCATACATTTTTTGTTCGTGTTTAAACTTTCATTTGAAAAAAGGGAGGGGGAATTTTTGGTGACCGCAATTTGCCCGTTGGCGACCAAAAATTTATACTTAATCGCCAGTTGGCGCCCGTATTAAAAAGTTAATTTCAGACCCTGTGTACGAGTGTGCATATGTTTCCTTTTTAGAATCTTTGGTTTCTTTTGGACAAACATCACACACCACCAGTTATTGGAGATGAACAGGTGCAAACTGTATAAAATGTACTTTACTAGACGTATTTATTGTGACAATGATGTTTATGCTACAGGTCAAAATTAAATTCAGGTTAAAAATTTTCAACCTAGGTTGATTCTCAATTTCCTTTGTCTCTCAGCCCTAATTATTCATGTAAACTGAGTAAACATCTTTCTAGTGTTTTCACCAGGCTTGAAATTTACCATCACATTTCTCTCACAACAGATTTTGCTTTTAAAATTTCTTGTTTGTAGATGATTAATTATGAAGACTTTCTGAAAGTTGGAGAAGCAGCAGGAGACAAATGCAGGTCAAGTTTAGTTTTTACTTGTCAAGTGTTGCAGACAACATATGCAATAAAATTTATTTGAAGGCATTTTAAAATCTTATTATTTAATTATTTAAGAATTAATAGCTTAGTTCATAAATCATTATTAAAATACTATTATTTGTGAAGGGAACTAGAAAACTGTGAACACCAGAATTATTTCTGTAATGTTATTGTGTTGCAAGAAGAAAGTCAATCAGGCATATGAAAACTAGGCAGCAATTACACATGTAGCAATGGTAGATCTATGGTTCTGTGGCTTGTTCAATAATATTGTCCTGATCTCTGTTGCAACCAGTCACAGCGCAATAAACAATTTCAGGTGTTCATGGTTTTTCAAGTTTGACGATAAAGCAGGGTTGAAATTTATTTTTTGAAATTTTGCATTTCCAAAGACAATTGGATTGCGGAATTTTGTGGAATTGTAAGTTGTGTTTTTAAATTTTAGAACTTTTGTAGTGTTTGGAATTGATATCCCACAAAATTGCTTTTGAGTATCTTATTTTGTGACTGCTAGACATCCCCTTGAAATATTGTTGTTACAATTATATGTTTAGTGGTTTTGAAGTTAAAGTGAGAATGAATATCTGTTGGGACAAACAAGTATCTGTAATTGTGTTGATTGTGGCCGTTGTAATAAAATTGTTAAACATCTACGACCATTCATAGAGGCTATAATTATATTTTTTTGTCCTTATGACTTTAATTAGGTCTGAGTGAATGCTTTTTGTGATTATTGCAGGCCTTTCTTCAGTGCAACTGTGTTTGCTAAGTTATTTCAGCAGGATCCTTTTGGAAGGTACGCTATTAGCCATATAAAGGCACTCAAAAATTAGGTTTTATTTTTTTTACTGAGTTAAATAAATTACTGTGAAACTGTGCCCTACAATGAGGGACAAAAGTGTTGACACACTTCCGTAAAATGGCCCCTTTTTGCATAGTGGATATACTTATCCCCTTCCCCTGTCTACCCCAACCCCTTCCCCCCAAAATCAATGTTGAATTTTGGACCCTCAAGTCTTTTTTTTACTTCAGACAACATTGATTCGGGGGGTCGGGGAATTTACGGCCTTTAAAGGGAATGAAATAATAAATGAATTAAATGTTTGTTAAAAGCACCCCTTTTAAACAAGTGTGTCAACTACTTTTGTCCCTGATTGTAGATTTCATTTGATCACAAATTGATTCTATTTCTTTTCATCAGGATATCAATCATGCAGTTTTTCAACTATGTGATGAGGAAAGGTGGGTTTCAGTACTCTTAAATGAAAAATAAAAGTTTTGAATAATGTTGATGGAGCCTGGTGAAAAAAATAATGCTAGAAGGAGATCAATATGCCGTTAATCCAGCTGGAAAATTAGTTCTTAATGCATTTATTAGTGTACCAGTGAAATGATTGTATTAAAATTAATGGCAAAAGGTTTTAAAACCTTTCTTGATGACTGTGAAATTATAGGTATTAACACTGGACTTTGTTCACAAGCCTCTGAAATAATATTTTATAAACAATTATTAGCTGGCTCTTGACTATACTGTAAAGCATAGAGAACCCAGAGCCATGAAGCCTTAATGGGTGGTTAATCTATCGTAGCCAGCGTACTCCTTTCCCACCCTCCCCCTCCCATCCATCTGAACCAAGCCCAGTTGTTTGAAAGGTGGATAATGCTATACACTGGATAAATCTCTGTGTAGTGAATATTAAACCCAAATTGGTTTGCCTGTAATACATACATTATGCTAGTTAGTGATTTATCCAGTGGATAATGCTATATCCAATGTTTGAATATGGAACTTAAAAGGTTTGTCTGTTGAAGAATAATATTGGCCAAAGGTTTTAAAACCTTTCTTGATGATCGCAGAATGTTAGTATACATGTAGGTGATGATGAAAACCTTTCCCTTGGGTCATAATCTGACATTGCTGGCTCTTGACGCCATTGTCTATGCTAAAGTACAGGGAAACTACCTTGGTTATCACACTACTTCCCATTATAAGTCTGAATGGCTCCACAGTTGATCCGTCATGGCCTGCAGATTTCATCTATGTTCATAATATAATGCTAGTCAATATATTATTTACAACTGCATGGACACAGAAAAGTAGGATGTATCGCCAACTGCTTTCCTTGGTACTTTTTGACAAGCCTTATTTTGTACATGAACGTGAAAATTGAAAAGTAACTACTAACAGCTAATATGTGTGAGTGATTGAGGAAAGTATTGACTTGTGGAGAGATTCAGAATCAAAGTAATTGTATGACAAATGGCAAATGTTAGATTCAAATTGAATGTAAACAGTTAACTTCTCAAATTAGGACACTCACACAGATGAGCAGAATTGATGTAAAAACTGCCCATTTTCTCATGGGTGAAACCACTTATGATACAACGAGCAGCAAAAATGACAAGTATAGGGAAAACATTTAAGTCATGCTGTATAAATACTGATGTCTGTAGTTTGCCATAAACTTGATTCTGAATCTCTGCAACTGTTAAATATTAAATGTTTATATTACTGTTTATAAAATAACTAAGATGGTAGGTTCTTTCTGATTGGTTAAAAACTTATGGTTTTTTGTGCCGGTAAACTCATAGAAAACTTAAAGTTATCTTGTAAAAGTAATAGATCACGCTTTCTATGGGTTTACCGGCATGATAACCCACGCAGGATGTTGGGAGAACACGAGAAAAGCTTGTAATTCACGAGCCAAAGGCGAGTGATTTACAAGCTTTTCAAGTGTTCTCCCAACATCCCAACTGGGTTATCACGCTGGTAAACCCATAGAAAGTGTGGTCTATTGCTTAAGCAATGCAACAGCTACATGTAAGTTGGTAATTTTTTATCAGTTTGGCTTCATCAGACCAGGATTGGATTGAGCCTCTATGATGTTGCAGGGCAGGGATACTTGAAAGAGTCGGTAAGCCAAGTTTGTTCTCTAAGTTTAGGATGGTGATGTTCTGGGACTACCAAATTCAAAGTTCTTTGAAAAATGGCTTTTGAATAACGTTACAGATCAAGTTTGATTTCAGGTTTATTTTGATTTAACCTAGGTTGATTCTCAAATGTTCCCTTTGTCTCCTTGCCCTAATTCATGAATAATTAGGGCTAGGAGACAAAAGAAATTGAGAATCAACCCAGGTGAAAAAATTTTTAACCTGAAATCAAATTTGACCTGTAACAAATACAACCGTCTCTTATTTTTTGTGTCTGAAGCACAGACTTGTCTCTTGCAAAGTATCCCCTTTGGCAGGGAGCAAGTGACTGTATTCGCAGGCTATGTTAAAAAAAAATGTTGTACCCAGAACATTTACTATGAAAATCAAGCCGAAAAAATGTAGACCTACTTTACAATAGACTAGTTTCGAGGTTTTCCATTAGACCGGCAGCTTTTAGTTTTCTGCGTGCCTGTCACCATTGTATGCTTGTCTAATGTTAGTTTACGTGTTATTTACTGTAGAAGATGACTTTTCTGGGTTCTTGCCCATTTGTGCAAGTAAACATGTAAAGTTACTTGTCCTGGACTACAATCCCTGATTTACTCTCTCAAGGCTTGATCATACAATGCAGCTAACTAATTACATACAGTGCCATTGTAATTGTGACAAATTAAGGTTTGTTAAGAAATCTGTCTGCCTGATGGTTTCTCAAGCTGTTAAAGTAAACTTTTTCTTTCCCTCTTACTCAGGACCTGGAAAATTATATCCTGGAGCTGATCCCAACTTTACCTCAGGTATGATGCTGGTTTGTTATTAGTGTCTCCAGCTAGCAGAGATGCTGAATAATTTCCATACAAAATGAAGAAGTGTTTAGGGTGCTCTGTCAAGACAATTCTTGTCATAAGTTTGAGCCAAGTTTGAGCACTGTAACGATGCCTTTTCATATTAACAACATAGTTGAAGTGGCATTCTACCACCTTAGAAATATAGCTAAGATTCGTAAGTATATCAATGTCACAATGGCTGAAGTTCTTGTGCATGCATAGCTGGATTTCTGCTGTTCGCTTTTACATGGTCTTCCCAAGTATGAAATTAACAAACTGCAAAGTGTCCAAAATGTTGCAGCACTTGTGATTGCCTGCTTAAGTAAGTTTGATCACGTAAGTGATACACTAAAGGAGTTGCACTGGTTACCAGTGGAGCAAAGAGAAATCTTTAAGATTAATCTTATTTGTTTTAAGATACTCAACAATTTAGCTCCTGATTATTTGGTTGACCTAATCCATGTTTATGAACCTGCGAGGTACCTTCCATCATCTTCAAACAAGTGGCGTCATGTTATTAAACCCTATAACTTAAAGACATATGGTTTAAGGGCTTTTTCAGTCATTGTCCCTTTTTCAGTCATTGCCCCTAAGAACTATCTTAGGTTTTTATTTTGTATTTTTTGACTATCTATATATATATATATATGTAATGATTTTAGGATTTTTATTTTTTATTCAGACCTTTTTGAAGCATTGTAAAGCGCTTAGCACTGAAAAGTATAGATATAAATATTTTATTATTATTATTATTATTATTATTATTATTATTATTATTAGCCAATACTTTGTTTCCACTTGTATAAAGGGTGTCTGTAACAATAAAGGGATATTTTTTTGTGGACCAATAAAAGAAAAGTAAAAAAGCATTTTTTTTTTCATAGACAATGTTGCCCTAAATTTTTCAAGTTGCAATCCTTATCCTTGTCTTCCTCATTCATGGTACTTCTAACCAAAACAGTGTAAAATAACCTTTGATAGGGACCAGTTAGTGAAAATCTGTCAACATGGCTGGAAATTTAAATCACTAAAGATAACAAGTTTGAAAGCGATTTGTTCAAAACTAACAAAGATAAATTATAGCTCCTCAAATTCAGGGTTTCCAGGGTTGTCGGATGGCTGAGTTGTCAAAGTGAGCAGCCAGTCCAGCCACCATCCGTAGAGAAATGCAAACATCAATCTAACCAAATAGGGCCATTTTTCCCTGACTAGTTTTGACATCCCAACAAATGCCCCCACCATTTTGTTGCAAAATAATACATCTTTAGAAAGTTGACCATGATTATGACAGGTTTTTGCTGTCTGTTGCCTTGTCACTTTCTAAATTTTATTACTTTGAAGAGTAACTACTGAAAAGTCATAATACTATTCTATTCCCTCAAAGTTGGACAATATTGGTGACCTGAGCATTTCTGTCGTAGAGTTTAAAATAAATGTTTCTAGCTTTTGAGGCATATAGCCTGCGCGCAGACACTTTAAACCTCCACACTATATGCGATACGTGGGCCGGCTGCAGCGCAGGCTTTTGAGGCATAGTAATGGAAAGTTTTGCATGTGATATAATATCGTTTTTACCATTAATTATTCATTGTTTCACTTGTTCTGATTTAGTTGTATCCTCTGCATTTTCTCTTTTTCAGTTGGATGGCCTTGAGAAATCATTTTATTCTTTTTATGTCTGCACCGCTGTCAGAAAATTTTTCTTTTTTTTGGATCCTCTGAGAACGGGTAAGAAAAAAACTAACGAAAGATTTTGGAGATTAACAACACAGTTATTGAGAAAGATGATATTAATTTTAGCCAGTGACACATACAGGTGGCTCAGAAGAAGCAATCTGAGTACTCCCGATAGGACCCGTGTTACTTTAATATAACCTGTTACTAGTCCAGAATGATGCTCTACCACTATGCTACAGGAGACTCGTGGGAGCTAAGGCCAATAAACTAGGTCCTTTCTTGCTTTCTTTCTTTCTCCTGCCCTCTTTTCTTTTCTTCCTTCCTTCCTTGTTCCTCCCTCCCTCACTTCCGCTCCCTTCCCCCCTTTTCCTACCTTACTCCCCCTTCCTCCTCCATCCCTCCATCCTTCTGTCCCTTTGTCCCTCCCTCCTTTTCTCTTTCCTTCTTTCTTTCCTTCATTGTTCCATATCCTTCCGCAATCCGCCTCCTTTCCTCCTTGCCTCTCTTACTCCTTTCCTCCCCCTCCCTCCTTCCCTTTTTCCTCCCTCCCTCCCGGCCCCCCATGCATGTTTTTAAAATATTGTGCTTTGTTACGTAGGAAAAATCAAAATTCAAGACATCCTAGCTTGCAGCTTTCTTGACGATCTCCTTGAGGTGTGTATTGTATTTTACCCACAATAATGACTTATAGTCGTAAGACATATACGTAAGCTAAAAGGATAGACAAAGAAAGTCTCTAACTTGTGTTTAAGGTTAACCTAGAATTTATTCATCCTCTCTTAGTTTTAAGGAATTCAAGCACAAGGAAGTGCTTTTTTTTTTAATTTAGGCTTTTCAGATTGACTCAATTAGTTCCTTATAATATTAAAAGACAAGTTTTTTAATGAAAGCTAAAAATGCTTTTTTCATCCAAACCATTTAAAGGCATTGTATACTATTATTATTATTCAGAGGATTCAGACATATAATATATGTTTTGCGTATGCCGTTTTTGATTCCAACATACACAGGTATAGTGACCTTTCTGTTTGTGTTTTGCGACTATGTAGTTAAGAGATGAAGACTTGTCAAAGGAGCAACAAGATGCAAACTGGTTTTCTGCTCCATCAGCACTTAGAGTATATGGTGAGATTAGCTGCTTGGCATGCTTTTTAAATGGATTATCATATTTTCTGGAAAAAGTTCCTGTATTTATTTAAAGAGAGGGTAACTTATTTGAAGGGTGGAATGAATAATAAATATTGAGGGAGCAGTTCTTACATCTGAAACATTATTTTTTGGCTAATCAATGCTTTTTCTAGAAACTGGAACTGACTTCACATGTATTGTATTGCTTGTTAATTAATCCTCTCTACTTAGGAAAGTGAAGTTCAGGTCGTGGTGGGTGGCTATGCTGATATGCTTATAGTTTGCCTGAAGGGGAGGGTGCTTTGTGAGAGTGTCATGCAGAGTGCTTATTTAAAGGCTCACAACATTATTAATACATGACACCGTTCTAAACCATAGAACCAACACACGGGTTTTGCTAAGCTGATCAGACTTCTATGCTCTAAGTAGACACTTAAATGAGCATAATTTTTATAAGAAGTATCCCTAGGAGTTACCCTACCAATCCATGTAATTTCTGGCTGTAAAAAGTACTTTTATACTCTTGTTGTACATTAACTATTTATTAGCCTCGAATAATTTTACCAGACAGTATAAATTATATTATGATGTATGGACTTATCCGACTCATTCCTTGAAGCCATGATAGTTGCAAAATCTAGTGTAACCGCATGCAAGGCCTGCCTGAGCAGGCCTCCTTATCCTTGTTCGTGATTTAAGACAAGCATCACCACTAGGTTTATGCTTTCCTTTAGTTCACCACCCGTTTCCATGTGAAATCGGTCTACCAGTGGACTGGAATGGGTAGCGCATGCGTAATGTTTGCGATTTTGAATCGCACGTGTATGTTATCAACATGAAGTGTACCTTCAAATAACCTAGATATGAAATGACACAACATCAAAAAGCCATACTGGTGTGAAACTTGTGCCGGTGCAAGTTTTCTCATGTAAACACCCCCTTACTGTTGATTTGAGTAAGTCTTGGTTTGGTTTTTTTTTTCAGGTCAGTATCTCAGTCTTGACACAGATCACAATGGAATGTTAAGTAAAGAAGAATTAGCAAGGTAACATGTATGTCACGGTTATAGTAGGAATAGACGGTTCAGCCTGTTGGTTTACAGTAGGATAAAAAAGTGAAAAACGAGTTTAACTGAATATTCAATCAAACCAGATAACTGGAATCCCTGCCAACTGGAACAGTTTTTTGTTTCCCTATGGATTTCGAGTTACTGGGGTTCTAATGTATTTGCTTATTTTACATCTTACTAAATATACATTGATATGTGTTTGTTTTAACACTTTTTTCTCTTGTTTTCAGATATGGCTCAGGAACATTAACCAAAGTTTTTGTTGATCGAGTATTTCAGGAGTGTTTAACTTATGATGGAGAAATGGTTAGTATTTATAATCACGAATATTAATTTGTTCAATAGCTTCACATCAAAATTATTGTTTTTCTGTGCCCTCATTCCTTTTCCTGTTGATGATACTTTAATTTCATTTCTGGTAAAAGTGATTTTGAAGATTAATGTTTTTGTAAATAATTGCAAATAATAGTAATAATAATAATAATAATAATAATAATAGTAATTTTAAAAAAATTGGTGTTTTGCAGGATTATAAAACATATTTGGATTTTGTCCTTGCACTAGAAAACAGGAAAGAACCTCAGGTGGGTAATCTAAAAGAGTTTCAGAGTAACAATAAATTTTCCATAGTTCACTATTAAAGTTCCTTTTTTGTGATGACAGCCTGCCAGAGATTATTTTGGTCATTTGCTGACATAATTTTTGGTGGAAAGGACTTTAGTCTAACAAAGTTATTTTACTCCATTTTTGTCTTTTAGGCTCTACAGTACATGTTTAGAATACTGGATATACAGGTGAGATCGATTTTTGTTAGTTTTCATAGCGCCTGTATCTGTCTTGAATTTACACCCGCATTAAAAATTCTACATCTTTTTAACTCGTTTTTTTTGTTTGTTTCAGGGTGTCGGACATCTCAACATCTTTTCATTAAACTTCTTCTTTAGGGTAGGAATTTGACTTCTGGTCTTCAAGTATTTTGTTCGTTTTATTATTACTGGAAATTTCATTACTTTTAGAGAAAGTTCTTTACAAGCCATTTTCAAAGATGCATCTGTATTATCAGTATTTTTTTGTGGCTTTCCTCTCCTAGGAAATTCAAGAGGAAATGAAGAAACATGGACATGAACCTGTGAAGTTTCTGGATGTTAAGGTACTAATAAAACATGGTAGTTTTAGCCGTTACATGTAAAAGTATTTAATAAATGCCTACTGTGTAAATAAAAATTTCGTTCTAGGGGAGCAACTGATGACCACAATTTACTTTATTCATGAACGAAAGGGTGTGAAATACCTGTTGCGAGTTGTTCAAAAGATGTGTCGTTGAAGAGATACCCATAAAATAACTGCGATTGGCAAAACAGACTTGATACACACGCAAATGACTAGCAAATTCCATTAAAAGACTTGTCTCATTATCACCGATGCTCCCATTAAGAAATTCCCAAAAGCTGAGCCAAAGGAAAAGTGGGAAGGAGAAATGAAAAGAACCGGAACCACTTGTGCTCGTGATCCCCACGGTTAGAATTCTTTAGAGGGTTGACTGAGCTGTATGATTGTGTTTCTTCACAGGATGAGATTTTTGATATGGTCAAGCCAGTAGATCCTTATCGGATCAGTCTGCAAGATCTTATCAGCAGGTCAGTCATCATAACCACCTTATTATTGGAAATTAACGCGACTTAAATTAACGCGGCGAATTTAGTGGAAAACTACTTTCAAATAAAGGAAATTTACGCGAAAGAGAGGCTAACATTTCAAATTGAAGGACATTTACGCGACGCTCACAAACCAAGAAACAAAACTGGTTGAGACAACAGAAACAAAGTTAAACGTAGAAAATGAAACTTTGTTCGTGGTACTTTCCCTAAACGTCAAGCAAAGAAATCTGGCCACCTTGAGGCTTCTTCACAGCTCCACTGTTACAGGTGGATTCCACCATGATATATTTTTATTTATTTTTATATTATATAATATAAAAATTTTTAAGTTATTTTTTTTATAATAAGGTGATTAACCTAAGGATAAATTTGTTTAAGCCAAACACGTGTCCTCTTAACAACTTCTAATGTCAGTGTTCATGTTAACCCGCTTAATATTTTTTTTAAAATCATGGTTCTGTGTGAGTGCCGGTTTAAAGTGTTAAAGAACATGTCAGCAACAATAGCACGGAACAGTGGTATTTGTGAAGTGAAAGCTTGTGTTAACTCGAATTGTTATGATTCATACAAAATATTTTGCCATTTCTGATTGGCTCAAATACCTTCGGCTAAAACCAGCTGGCGTTGACCATTTTTGAAAGATGGATTACCATCGATTTCGATCGATGGTATATTTCTGGAAACGAGACTCCTTGGGCAAAATGGAGTTCACGGCTATCTGAAGGCGAAATAGCTGAACTTCTGACTGAAACTGGACGGAAGAAATGTAAATGTGGGTAATTTTTCATTGTTCTCAGTCTTTTGAATTAGGTCATTTAGTGATTGCAAATTTGGGAACATTATACATGTACGTTTCTGGGATACTGCCTACCTCCCCCTCCCCCTCCCCCTCCCCCAAGCTAACATTAACACTTCTCACTTAAGGAAAAATGTTGGCTTAGGGGAGTGGTAGGTGAGCAGTTTCCCAGAAACCGAGTCTTCTCGTATACATTGCACTGTAACTGGGGCAAAGACTGCCTCTCGTTAAACCAGTATCTTCGTTATGAAGGGTGTCATTATATCAGGGTCCTACTGTCGTGGCGAACACTATTATATAGATGTCTCACTCTCTCAAACAGAAATGCTAAAGTTTCGTACAGTGGAACGCCGTTAATGCGACCACCGATCTGGGCCATAAAATCCTGGTCGTAATAACGTGGTGGTCGCATTATTGGGGTCTTCAAAATAATAAAATGACTCACTGATGTTTACGTTTGGTTTGAAAGAACATGGCCGTAATAACGAGGTGGTCTTATAAATTGGATGGTGGTAAGGCGGGGTTGCACTGTAATTATGAAATTTATGTAACCACTCGTCACCATATGGTTATCTTCACAGTGGTCAAGGAGAGACAGTCACCAGCATTCTGATTGATTTGAATGGCTTCTGGACTTATGAGAACAGAGAACTTCTTGTACAAGATGTGAATAATGAATAATTTACCCACTTCGGAGCCTATTAGCGACCTGGAAGTCAGAACTATTGTCTGTGGAGGTTCCAAGGACAATTGTCAAATAGTCTGAAAAACTCTCACTTTCGAAACCTGGCCAAGTGCAAAACCTTTCCTGTGACAATGAGTTTCATTTCCATGGCAAATAAAAAAACGATTTTCTTATCAGTGGCTTTACACTTAGCCTCGCCTTGAAGCAGAGGCTTGGGGCAAGTCGGAAATGGCCTACTCTACATATTAATGATCAATGTCTCTTGTTCCCTTATTTGTCTCGATTTGTTCTCGCAAAAGGAAAAACAGACGCCTTCTGGCTGACCACAAAAGACTAAGGGCCTGTTTACGTGGAGGTGCGGGACCCTAGGTAGGTGAAGTAACCCGCTTAGGTCCCGGAGGGGGGGTACTGCCATATATGGGCTATATGGGTATGTGCCGCTGTGAAGGGTATGGTTTTCAAGCAGTTTACTCTAGGATAGGTTATATAAATCAGAGCGTTTGGGTCTAGAATAGGGTATCATTTTTCAGGAAACTGATCAGTTGGTTGAAGATTTTATCTAGACTGAGGAAACAGCTACTCTAGGATAGGGGGATTTTGAAAGTTTACTCTAGCACATCCCCACCCAGAAATTCCTAAAGCGCCCCCCGGGGCTTAGGTAGGGTAACCCGCCTGTCCATATAATCTGTTATATGGTCACCCACCTGTCATGTAAACGCGATCAAATTCAATAAGAGATAATATGGACAGGCGGGTTACCCCACCTAAGCGGGTACCCCATCACACCTGGGGTCCCCCACCTCCATGTAAACAAGCCCTAAGATAACCCTAAGATAATATTCCAACATACAGCTGTAATGGCAAGCCTTGTCTTAACTTTGTGGAAATGAATAGATTTTTACAAAGAGACGTTTTATAGATTTATTTATTGAATTGCTCCATGCTCCGTTTGCAAATAAAACAGTTTCAAAATGAATCAAAAGCTGGACTTTCCTTTTATATATATAAAATGAATGCACCCTGAAGCTAGCTTTGTAATCAAATTCAAATTCTGCAATAAATTAGTTTTAATAGAAACAAAGACGAAAGTGCGGTCATCTCCATTTACTGTGTAACAGCCGTGTTTCTTCTTTAAGCTCTTTAAATCTTTCTTGAATCTGGTCAGTGATCTGTTTTCTTGCTTCCATCTGCAAGGTACAAATAATATAACAATCATTTCGACTTTTTTTTTTTTTTTCAAGAGATTAGAGACTGTTCAAACAGTCTCCGAGGACTGATAAGCCCCTTAAATCCCAGGTCGACTTAGAATTTGGAAATGTTGGTTTTGGTTAATAAAATGAGGAATTTAAACTGGACAATCAGAAAAAACACCCTTGGTTTGAGAACCAACAACAAACGCAGTTCACATTGTAAGCATCACGAACAAGAATCAATCACATAACTTAGGACTGACAGACCAGTGTCAGTCTGCCTGGCTAAGCTAATAGAGAAATAACGCGCTTAGGACGGCAGAGTAGAGAAGACGGCAAACCTTGCGTGACAAGTGTGACAACAATTTTGTTTTTGTAAACCACCAGGCACCAGTTGTTCAAAAGGTGGATAGCGCTATCTGATGGATAAATCTCTATCCAGTTGATAGTGCAATTGGTTTCCCAAATACTTATCCACTGGATAGTGATTTATCCGGTGGATAGCGCTATCCAACGTTTGAGCAACCGGGGCCAGAGCACTAATAACCGAAAGTGCCATCTTTTTTCCCATGATGTACAAGACGACTGTGCCCATTTACTGTTTTTATCGAATATCCAAAGGTTTCAAACCAAATAGGGGCCCCCAAAAAAGGAAACATGCCTCTGAAGAAACTCAAAAGGCTCTAAAAAAAATTTCCCAACGATTCGTTCTTGTTTCCTTTCTAAGTCTCCCTCTTCCGCTTTCGTTTTTTTTTTCTCCCCACCTTGCGCCACCCTCCACCATCTGAACGCCTGAAACAAGTTATGTATTAAGATTCTGACTCACTGCAGTCTTTTTTGCTTTTCTGTATTCCTCCACAGTGTCTGTAAATTCCATTGGTTCTCCTATCAGCACTGTTACTCGCTTCAGGAGAAAAGACAAACATTTCGCTTAAGTCAAAAATACCTTTTTTTGGCATGTCGATTAACTTTTACTTTAAATCACTGTCAAGTTCAGTCAACGGGTGATTTGGCTTGTAAGAACAAAACGTCGTCGAACAGTTTCTTCTTCCCTCAAACGGAATTATTCATTTATACCACAAGCAGACCAGTGAAAACCTAACACAAGACACCAATAGTCTTAACAAATGCTTTCTCAACAGCTGACGGAAAATGACAGTTTAAAGACAAGAACTGGCTACGGTGTGCTGCTTAAAAAACGAACAGGACAAAACTCGAGGCGAGGCCGAGAGTTTAGTAAAACTGATAATACACTCCCTGCTCGTTTTTTGAACAGCTTCAATATCTCTGATATAGATCAACTCATTCTTGCACTAATATTAAGATTTGGGGTTATTTTGGTCTAAAAAATTGGAGGTAAAGTTTAGCCGCGTCTTTATCAGATATAAAGAGGCTCGGTAAGCATTTAAAATTTATTTTGTTTTTTTCTTTAAGAATTATAAATGAGGTTTTGAATTTGTGTTTCATACACCAACGAGAACATAGATTTCATTGAACCCGTTTGAACAGCGAAGTTTTCTTCAGTTTGTGCTCATTAAATATACTTTTGTATGCTCTCTGAGTCTTTGTATTAATAAGACTCCGGTATATGTCCGTGTTGTGAGAGGCACTTAAAATTGAAACCTGGATACACGCTGGACGGTATGGCATGCTCTTTAGTCTCCAGTCTACCTCGCAGCCGTGTTTTGGATGTCACGCAACGCTCCCTCGGCTGCCAGAGAGACTATTCAGTCTCCGAATTACCCAGGTTCCACTGCATTCAGAAACTCGGCAAACAAAAAAATTCGTAAATTCTTTCTAGGGGAAATAATAAAAAAACTCACAGCTTTATAAAGGGTGTCATCAAGTTAAGGCAACTCATGTAAACTGAGTTCTCTCTTTCGTATGTCTTGTTCACTGACCTGCATTATTTGCGGAATGTACGGACTTTGGTTAGGCAAAACATCATCCATTCCTGTAAAAAGTTTTCAAAGACATTTAAATATTAATGAAACATTCTTTCTAATACGCGACAGATTTAGTCTGGGTTACTAAAATCGAATGTTTGCTCGACGATCTGGCACATTCGAGTCACTTCACAATTAGAAGGGGGTTAGGTCTCGGTTAAACAGTCACTATGTTATCTCAGCGTTTAAACAGTTCTTGACAACCGATGTTGTGACTTTTTAGGAGTCACTACAAGTTTTCTTTTTTAAGAATTTGGTTAGCGCGTGACAGCGAGCGCTATTTTCTTGTTTGCACACCCTATTGGGGTAGCGGTCGATACGTAAATCTCCCCTGGCATTTATTTCCATACGCGCTTTCGATGGTCTCTATTAAAAGAGAAAATAAAAGGTTTGTCATTAGGCCGCTAAAGAGACATGGTCACAACCTCTTGTGGGATGTTATGACATGGTGTGAGCAGACTCTCTCGAGGAGAATCGTGAGACAATATCATCAAGACCGTTTGTCTGGGTTTTAAGCAACCACGACGACAACAAGAGTTCACGAGTCTTTTACACTTTTTAGCGGTAATACTTCCGAGTATTCTAACTCTGTCAAACGGCCATTTTCACAAAGAGATCATTTCAGTCATTTGACTGCAACTACCAGAATCCAGGATCATGTTTGATTTCTTGATCAATTTGTTTTCTTATTCAGGTCCAGAATAACAATAACAATATTTAGTCAAAATCATGCCGTCGTGAAAATGGCTTGTTTGTTCAATGGAATAAGCGAAGTTCATGGGGCTGAGTTCTTAGGGGCTCACTGTCAACTTCAAAGGAAGATCCGTCGTCTTGCATCCGTGTAAGAAAGAGTATGATGCACTCAGAGTTGTTGAAAATGTGGATCAAAACTGAAACGAAGTCTATGGCAGTATTTAAGGTACAGAACCGGTGGGCTTCACCAGATGAGCGCCCCGCGGTCTGCCAAGAGCGATTCCGCGCCGTGTTCAAATCCTGGCCGGACCGACACTCACTACACTCAGGGTCTTTAAATAACTGACGAAAATGAGCTGCTTTTGAAATGACATCTGCAAACAGTTTAGCCTGTTCCAGGCTCTTAGATAGTCGGGGCCGCTGAATTGAAAAAGCATGAACACGAAAATAAAACGGGAGAGAACTGGGGAGAGCAGGGGCTTCCTTTTCCCTTTTCCCACCCCGCCAACTTTTCGTGTGCCTTTTACTTTCGCTTCTTCCCCACTATCTGAGAGCCTGGAACAGACTACAAACAGTTAGAAGTCTTTCGGTCACAACCCCAGTCCCAACCCTTGCTCATGTAAGAACTCTGTAAGAATTCCTCTGCTGTGGGATGTTGAACAACCCGTCTATAAAGACTGTAGGGGACGTAATCCCCTTTGTATAGTTAATGTCAAAGTCATGAGACTTACTGCGAAAGAAACCTCAATCGCTAGCTGAGAAGTATTAGACGAAATATATCGCATCGCTATTCAAGGAATTTTTTGAAGGCATTATTATAAAAGTTAGTGCTGCTAGTCTTAAGGTAACAGACTTGTTGTTTGGCTTCACTTTATGTAAAAAATTAAAAAAAAAAAACAGAGAGAAAAATTGTCTTCGCTCGTTGGCGATTATCGATTATTAAACTTAGCGAGCTTTTCTGATCTGCAATACAACAAGCAGACAACAGAACTGCAAAGTGTGTTTGTAATATTGTTTTTCATTTTGTTTATAGGTCAGTTGAGCATGCAGGGCAAGATTTCCATGTAACCCATACATTCATTAATTATCCATACATCTATTCAGAGAAAACAAAATTCAGAACAATACTAAGCCTTTTGGGATTTCAGCTATTATTTTAAAACTTTTCATTTTTTTTCTAAGTTTTTCTTGAAACGTCCCAAATTTGGCGCTTTCGGCACTGAGATAAGAACTTTTGGAACAAATTTCGAACTAAACCTAACTTTAAAAAGTAGATGGAGTCACCAGACTGGCTACCAGGAACAACAGAACCTTGTTCAAGGTATTACAACTTGACACAACTGCAGTGAGAATTGACCATCTACAAAATATGTGTTATGGGAATCAGTAAAATGAGATGGACAAGAAGCTTAGAAAGCAGGGTGAAGAAAACTGCACAAACAACACCAAAAAATTTACCCCAACTCAGTTTAACAACAAAGAAAAAGTAGATTTAAAAAGTAGATTTGCTGCTAGAAAAGTAGCAACAACGCTTTGTTCCCAGCGATTTTTTTGTCTGGGAACAAAAGATTAATTTATTTGCTGTAAAAACTGAAGTCTCGCATGCAACGGCATGGCTCAAACAGAATTTTTTGGAAAAAAGTCAAGGTCTTTTTAAGGACTAAAATTATTTTTTCAAGGATTTCTTTTCCCCAATAACATGAAGCAAAGACCTTTAAAATGAGTGGGTGGAGGGGGGTTCGCATATCTCAATACCTTCCTTTAGTAGGGCACGGTTCCTAGGATACTTGAAATAACGGAAAATGAACTATGCCGGGAACACAGAAATCAGAAGAAAGCACTTTAATCATCAGCAACAAAATTTGTGTATTGCTGTTCTTTCTATCATTCCTTTGCGCAAAACATTTTCTTTTTACCGAAGGTTATTTTTAATCAAGGAGCTTTCAAAAATTTATTCCAGGACCTTTCAAGGATATCCCAGGACTTTTCAACGACAGGATGCTTTTTCAAGCACTTTTCAAGGCCAGTGCGAACCATGTAATGTGATGCATTTGTCCACTTAACAATAATTTCGTCCATTTGCACTACTCGTACGATTCGACAACTTTTTGAAGAGGACCCTAGAGTGAACTAATGAGATGCATGGACATGATAACTTGTCCATGCTTGTTTTGTAAAAAGACTTTTTCCCCTCGTATAAGAGGGGAGGGGAGGGGAGCGATAGTATGGTACATGACTGGAAAGTCCTGAGGGGAGTGGACTTACAGTGCGACCGGGAAAACCGTAAACACTTGAAATATCTCAGGAGTGTTAAATGTGTTATGACCAATCACAGCAAATATCAGGACACGTGAACTGGCCACAAAACCACAAACTAATTAACGTTCTTGCTTGCAGTTTAGTTTTCTCACGCCTGATTGGCTGTTCTCTTGCAAGGCAATAACATATTATCATTAATACTTCTGGTGCTCACGGTTTTCCCAGTTTGACTGTAACAAGATTTACAATTATCTTGTAGCTTACTAATTAGATATACCTATTTGACCATACTTGGCAATAATAACAACTTGCCTTCATGCCAAAATGGTACAACTATTGGAGTGACCTGGGCCTCTGCTATGAGCCTGCCAACACCTAACAAAAAAATTGAAAATCCTAATTATATACCGAGTGCAAATCAAGACCTTTAAACCAACTGACCATCACTAATTTCCTCTTGAGCACCCTGTAGTAATTGGTCTGTAATGTTGGGGTGACTCTAACATGGGTAAAGCACTTACCAGTAAAGAAAATTATATGAGTAAATCTGGGGATTAGAATGGCTTGAAGCGTTTTTCCAATTAATTGTCCAGTTCTACAGGAAAGTCAAGTACGCACGGAAAACTGACCATGAAAAGGGTGAATAAGCAGAGTACGTTGGAGAGAAATCATTCACAAGTTTTGTTCCTGAAATGCATATAGGGAGCTAGCCTGTGACGCAGATGTTCTGGCAGGGGCACCAACATTCCAGCCAACATAAAACCTCAAAATTACTACTAAACATTTACAATGACAAGCACATCTACACTGACACACAAGGATTTATGGATTTAAAAGATCAGAGTCAAAGTCTACAGGGAGGGAAGTTCAGATCTTGAGAAGAGCATGGAATCACCAGACTGGCTACCAGGAATGATAGAACCTTGTTCAAGGTTCCCCACAACTTGGTACAACTGCAGTGAGAATTGAACTTGTAACAGCACTACAAAATATGTGTTACGGGAATCACCATTAAGATGAGATGGACAGGACGCTCAGAAAGCAGGTGGGTGAAGAAAATTGTACAAACAACACCAAAAATTTACCCCCAACTCAGTTTAATAACAAAGAAAGTGTCAACCTCAGTAATTTCTAGAAAATAGGGACTCTAGGATAGGGAGAGACTTTGGAAGTTTAGTCTACCAAAGAGTAGCAAAATTCAGCTAAACTAAGTCTGATATAGGCTAAGGGTTCCTGGGTCCCAACGGCACATTCCTACCCAAACATTTCTAAGTAACCAATTCCCCGGCCCCCTCCAGGGAAATTTCCATATGAGCATAATTGTGCAGGTTTACACACCAATCGATGACGACAAGGACAATTCTGAGCAATTCAATGGGCAACTACCACAAGATGTCATTAATGTGATATACTGAGCCAAGATATCACAAAATCATAGTACGGAGATTTCAACAAAAAGAAAGAAGGGAGCCATAGTGGATTGGAAAGCATTACTGGACCATTTGATTCCCAGATATTCAATAAAGACCCAGTTAAGGAGAGCATCCATCTGAGATGAGAAATGGACACAAGACAAGATTGGGTCAAGTGGAGAAGACCTGCTGCCCAATGCGCACAGCAGTGTGGCAGGCCGGGAATTAAGTCAAAGCATAAACTAAGATCAACTTACCCCATTTCAGTCTCTTGATGGCATCATTCATATTGATGGCACCTAACAAAGAGAATTTTACCACCAACATAAGTGCTATCAGTGAAATAACTACAACAAAATGACAAATAGTGCAAATTAAATAGTTGATCATTTAATTGATTAACTGCTAATTAACTTGCATTTCTTTAACTAAAATATCCAGAGCAACAAAGCTTGAGTAATATACAGGGATGGACACTGAATCTGAAGTTGGGTGACATGAATGTAAGACAAAGAATAGACACTACTTTTTATAAATAAATTCAATGTTTCTGACTTCATACTTTTTTTTTCCAAGGGTAAAATTGCATGGGCAAAATTAGGGGTGGGTCCTTTGAAATTTTGTATTATTTTACAATTATAGAATTCCATCTCTGTCAGAAAAAGAAAAGTATCTAGAATAGAGCTGTTTTCCCTTTTGAAAGTTCTGAATCCACCCCTGAATTATATAGAGATTGTCTGAAGGGAAACAAAAAGTACGTCGAGTTTAAGTGGGAAGATTGAGTTACCGACCGGGGAGGGTAAAATGTAACAACTGTACCCTTAACCTAGTCTTAAATGTTATTGTATCCAGAGGACAAAGCCATTATGGCTTAAGAAAAACAACCACAATATTTAGCAATAATATTGACTGTGGCTTTGTGGTATGCTTGTGTCCAGATCAACAGTATGAGTGTTTGTTGAATTTATATGATTATTAAAAAGAACCAGTTTTACTACATCGATTAGTAATTCACTTGTTTGTTGGTTTGTTTATTCATTGGTTCATTCAATGATCTCTTTTTCTTCTAATAGTAAATTAATTTTATATTAATTTTACCTTCAGGAAAGATATGAATCCATTCTCCTTGATTAAGACGTTCAAGTGCTACTTCCATTCCTTTCTGATGAACACCATCCCCTGTTCAAAAATCGTACTCAGTCAACATGAACAAATCAATGAATATGGAATGTTCACTTACAGTCAGACCAGGTCAGCAAAGGTCAGCATACTGTACCTCCCAAGATTCCATATCCATTGGTAGTTGTAGATTTTTCATTCTTGCCTGAATAATTCAATTTCCATTCAAAGATTCTCAATTCTTGTATGAATAATAAAATACCGTAAAAAGAAAATCCCCGGGGCTTATATTTTTCAAAAGGAGGGGCTTATTTTTGATGAGGGTGCAATCTAAGGGAAATTTCCATTCAAAGAAGTAAATTTATTCCTTTTTTTCAACTTTTGTATTTACCAAATACAGAGATATTTTCTTGTAAAATATTCACAGTGCTTTTTCATTTGAGGGGCTTATACAGGAGTCCTGAGTTGAATTTGACCCTAGTCATACGGGAACAACTAACTAACTCATTTTTCAAAGTAATAATCAAATCATGAAGAGGTTACGCTTGACCTGGCCTGACTGTAAGTCATCTGTTTCACAGCATAACAATACATTCCTTAAAATTTTATTGTTCTTTAATTAGTAGGACTTCTTTAAACAGTGTAAATGAAAAATTGTTTCATAGTGACTTACCTCTAACAACAGGAATTGCCTGGAAAGAATGTAAAAATGATTTTATTAACTTTTGACTTTCTGCAAAAGCCTGCTGGTTTACACTAAAGGAAGTAAAGTATGCATTGTATTTACGTCATAGCATTAATATCCTAATTTTCAACAAACAATAATAATTACCTGCATTATATTATTTTTAGTAACAAAAAATGGTTTGTTAAAATAATGCGGATTAAAGGTTGGTTTGCCTGCAACATGGCTAAAGGAAACTGGTTGTAAACACGAGAAATAAATAATATTATTATTTGTTTTATGCCCTGGACTAGTAAGAGGGATTACATCACTTACCTTTGCTCTACTGAAAAAAGCACAATGAAATGGTGTTGAAAACAAAAGTTCACGGGCACCGAGAGTCCTGTTAAGAGAAACAAAAGCAGGCAATGTAGATTATTCCAATGAAATAGACCTTTTTACCAATACGGTGGCCATTAAGGAGTATTATAGGATGCCCAGGGGGCATGAGCACATTTCGTTTGTATTTTCAAGCGCTTTTCGGTTGTTATGGGGAAAAAGATCGTTGTACCATGTTTGGATGTAATAATGATCGCCTTTTTCTAGTTTAGTTTTAGAAATATGGTCTTTCACTGTATATTTCTCAGGAAAAAGGCGATCATTATTACATCCAAACATGGCACAAGGATCTTTTTTCCCATTACAATCTTATTCTAAGAAAAGTTTAAGAAAAAATGTCCTGAAAAGCGTTAGAAAATACAAACGAAATGTGCTCATGCCCTCTGGGCATCTTATAATACTCCTTAAATCGAATTAATTCAATATGGTCGCTGATCGGTAAAAAGGTCTATTGGATATTTTGTCTGACAAAAGGCATAATGTGTCAATAGGGTTGCATACATGACCTACGGTAACTTTGTATCAATCACAAAATACATTTATTTCCTCATCAATGATTTATTTCATGTCTGACTAGCCGTTTATTTACATTTTACAATTATTTACCACCACCAGTAAAATAATGTTTGCAGCAAAAATGTCGAGTGACTTGTAATGCTCTAAACCACTGAAAAAGATGAACCATTAAGGTGTCTTCATGCGATATTGCTCCTTTTCTTTTTCTGGTGACCATTTTTTTATGTCTGCCAACCATAAATTTTTATTTATTTCAAGTCGCCAAAAGGTAAAATTGAGACAAGTAGAGGTCGAAGCATTGTTTCAGACATCTCTATACTTAATTGATGTACACTGGTAGTTTGGCCCCTTTTGTTCTTCAGTAATTACTGTTTGATTTTCTATGAGCCAATGCAACCCCTTTGAAACTTTGAGGCACTTACCCAAGTCAGAACTGGCCAGCCAAAATGGCAGTTTTGAAAATAAACTTGGTTTCACTTTGAGGGTTTTCCCTAAAAAACCCACCAATTTCTACTGTTAAGGAATAGCCTGATCCCACTGATTTAGCTGGAGGTCTAGTTCTGAATGAAAGTGGAATTCTCTTTATGACAGAGCTATTCTGGCTGGCCAGTTCTGGTAGTTAACGGAAACCTTGGAGTCAGCCCCAACGTGTGTTAGTGGTTAAGAGGGAGATGTCTTTAATCACATGATTAATATTACAGTGCAGCTTGCAAAGAAAGTCGTGTCCAATAACCTTGGGCCAATGAATTGTGTCCTAATAAATTCCCCGACGGGCAAATGAATTTGTTTAGGAAATTCACATTACTAAAGAACTGTAATCAATCTCGCTGATCAAAAAAATATTTTTCGGCCTACCTTTATATTCTCTTTAATTTTCACGGGTTCTTAAATTCGTGATTTTCGCGATTTTAAAAAATTCGCGAACTTAAAGATCCGCGAAACATAACGACCGCGAACTTTGATCTCGCGAAATTTAATGGACATAGAAAAATCATGTATTTGTGTTTTCAAGGGTCCTAAACAATTTTTAACACAAGGTGTTAGTACAAGGAGCTATCATCTATCAACTTTAAAGGTTAATCAGTGTCAAGATTCGCCTCAAGTTCTTCTTCGGCATCTGAGTAATCATCTTCGCACAGTTCCTCCAATACATCCTTTGTACAGTCGTCAAATTGACCATCCTGTCCCGGCTCCTTGTAGTGTGTAGTTACGAGTGTCTTGTATCTTTCCATTATTGCCCTGTTCTTTGGTGTATCGTCCATTTCACATATCACCTCAACAGGGACAGCATATTGGTTTTGTTTCAATAATTGAAACAAAACCAATATTTGTTGATTATTGTTGATTAACATAAAATTTTTGAAAAAATAAAAAATAAAGTCACTTAATCGTCAATTTAGCGAAATTAAATTCCCTACAAACACAATTTTTCTCCGCTATCGCGAAATTAAAGACTTGCGAAATGTGCTGAGAAAATTTTTGCAAAATTTAAGTCTCACGAAAATAAAGGAGAATAAGGTAGTTAAAATGACTCGGGCAAGTACGTGCTAGCTACAGCTTGCCCAAATGGCAAGCTTAAACCTGACTTTCCTTGCACCCTGCAGTGCTCAACATAAAAAAAAAGGTCTTCACTTATGACAGCACTCACCATCTGACCTTCTTACGTGTATTTAAAACAGTCCGTATTTTCAGTAGTCCTTGAAAATAAATAACAAAATTCTATGCATAAGTGTCCAAATAAAATGGAATGTTGAAGGCTCTGTTTATATGGGTCTGAATAAATTAAAAAAGATTAAAAAGTATTTAGTCATTCAATATTCTGAGCTCCTTGGATGAGAGCCTTTGTCCGTAAAAGTATGGACATTTAATGTCACATTTTTTTTCTTCTATATACGCATCCATGATGATAGGAGAACTTTTTCTAGAGTTTCTTGTGCATGAGTTCATTATTAACAGGGGCAAGCAGGGTTGTCATTAAGAACCGGGGGCCGGGGATTTTCCCCGGCTACTAAGAGAGTGGCCCCTGGCTACTTTTATTGGAAAATAGAAGAAAAATAGAACCAAAAGAAATCCCCAGCCATTTGATTCCCCGCCTACTTGTTGTATTTACCCGGCAACTTGAAATCTTAGTGACAACCCTGGGCAAGCGTCAGAGTCGCAGTCTTATCAGAAGCTCAGGGAGTTATGATCTGAGTAAACATTGTTCGTTACTAATTTGCTTTCATTTCTGGCCCTCACAGTATAGTTAAAACTAGATTGATGCAATGCATTGTGATTGGTTTAATTCTTCCACTTTTGCTGAGCACTACAACAATCACGTAGTCTCAAGCAGAAGAAGATGATCTGAACTAATCACAAGGCATGGAAATGAGACAGTACTAAGCGTATTCTTCTCCCTCTGCTTCCAAAGCCAACATTTTATTCCTCACCACGACAGATCATATGCAACAGAGTCAAAAGTGGGTTGGAAGAAAATGGAAACATTCTTATTGTAGCCAATTTTAAACCATCGAGCTTGCGACTCTACTTATCATTCTGATTCTTGATTTTGATTCAGTCATAAGTGCTCTTTACAAGTCCAATTACAACTCTGATACCATCTGGAACCAGCCTTTAGCCATAAAAACTTAAATGTTGTAGTAAAAGAAACAACCAAACACAACTTCCGTTACCTGTATCTAACTCGCTTCGATGGAAAATTGTTGTTTGTTCATGATATGGACACAGAAGACTTGTGTTTGACATTAATTCCAGCTAAAATTTACACTCATGTTTATAATTTATTGATCAAAGGTGCTCTGCATGCTGCAAATGTAATTCCATCAGCAGAACAATACATTCCATGTTGAACAAATCACATGGAGTACATTTTCACCACTTGTCTCTTTTTTCTGTTTAGTCACTTCCTTCGCTAGGCAGTTTCCACAATGGTCGTGTTCAATTATACCGTATTCTACAATAAACAAGGGCAGTTGGTGTTGTGAATAAAGGGCAGGTGTACCCTATGGTTAATCTTAATTTTATTACGTGAGACACCACTTGATCTGAAACACTTATAGTAACAAACATTCTCTTACCCCATAAGCACGGATCATCAAGACAAGATGTATGATTGCAAACTGTCACCAAAGGCACTCCATCAGGTCTTTCCTCCGCATTTTTCTCCAAGATGTCATAATTGTACTTTCTCACTGAGTTAAACCACTCTAAAAGAGATGCAAAAGCCTTAATCAAGCATAAAAGTGTGAAACAAAGTTTTTCTGCTCAAGACTAATAAATTATGATTTTCCTTTCAAATCACGAAACTCCAAATAAACAATTTATTACATTTTCAGATGACGTTCTTTTGATTAAAAAACTAGCAGTAATAATTCATTATTAAATCCCTTTGTACATGGCTCTAAGGCGCTTAACAAGAAATATTGGGGGTCATGTAGCAGCTGCTCGGAAGAGAAGTCACCAGTGGTGCCTAACCCTGACCCCAAACAATACTGAAACAATTGAAAGAATAACATGTCATTGTTTTCTGCGACCAATCAGGAGAGACCTTACAACTGGGTCCAACACAATTGAATATTGGAACTGTCAAAAATAATAATGATAAAAAAAAGAAATAAAAGAAATTTAAAATCTGATAAAGATCAAATATCCTAAAAGCTAGAAACAAGGAATATTAACAACAAAAAAGTGCAATAATGTTATGGTCCACAGAAAATTAAGAATAAGCAACAAAATAAATAGGTTTTCAGTTTAGATTTAAGCAGCAGATCTAATTTTAAATGGAACAGAATTCCAAATGGGGGTTTTGTATGAACGCCCGGCCCCACCGTGGGGCATTTGCAGCTTTTCCAAAACAAAATGACAAATGCCTGACAAATTCCCGGGGGGGGATGGGCACGCTTGGAATTGACTGAGCCATAAACACCACGACGTTGATTATTCCGGATATTTGACCCCACCTCGAGTCTACGGTCCGACCGATGCTTCCATTTGTCTAAAGATGCCATAAAAACTATCATGAAACAGCAGTGCGAGAAACAGAAAAAAATTAAGCTTATTGAGTCGTCCTTGATAAGAATAATGATTCAACTAGGAAACCCAAGCTTTATCTTAAGCCCAAAACAGGCCAAATGGGCGACGAAGATCATTTGCGTGTAAAAGCAACATCTTACCCAGGAATATTTTACTGGAAAACCCAACTAAGCCAAGAATAAAAGCACTCTGAAATCTCCAAGAAACCTTTCCAAGAGCAGACGATTTTAACGGCCATTCCATCGGCTCCATGTTGAATCCACCAGAAAACCTCTTACACGACGTAGTTACCTATGCATAGCAAAGGCCATTGAGAATAATTTTTGCGGGCTCGGTTCCAAGAAAACCAAGAGGAGAAACAATGTCCACGAAGATTTGGTAGGATTTCTGTGAGTATTTTTAGGCTATATGGCGTTTAGTGTTATTTTTAGGCTAAATATGGCGTTTAGTGTTAGCTTGTTTTAATTTTCTAAACTTGTTAGTGATGAACTAATGGACAAATAATGCGATGAGTACTGAAACAATGAACTAAAATGGTCCAAAAATTAAAATATAACAAAATAAAGCTAAGAACCTTTAACTGCAGTCTTTTTTAGTGGCATTTTGTTGAGTAATAATACGCGACGTGAATATTCAAGCTTAGCGACCGCGTTCGCGCAACAATGCAGCACTTGCTATGGGAGGGATGGTACTATTGCTTCTAGGTCAATCAATCGGGAAAATAATATTGAAGCCCTTATAATTTTTAAAAAGATCCAATTTGCCCTGGGAGCACCGAACAGATACGAATCTTATAGCGGAGCTAAAAAAAAATGAGCAGCAGTGGAAAAAGTGAACAAGAACATGTACCACATTTTCTCCATAAAAAGTGAAAACCAGGACGTTTTCTGGAAGTTTCACGTTGCAGTCATGCAAATCAACGGCAAGGAAATGTACAAGAAAGTGTGCTGCAATTAGACCTATTGTTGTTTTTCACAGTTCTGGTCAAGGGCATCCAACTTTTAATTTTTCACATTTCACTCACCGGGTTAGGCTATTTTTCAGAGAGAGTAAAATGGAATCCTAAAATTTTATGGATTCAAAAATGTGATGAAAGAAGGTATCTGAAAAATTATCTCCTTCGTAATACGTTAAATTGCATCTAAAATTTTCGGGAAAATAATTCTGAATTCCTCGTAATTTGGAAAAGACTCAAGTTCCTCTAGAATGGCTGAACACTGAGATGCAAGTTTTATAGCGCCACTTAGAATGCATTTCTATAGAGCTAAAAGTACTTTATGAATAGCTACAAAAGTGTTTTCAATTGAAAGTATTTGAGGAAACAGTCGTTGGGTGGCCCTGTCTCGTTGCCTTCTCCGCTTAGCATTACACGATATATTTTATATCTAGTATGAGCAAACTATAAATCATTAGCTTCGCTTTTAGCCCTCCTGACTAAATTTATGTAAGCGCTGTTTAGAATGCATTATTCGGTCAAAAGTACTCTGGACAGCCTTACATATGTTTTCAATGCATTTAGGGGGAAATCATCGTTGGGTGCCCCTGAGTTTTGAGAATAATAATAATAATAATAATAAAAGATATCGCGCCCATAAATTTTACTTTTACGATATCTGTGGATCGACAGTCAGTTTAAAACTATGAGGTGAGGCTAAATTTGCGGCGCGGGTGGGAGGGCGCTGGAACTCTTAAATTTCCTATTGTGGTGTGCCACCTATCATATTGGATTTCTTTGCAACCTACATCTTATAGGAGACAAATTTCCCCCATTTTGAAGCTTTTCAACTGAGGCTCCGGGGTCCACGGAGCTCTTGGAAGCGGGTATTTTCTTTTGTACGTTTCTGGTTCTTACGGCTCAAGGTTATCTTCTCCCTGATCAGTTTCCATATTCTCAATACCATAATCCATATACTTCCTATGGTACTGACGAGGAGAATTTATTTCACAATCACTGATTAACACCAGGCTCCAGCTCATATCAGTCCTTCTGTTTAATGTGGGTGAGGCAATCATGCAGTAATTTTTAGGGAGTGACTCCAAAAATGGAGTAAAAATTTTAGCAGGGTTTGCAAATTTTATTGATGAGTGGAGTCAGTGTGACTTCTGCTTCACAAATTTCGGAGTCATTTTGGAATATTTGGAGTCACTTTTACTCCTGAAAAAGAAAATAACTCAGAAAATGGGGTTATTTTACTCCTTATGTGGCCGTTTTTACTCTTTTTGGAGTTACTTTAACTTTGAAAGTTGAGAAAAATTTTAATTAGGTACAGGTTAACTCCTTTTGGGGGGTTATTTTAAGTCCTCAAAATTAACTTCAAATCTGGGGTGATTTTTACTCCTGAAAAAGAGTTCTTTAAACTCCTTTTTTGAGTTAAAATAACTCCCAAAAAATAACTCCACTGCAAGGAGTTAAATTAACCCTTCTAGTGGAGTTTTTATAACTCCTTGAAAATTACCGTGCACTAACTTCCAAAACTGACTCTTACTCGATCTTCAAGCCTTCGCTCAGACACATGTGCATTTCTTCTTCCAGGTCTTCATCATCTGTCTTCTTTTCTGTGGGATGCTCTTCATGTAACACTCCATCAGAGTGTAACATCTTCATCATCGTCATTATTATCATAATTATCATCATCATTGTTTGACAATGCTCTAAAAATAACAGCTTTCAAAAAATGATTATATTATCCTGGTACTGATAGTTTACTTGGCAAATTTATGTTTTCGTTTAATCCCTTTGCTATTTTCTTCAGGTTAGTTTTCCCTGTGCAAAGGCAGCAAAGAGATGCAGTCCAATTTACAGAATGTTTATTGGCATCATGAGCTCATCAGCAGGACACCGGATGAAAATGAATTTGTGAGAGATAACCGCGACAATAGAAATAATGATCTTCATAACGCAGTTCTCCTGTCTGATGTCCATGCATGCTTGCGGGAATCACAGAGTTCAAACATCCATGATGTAAATGTAAAAGGTGAAACACCCCTGCACCTTGCAGCCATAAACACATCTCAGGAAGGTTCCAGAGTCATTGATATATTGATCGAAAAAGGAGGAGATGTCAACAAACAAAACAAGTGGGGCCAAACCCCTCTTCATTATGCCGCTATAACAGATAGTTTCCAAAACCTAGAAAAGCTCTTAGGCCTGCCGAACGTTGACGTCAATATTGCAGATTTGAATGGATACAATGCTCTCCATTGTTTAATCTCCTTGGGTAAAGAACCGCGCCTGGATGATTTTGAGGACTTTGACGTCGCTGAATTTGAAGAAGTAAGGTCTGACTTGATAAAAGCGATTCACCTTCTTGTAGACGCAGGTGTAAGGATCAATTGCCAGACCAACTTTGGGCACAGTGTTCTTCACTTGGCTTCCACGCGAAAAGACAACACTCCTTTGCTGAGATACATTATTTGCAGCTTTCCTGAAGTAGAGCTAAGGGCAAAAAACCAAATGGGTGAGAACTTTTTGCATGTTTACGCAGCGTCAGAAATTTTTGAAGAAATTTCGGACACGTTGGATAAGATTGCCGCTATAAGTTTACCTGTTCTAAAGGATCTGTTGTCCGAAAGGAACGTTTTTGGCAGGACTCCGTGGAGTAATATGATAGATGATGCGAACATTTCGGAAGAAGCTTTGCAGAAAATTTTATCATACGGAGTGTCCGCAACAACAGCCGATAATCTCGGGAATACAGTATTACACAGGATTGCAGGTGTGTCGACGGGTTTGATGTATTCTAGAATAATGGATTTGCTCATAAAAGGCGGAGCTGATATCGATGCTGAAAACGTTTATAGAGAATCTCCTGCATTTGTTCTGTTTCTTGAAAAAGTTTTTGACGTTTTTGCAAAATACAAGATGGATTTTAACCGGAAGGAAAGATGGGGCCGCAGTCCGCTTGTCTCTGTTATGAAGCATAGACCGATTCCAAGTCTTCTTAGAAAACTGATAGAAGAAGGCGGTGTAGACGCAAATACGAAAGATATGTATGGCGCGACTCCCCTTCATTTTGCCGCTTATCACAACTTTCCGGAGCAAGTGGAATTGCTGTTGAAATATGGCGCTGACAGAGATGCAGTGGATGACTTGCAAGACAGACCGCTGGATACTGTCCGACGCCACTGTAGCTTTCTATGTCATAACATCCTAGAGGAAGATGACATGGGTACATCGGAGATCCCAAGGAATAGGGCATTCGAAGAGATTCTTTTGAACATGCCAAGGATGCTTCCTTCTTCCAGCATTACGTCTGCACAAGGTGTACAAACAGTGCTTGGCTTACAGGGTCACATGGATGGATTTTCCCAGCACCTCATGACAAGGTACTACTTCAGACCGATGAAGATTGCCACCGAGGTAGAAGAAGTGGTGTCAGAAGTCAACACCCTTGTCGCATCATTGTGCGGTAAAATAGCCACATATGATTCCAGGTTTGAGATGTCAGTTTTTCCTTCCGGAAGCTCTGCTGAAGGAACCAAAGTGGGACGTCCAGATGAATTCGACTTCGTTCTATGCCTTGACAAGTTCAACGACAAGACTGCAGTTGTGATGACGGAAGAATGTCTAGAAACTGGTTATGCGTGTCTTCGATTTACAGAAACTCCAGTTTCTAGGGAATATCTGCCGTTTTGCGACGCAGATGGTTATTTCCTGGCACTACCAATTCTGCAACATTTTTGCAGGTACCTAAGACGGGCTTTGAACGAAACAGAGTTGTGGACATCTGGAAATTTGTACTACAATTTCGAGGACAAGATGGAGGTACTTCACGGTAAGCCGGTGTTTAACTTTTGTGTGTATTGGATGGGGTCAGTATACAAACAACTGAAGATGAGCATTGACTTAGTCCCGGCGGTTTACAAGCGCGGATGGTGGCCACCTAACATCAATACAAACGAAATCCTTCTAATGAATGAAAATGTTATTGATGCCGGCTGTTTCCTGATGCTTCAGACGAAGGTTCAAGACTTTGACAAGAAGAGGCATCTTCTGAACGACAGCATAAGTCACACGTGCAACATTCTCGAGGGCGACGAAAACTTTGTCAAAAGGAGAATGCTGCGAATCTCAGCCACACCTGCAGAGATGGCTCTGATGAAAACCTTGCCAGAAAAGTTTCGACATGCTTATGCCCTTGCAAAAATAGTGAAAACCAAAGAGGTGTGTCCAGAGATTGAAATCGATAAGCTCCCAACAAATCGTTATTATATGCTGAAGAAATTCAATGAGAGGAAACCATTACCGGTGAAACCACCTTCAGTGATCAAGAGCTACATGTTAAAAAACTGTACATTTTACCTTTTTCAAGAAATGCGCCGTCGTTCGGAGCAGAGCTATGCACAATTGAACATCGCTGAACTTGCCGCAAAGTTGTACGAGCAGCTGTTGGTATTTGCCGATGAACATTCTTTGAAGCCATACTTTCTCCCTTTCTCCGACGTATTTGAGTTTGAAAAGGACGAACCAAAAACTGCTTACACGGATTTCCTACTAAAGCTCCAACGCGAGTTAAGCTTGAAGTTAGCACTCGGTATTTTAAACCATCCCTTTCCTGAAAAGTGCGTGGCATCTAAAATTGAAGGAATGCCTTTTGTGTGGTAGCAGTCACAGCTTCTTTACTTTACAACGCAAAAGACCCGTTAAAAACCCCAACTGGCGAGAGGCAACCAGTTACTAAACTAGAAGCGGAGCTGAGGACTTGAACTCGGAACTGCTGAGAAACTACTTCAGCTAGTGGTCAGAACATAGCCTGAAACAGAGCAGGCTCTCCATTTCTGGTGAGCAAAGCAAGTCGCTCTCGCAACCCCTTTCGCACGCCACTCATGCGTTTCTTCTCGCGACTTCCGTAAATGGAGAGAAAACAGACGACATTTCGCCTCGCCACCAACGGTTTCCCCGCAAAATGACGTCTGACAAACGAGCGCAGAAATTCCATACTGATGACGCATCACTAGCTAGATCTGGGTAGTGCTTCTGATTGGTCGTGCCGCGTGGGAAACGTGCTTCAGCCAATCAAAATCACTACCCAGTTTTGGGTAGTGACGCGTCATCAGATGTCATTTCTCGGGGAAACCGTTGGTGGCGTCGCGAATGTCATCTGTTTTCTCAGGCTAAGGACTCTGATAACCCACAAGAGTTCAGACAATGTCGTCAAATGGGTAATTCATAGAAAAAACAATCGGCACCCCTCCTCCCCCCCCCTCCATTCAAAGTTGGGGTATTGGTTGTTTCCTACCGTATTGAGCTCGAATACCAGCACAAAATTGCATGGAGGGGGTAGGGGAGGAAAAGCTACATTTTTCTCGTTTGAAGTCGGCGAAATGTCAGAGGCCCTTGAGGGAGAATTGTCGCAACTAATTTTGTCACTGATTGCAGCATTGCCAGATATCAACTGGAACTCTAAATACTGATCTTTTTTCTTGTTTTCAGCATCATTATTTTACGATAAAGAATTACTTTCTCTTTTCATTCTAGCGATTAAATCAATGGGAGAAACAGTTTCCTAAAACAAATTTATTTCAAACTCTGATGTCTATTATATATTATTCTAAACTCGTGTTGATTTAGCTCCTTGAATATAGTATAGTTCATTAATTTTGTTGTTGTTGTTGTTGTTGTTGAAGTGTCCTGTATTTATTGTGTCATAACTGATAGCTAGACTTTATTATCAAATGCAGAAACTATGAACAAAAAATTCCAGGAATGTTGATTGAGTAATAACCAATCACATCAAAGAATGAACAAACCACAAACTAGTGAATTATCATTGCTACAGGCAGTTTAGTTTTCAGAGGTTTGTGAGAAACTATTAATAAAAACAACTATTGCCTGGCAACAACTTAACATCCCAGGAATATTTCTTGTGTTCATGCATGGTTTCCTTAAGTAGTTCTGTTAGTAAAATGCGTCTAGACATTAATATTAGTCCACTTTCTATTTGTCAGAACTGACAGGCCAGACCATTCCCATCACAATGATAACTTCCCTGTTAATCAAAACTCTCTAGCCAGATCAGTCAAATCCTAAATAGTTTGCATGAAGGATGACGTTTTTCAGCAAAAACTCTTGGAAAAAGCCTATGTCATTTTCAAACTGACTGGTCGGTCAATGGTCCAGCCGGCCAGTTCTGACAAAGGGAGTTCTTTGAGTACAATGGTATTCACAGCAATTAAATATGATTCAATCTTTTGTCTATGATAAAGGTTGATGATTATAAACTTTAACTTATAGTTACCCTCAACTACAAGACAGTAAGATTGATGAAATTAGATTTGAAAATAACTATTACGCAAAAATTAAGCTAACATTTCCCTCTTGGTCCCCTTCTTTATCACAGCCCTAACAGTTGAAATACATGTACAGCTGCAGTTTCTAAAAGTTTGAATCTGTGACTAAGTAGAGATTCAATCATTTCATTATCCTTACTCTTAGCAGTTTGCATCATGTTACCTACAGAAGTTTGGGATATACAACCCCGAGAATGTAATAGATTGAAAGAGCATAAAAACTAGTTGTGTGTCTGGCAATTTTTAGGTATTGAATTTGTAACAATACAATTTTATGGTGGTTTGAGTAATGGCAAAAAACTGTGTAGAAATGGAATGTAACAAAATCCAGGTTGACATGAAGCAACACCCAAACTGCATTTTTAAAGAATACCATGGTATTTTCTACTTTGGCCAATTCTAAAAAAAGGGGAATAAAATAACGGAAACAAGGCTTAAGACTGTACTGCAAAAAATTACAACTATTCCTAAACATAGATCAGCGTCATAATTCATCAGATTTGCCTTTCCTGAATCCAAACAAGTCCTTAATCCATAACCAAAGCCTATTTAAGCCATCCATTATCATTTGAAAAAAGCTAACATCCTCTCCTGGCATAAAATGTCCTTCATCTTCCACTACATCTTCTTCACTTTCCTTCTGTTGGGCACCAAGCTGATCCTGCATTTTTTTTATGTCTTCTCGCGAATACATCTCCATACCAGGCATTCCTGGGATTCCTCTGCAACAACAGCATTTTATTTTTAAGTCCTAATCTTAGTTTACAGAGGGACAATAATAATAATTATTGGTTCTCCAGAAGTGCTGGCAACCAGTGAAAGTCTCCTTCAAGTCATAATGAAAGAACCGGCCACTTACAGAAATTTTTTTAAAGGATATAAAATAAACCAAATGTGGGTAAAAAGTGTACCATCCTGGAGTCTTAAATGTTTTCACTGGCCATGCAAAATCTTAAATGTTTATGTCATTAGAATAATATCTTTTGAATTCATTATTGTATTGATCTCTGTAATATCATAATATTATTGTTCAGTATATCTTTATGTCATGAGAATAAAATAATATTGTATATTGTATTTGTAATTTATTTATTGTGAATGTAAACAAATAAAGCTTGAATATCTCAAACAAAATGAAATTCACTTTTCAGGGCCCCCAAAATAAACATTTTCCCCAGGGAGGCCCCCTGATCCCACTGGTAGAGAGGGGGACGTGGGTTATCTTTCTTTCCACACCTGCCCCCAACTTGCAAGCACCTTTCCACCCGTCTCTACTGTCATATTTTTATACAAGACATAGATTACATGTACTTCATGGACAATTATGCACTGATTTTGATGTTCCTTTTGTCTGGAAAGTGGGTGATCAAGAAGCAAGGTGAACTTTATCTACTAAATAAATAAAATGTAAATCCTTTCTTTCACTTGCTCAATTTTGGCATACTCAAGAAAGACTCTGCTTGAATGGAGTAGGATCTTTGTTGAGTATGTCCTGCATGTTGCTAAGGATACAGTTTCAACACCCAGACCTAATGGCTTTGTGCTTGGTACAGTGAACTCAATAGACCTTTTTTAGCCAATATTGAATGTTTAGTTTTCCCATTTCAGACCAGGTGATGGTACCCTGGAGAGCTGTTTCTTTCAAATGTCATCTTATGCACATGCATCCATGTACATATGTATACACAATTAAAATAAAAAGACAAAATGCAATTCCCTGAAGATAACATACAAGCTAACAAGGTCTATTAAAATATGTCCAGTGGTTTAGCAGTAAACAGATGCCCCCACTCAAAACCAGTTTGATGAGAGAAAATAAGAATAATTAGTCGAGAAATATGATGCCTTCCAAGGGGGTAAAAGTGACAGGTGACATGGCTCAAAAACTGGCGACAAACTTCTCAGAAAGCACCGACAATCAACAGAAAAGGAGGAGAGAATTGTGACAGCAATAATCCTTTTTTTAATTAGGGAAAGCGACATCTGATGTCTTTATATTTTTGGTGTTTTAGTTCCAAAATAATGATCGCTCTTCTGTTGTTTCCGAACACTTTCTGTTACTTTCTTTGAAATGTTTTCTAATGATGGTATTATTGAAGAACGGTCCCTCCACGGACAAAGATTAATAACAATTTATTTATTAACTCTTTCCGCCAGGTGCTATATCTGCCATAAATTCCAAAATTGAGTATCAGCAAAATTTTCTTCCTAGACAGTGACATATTTCCTAACCTAAAATAAGACAGCAAGACCTTTCCTGACATGCAAGGCAACAGGCAGTCTCAGAAATGACAGAAAAAGTGGCAGCATACATCCTAATTGGAAGGCCTTAAATATGAGCTGTGGCAACTTTGAAGGATTGACCCAATTCAGTCAGAGCCTTCTTTTCTCCTCCTCCATCAAGAAGAAGACAAAAGGAGGTACTCAGCTTTCAGGGTGGGTACTAACACATTATATGCATAAGAAATGATGTAAGGTCGACTCTCTCTTAACGGACACCTCTATAAGACGGACACCTCTGTGAAACGGACACCTAGAGTTGGTCCCTGCCTTTCTTAGCTCCCTCTATTTAACTTTCTATAAGATGGACATCTCTCTAAGACGCACAGCTAGTGCCGGTCCTAAAGGTGTACGTCCGTCTTAGAGAGAGTTGACTGTATCAACATGTCACAAGCATGGGACAAAGAAAAAATCTGAGTCCCCAAAACGAATTGAACCTATGACCTTCCACAGACCGGTCGAATACTCTAACCATTGAGCTACGAAGGACTCATGGCGAGCTGGGTCATATGCATTACAAGGTTCACGTATGACATGCATCCTACATACTGCAAGGATCAGCAATGTCGGAAGAAAGATGGTAAATTTTAAGCTCTGTGCAGAAAGTCATAGGTTCAATTTGGGGACTCAGATTTTTTCTTTGTCCCATGCTCGTGACATGTTGATCACATCATTCCCTATTTCTTCACCAAAGTTAAAAAATTACCATCTTTCTTTATTTGTCATACATATATGTACTCACAATTGGAAACTAGGTGAGTCTGAGGAGAGAAAAACCAAACAAAAACAACAGAACTTCTGCATTACCTCATTTGTTTTAAGATATCTTCCGCTTTCTTCTCATCTTCAGTCAAAACTTGAAAACTTTCGTCAACCTTTCTGTCTCCAGCCTTGAGCTTTGATGACTTTCCTTTGCATGCACTTGACATTGAATAACAAACTTCATTGATCAGTTTTGACAATGACAACTTATCTTTCCATAAGAGCTCTGCAAGATCTGTATCCACTTCTGCTACAGACTCCTCACACGCTTTTGAAATTGTCTGGCACTCTCTTTTACATTTCCCAACATTCTCTTGCTCCAAAAGGCGTAACTCTCCATTCTTTTCTTTCAGATCTATTTTGGATATCCAGCTCCCTTCATCTTTTTCTGGATTGCAGGACTTTTCCACCATATCAATAACTTTATCCTCCTCAAGCTGCAGAGCCAAAAGGAAAAGTCACTTCATTTTTCCCATTTTGAAAATATTACTTTAATCGGAAAGGACCCTGCCTCCAGCTATGTTGCAACTGACTCCATTTGAGATATTTGTAAACATGGACAAAGACAGACAAAACACATAGGAAATATTGCATTCAATATTATCACCTTGTCTGGTCAGGGGAGTGATTTTACTGACTTACTGATCTGGCCCTAGTTGTTCAAAAGATGGAAAGTGCTATCCACCAGGCCCTGGTTGTTGAAACATTGGATAGCGCTACCCTCCAAATAAATCTCTATCCCACGGATAGCGTAATAATTGATTTCCGTAATACTTATCCCCTGGAGAGTGCTTTATCCAGTGGATAGTGCCGTCCAATGTTTGAACAACTGGGGCCCAATAAATCACTATCCAGTGGATATAAAGTGAAAAGGAAACCAATAACATGGTGGATAGTGCTATCAGGAAACTGGGGACATGAGCCAAAACTACTTGAATGCTCAAATGGGTGAATTTTTTTTTTTTGCCCTGTGTTAGGCCCAGAAGGAAGAAACCAATGTATAATAACCAAACAACACCATTCCAAAAAATTTCAAATCAACTGAAAATTATGGTTAATATCAGCATTATCACTACCCTGGGTTCCAGAGAGTTATTATTATTTTTGGTTTTTTCTTATCTAATTCATGATAGTTTGCAGCAAAACCGCAATCGACAGCAATTTCGTTTATGCAAAGTTTTCTGAGATTTCAGTTATAAATATTTGACCTTCTTGTCATTTCCACCATCAAGTGTAATTATTCTGCTAGCTTTTCTTTCTTGTTTTCTTTCCTCTTCATTAAGGACCAAACAGCTTCTTTTCAATTAAAGCAAATTGTTGTGTTTTTGAAGTGTTCTGTGTGTGTTTATTTCATTGCGTGATTGCGATTGAGTTTGATCATTGAACTACAGCAGATTCGCTCAGAGTACTGCATGCAGTTGACAGTTAGAACATAAATTATTGAAACATGAATTACAATAAAAATAGTAAAGCAATTCTGTATCATGTAGACATTTCCAGACAATATTTCTTTGTTTGCCTGTTGAAAATCGTGTTTTACTTTTTGCTTGCATTAAAGCAAACGCTTAGTAGTGACGTCACTGGATGGCATTAATGGCCAGTCAATTCAGAGGTTACTGAAATTCAAGCTAGGGATATACCATGAAGGACTTCAAATGCTGACCCGGGCATTTAAGAAGGAAGGTCAATATAGCTTCTTGTTTCAACTTAAGACTCCATGTGGAGAAGGAAAAAAAAATTCCAGGACAAAGCACCCAGCAGTGGGGGGGGGGGGAGGGGGGGTACTCCCTTATATAAGCTGTAGAGGTATGTGCCGACCCAAAGAGTATGGTTTTTTGCACCATTCTGGTCTGGAATCGGGTATGGTTTTCGAGGAAACTGCGGGAGTGTATGAACATATTAATCGTTTCAATTCCATGGCCAAATGAGTAAGAAAGAAAGAGAAATATGCAAATTTGAATCAGATTTTAAGAAATCTTTTTTTTGTTGGCATCCTAATCTAAGTAATGATAACATAATTTCTTGGGGGCCAGGTCTGAAAAAGGGAATAGATTTTAGAGGCCAGGTCTGAAAATCGGAGTGGAAAATGGGATTTTTCAGGATTTGGAGAACCAGGCAGCACACCCCAACCAAGAATTCCCAGGAACATGCCCCAGGCCAGCACCCCACTCCCAGGGGAGGGGGTACTCTGGATTTCACGTGACAGGGATGATAGAATGGGGCAAAAATCAAAACCCCCAAAAAATCCCTAGACCAAACTTTAACACCAAAAAATCCCATGCCGAATATCCGAGCCATAAAAATTTCCAGAAAGCATTAAATGATATAACACCAAAAAAGGAAACATTAGTTTGAATACCCAAAATAATCCCTGCTTAAATCAAACTACCCCTGAAAAATTTTGCCAATATTTTCCAACCCAAAAACATCCCGAAATCGAAAATTTTAAACCCCGCCAAATCCTTCGATCATCCCTGTCACTTGAAATCCAGAGTACCCTCCCCCCCGGCGACCCTACTACCTGTAGCCTGAGGTTTAATTTAAATAGCCGCCCCAAGCTTACAAGTCAAAATAAGCTTTTTTCTCTGAAAGCATGAAGTCCAAATCCTGAGCTTTACCTAGTCATGAGGTACAAAAATATTGTCTGAAAAATAACCCACATCAAGATTTTTGTATTTGTGTGGGCTTTATACAGACGGCGGAGCAAGACTCAGGACTTCTGCATGAAGGCGTCTTCAAACATAGATCCGTAGCTCAAAATCTCTTATTTTTCGAGTAAGAAAATATTTTCTACGCCATCTATATTTTTCTGCATAGAATATGAAAAAACACCATCAACTACAAAGAAGCGCGTCAGATCTAGCCTTACTAAGCAAAGCTTACCTTTTTCGCTGCAGCACCTCGTCGCATTTCCTGCGTTTTTCCATATAAATATTTTACCGCCTTTTGACATGTTTCACATCTAATATAAGGAAGGTCCTCTTTAATAGCATAGTATTTTTCTTTCTTTGGAAGTTGCCCGATTACTGTAGAAATAAATAACAATAGGCAGAAGTAAAAAACACAAAGTGTTTTTGCCGCCATCTTAGAACGGATTGAATGTGCACTGAGGGGGAACTGGGGAAGAAGACACCACGTGTCAGACTTAAAAGGAGCGGACTTGAATCAGCCAATCAGAGAAGTGAAGAAAACGTACCAAAACGTTCTGGCCGCCATATTGTTTCAGACATTAATTTCAGTGGTTCGGCAGTTTCTGCCTTGTTTGCTTCTCTAAACTGCAACGTAAGTTGAATTTGTGCAATTTTATAAAGGACTGTACGCGTCATTAATTGGCAAAGTAGGAGAAATGTCTAATTTTCTTCTCCAAAATGCAGGAATCAGTGCGTTCTTCGAAGACGACGACGACTTCTTTGGAGAAGACACTGCAATGTGCAGCGAGGTGGACGACGACGACCTTCCCCTTACAAATTACCTTCTTAAATTCGATGTTGGCGAAGAAGAACCATGGGATTCTACAGAGGATTTGAGTGTGGGAGGAGAAAGCGTCGATGAACGAGACATTTTTGGGCTTGGTTGTGAGATGGTACACGATGAGGAGGTGGCTTTTACTTTTGAGAGTGGACACTGGAATGAAGACGCTCCTGATAGAGCAGAATTGGTTGAAAAGGAAGTTTGTCAAGCTAAGAATAAAGACAATCATGGAAAGGAAGAATCGGTTAAAAGTAGTGTTATTGTTGACTTAAATGACCAAAAGCAGACAACCACCTTGGATCCTAAGAACGTTGTCGAAGCTGCGTGTGTAGTTCATTCCAAAGTAAAAGCAACAAATGTTTCCATCACTGAAGACACGTTTGAACCCGGTTCCCCTAACCCAGCGGATTTGGAAACCGATATGTTGGACCATGTTGGGGAAGTTTTTAGTTTGGAGAATAAAGTCTCTCCTGATAAAGCAGAATTGGAAGTAAGTCAAGCTAAGAGGAAAGGCAAAGACTTAAGCATCCAAAAACCGAAAAAAACCTCAGATCCTAAGAACGTTATAAAAACTGCATATACGGTTCATTCCAATGAAAAAGAAACTAATGTTTCATTAGAGAGAAGTAAGAATGGGCCTCTGAAAACAACCATAAAGACTCAAGCAGAGAAAGCGAAAGAACAGCGTCAAAGGAAAAAGAAGTTTGTTCAAGAACTCCAGGATACCATTGAAGAACTAAAGCAAGAAAAGGCTGGCTTACAACAAGTCAATACTCAACTGAATGACAAAATTGGAAGCTTACAAGAAGAAATCAGCTACTTGAAAGGAGTGATCGCAAATCAAAGTGAATTAGCCAAAATTTTGAGGACTGTAGCCAACATTCCAGGGATTTCAATCAACTGCAGTGTTTTAAAGAATGACCAGGGTGAAATGGGTAAAAATAACAAACGGAAATGTGTTCCTGCTGGTAAGAAGGGTGTAAATTTGAGTGATGAAAATACCAAAAAGAGGAGGATGGATATAGAGGTAAATGGTGAGCTGGAGAATAATGCTGGAGTGTGTGTTCATGTTCAAAGTGGTAAAGTATCGCTTGAGTTTTGTCCAGAATGCAGTAAGAAGGCAAAGAGCACACCACTATCCTGAGATGCATCAGAGGTCAATAGGACTCCAGTAATCTTTATTAATAATTTGTAGTAGTTATTTAAGTCTCCTGTTTAGTGGGTGACATAACAATGGAAAGACCAATGGTCACTACCAGCTCAGATCATCACAAAAATGTTAATGTTTTGGTGATGTTTTCCATGGCAAACAAGGGCAGGTGGTAATGTATCATGACAAATGAGGGAGCTGTAACCAATCAAGACATCCAAAACACATCTTACCCAAAGTTTCATTGCCCAGAGTTGTGCAACATGAAATATAGTCTGAGGTGTTTACCATTCTGATATGAATAATAGTAAGAGTGAAAAGCAATGACAGTATAGACCTTAGGGCAACAGCTTCTTCTAATATTGTTTTGCAGCAATGTTACTTTGGGTCAGGTGTCTTTCAGGTGACTTGACCTTCAAGCAAAGTAGTAAGTTGAAGACAGGAAGTGTTGTCACTAGTATTTTAATGATCTAATACCCCCTCTCTGACACTTCCTGCAGTGTACCACTAACAAAGGGAGTAGATCCCTGAGTTTTATTTTGTTTGCAGGTTTTGATCGTTGTTCATGGACTGTCAAAGTTAACATTACTCGGTTAGTATTGTCATAACTGATGGCTAATGTTATTAGTAATCAAACATTTGTTGGAGACCACCTTTTAGAATCTTCTTAAATTTTGCAACACAGTGTTGTTAATTTTTGGCATCAAATCGTTAACTCAGTAAGTTTGTTAATTTTTACAAGATATCTTATTGAATTCTTGTTTTGCATTAATTTGCAATGCATAACATATTTTGTATTTAAAACGGTAATGTTTTACCCATGTGCTCTAGAGATCCTTGCATTGACTTATTAGTCTTTAAAAATAAGGTATTTTTTTAGAAAAATCATATTTTAAGAAACCTAAATAGTTGTTTCTGTACTTCCAGTGTAATTTAGTATGGAGAAAGGAAGGAAAACGTACAATAGTATTGAACGTTGCTGCGTACAATGTACATTTAATGTTGTTAGAAATCAACTTTCTTGCATTTCTAACTTTTCTTAAAACTTTTTTAACTAGTAACTGGATTGAATGCACTGTAATGGATGCTTGCCACTCCTTGCACCCTCTGGAGTCAAGTGTCTTTGGGGTTTAAGTGTAAGTAATGTTCCCTCAAAGGTTTTTGTAAGTATAGAATACAATGAGGGACGCAGGTAATGGTTTGTCAGTAGGCATGTTTTTGTAATCCCAGTATTTTCTTTCGCTCAACCTCGTAACTCAAACTAAAAATGGGTTGAGAAAGACAAGATTGCTTTTCAATGAAATTCACATGGTGGTTGTTTGCCGTCAGCTGTGGCTGCAAACAGTGTGTTTCGCCCAAAAAAGCATCATTTTACAACAACTGAGTGAGCTTCTCAAAAGTTGATTGGTCAAGTGCTATGTTTTGTAAGAGTAAAGAGTAGCAAATGATGTGATGGTATTGTAATTTGTTTTTCTCTTTCTTCATTTGAAATGGACATCAAAAACTGTCAATGTTATTGTCAAAAAACAAGTAAACAAATTGACAACAATTTTTCAGGGTCTGTACTCTTATTGACCATAGACATGACATCAAAATCATCTTTCGGTTTAATGTGCTTCCACTAGAGTTTTGAACATTTTGACGGTATTTTATGGTCGAAATGAGTGTAGACCGCAGAAAATTGTTGTTGATTTGTTAATAGGATATTGAACTTAGTATAATTCCAGTCATAGCAATTGCTATTTGAAGTTTTTTCTCTTGGAGTAAAAGGAAATTAATTTTGCCCAGTACTACAGGATAGCAGGGGTTTGTTTTGTATTCTGTGTATTAAAAATGTTGATGATAATGTTCAGTTCAATCGTGTTGACTAAAATTAATGACAAGGTGTTTGTAAATCAGGTTTTAATAATGGTTCTAACAGCTGATATCATGGATTTACTTGGTAAGCAAAAAGGTTTACTGGTGAGGTGATTATTTGAATCAATATTTACTGTAGCTTTGTAGATGTGTTTAGTGATCAGTGTTTGTCATCCAATAATTTATTTTAGGATGGTTACAGGTAAGATTTAAAATTGGCTTCCACTGCTTTGAATTAGTTGGTCTTATCACTTTCACTCCTGTAGTGTTTTAAGTATTAATTTCCCAAAATGAATGCAAAATTCCCTTTTGTAAAATACTTAAAAATAAAATAATAGTACTATGAAATATTAAGTGGTGAAACAGAGGTTTCATTTTAATGGTAAGACCACAGAACTTTATCCACAGATTGAAAGGTACATGTAGAGCAACAAAATTATTACTGTAGTCTTGGAGTGAAAGGGTCAGGCCAACAGTGACAGCTCAAAATAATATTCAAAAGAAACATCTCTTGTTTGAGTTGCTGGAATTCGGCAACATATATAGTCACTTTTAAAAATAATATTGTACAAGTTATTTTAAAGTTTCAATATCCAAAGCTGAGAACAGATACAATACTACACTTAGTCTTAGTCATTTGACGTGAGTGATATCTCGAAATAAAGGCATACAGTACTCAAAAAGTGGCTGTTGTTTTGGTGTCTCGAAAGAACAGGAATCTTGTGTGTTTACTTTCATCAATTTTTGTACCACAACTGGTCCTATTCAGGACTGGACTCACCCAGCCGATTCATATTTTACCTTATATAGCAGCATCCATTTCAACTGAAAGCTGTGGGCACTTAGAAAAGTCAGAGTAGCATTTACCAATAAAAACAAATTGCAAAGGGGTTAAGGTCTTGGTATTTTCAATAATAGTATTACCAAGCTTCCTTTAATTTGAGCGTGAAATTACAAATTTGACAAATCAGAAATGCCCTTTGACAAAAAAATTTCTGTTGTCAAGCCTTGTAAATCACTTCTTTTTACCAACTGAGACAAACTTGAACACAGTAGGACACTCTTTAACTTTACTTTAATGCAATATTGCATTTATCATAAGTCTTTTTCAGTTTTTCCCATCCATTCTCTGTTTAGGTCATTTGACACTTCAATGTCTGTATTTTTCCTGTTCCCAACAGAACTTTTGACCAAAACCAGAAAATTGTGAAAATTCCACAACTTTTCACCGTGCTTTTTTGGAGAATTTAGGTATTACTGCATGGCATATGGGTAGGTTATTCTGGGATTTGTCTATTGTGTTTTGCAAGGGTTGCGTCATCTGAGATGGACTTTGGACTTTTATCCCTTGTAGAGGTTGGTTGGTGGGGGTGAGGTTTAAAGGGGATAGCGGCTCTCTTGGGATTGTGTTGACTCCACCTCGCGTGCTAAAATTCATCCCCTTGTTTTTGGTTGACTTACAATAAAAGTAATCTGCCTTGATTAAAAACATCTCTATAAACTTCTGTCAAGGCTCTGTTAGGGTAAAATCGGACAAGCAACATGGCCTTGAAACAGCGACATAAGACATCAGGAGTGGTGACAAATGGCACAAGGATGGGTTCAA